CTGTGTGTGTGTGTCAAGTGGTTTTAAGCCTGCTAACAGTTATGTTTCTCCCCAGGTATCCCAATGTCTTTTTGACATGGTGTCACTTGAAATTCACCTGATTGGTGTCAGGTAGACGAAGGTAGGCGGTATTGCGTCCCTTCTCCAGATAAGGGTCAGTGACCCGTCCTGCTCCTGCTCCCATGGGTCACGAGTGGCACGGCCAGGATGGGGACCAGGTTTTCCTTCATTAGCCACCTTTCTTGTTCTGTGAACAGAGCCAAGAAGCGTCTTGGGTTTAACAGTCACACCTTCGCTGTAAGTTTGTGACTGTAAACCAGGGTTTCCCTTCATTATCAAGGTTCATTACATCTTTCCAACGGAGCAGTTCTGGTTAGGATGTAAGTTAGATGTTAGGAGGGGAGCCAGGAAGGGGAGGATGGAAGAGCCGTTGGCCAGTCATCCTGTTGTCTCTGTCATGACTTTGTGATGCTCCTTTCCTTTTAGAAATGTTATAAGTCTCACATTTTAACTACTTCCTAGTTTATCAAGAACAGAAAATTTCTCTCCAGGACTGACAAACAAACATAAAGCTGCCATGAGCTTTGGGCCCGTGTCCAGGCCTTTCCAGAAAGCCCGCCCCCCCCCCCCCCACGATGCTGAGAAACACTCTCACGACAGGAGGGCAGGGGTCGGCCTCGTGCTGTGTTGCCCTGTCTATGTCCGGCTTTCCCTTCTCTTGCTTCTCCCTCCTCCGGCTTCCTGCCTCTTTGGCCTGAAAACCCTTTTCCTAGCTAATTCAGTGTCTGGGTTGGTAGTGGGTTTTCAAAGCCTTCTTGGGCCAAGCTGTGGGAGGGGCACTGTCACAAAGCATAAAATGAGTCAGATTGATGGTCCGAGTTTGTGCACCTAAAGGCAAGTCCCTTTAATTCTGAGTGAAGGGTCCCCTTCAGATCTCCCTGGACCTACCGAGGCCGCAGCTTGCTGTGGAAGGAAGCGCTATGTAATGTGCTTTATGGAAGTAGGCAGGTGCACAGAGATGTACACAGGGACACACATTTTGTAGTTGTAGTTGTGAGACCCTAACAGTAACTTAAATACCTGTGCTGCAGTGGAATACTTACATTAATGATGTGTGTGCACACAGCGGACACTGTGTGACCCTGAGAAACAGTGGGAGCTAGAGGTGGTGGGTGGGGATGTGTCCAAGACATACTATTCATGGGGGAAAACATCCACGTTGGTTTATACATACATGTTCTGTCTATCTAAATCTTTCCATAGAAAAGCCTAGGAGGATAGCGTCCAAACTGGTAACCCGAGGTCATGTAAATAGGATTAGAATGAAGGGAGAGTAGATATTTTGCTGTTTTAGTTTATACACACTCATAATATTTACTTTTTTGCAATAAATAATCCATTCTGTAATTTTAAAACAGTGATGGAGGTAAAGGAGTAAAAGATATTTTAATATCTATTAATATCTATCTTTTAATGTAATTTTGGGTTTCTACTTGGGTTTTCGTTCAAGTTATGAAACTCCAAGGGGCCCTTAGGGTCCTTGGGGTGCTGGTCTCATCATGAGGGGAAGACGCTCTTTTCTGGCTCCCTTAATTGTGGGGTGTGAATTCTCATCCTGGCATATCTAGGTTTTTCATCAGTGTCGTCGAAAGAACATGCTCTCCCTGAAATATTAAAAAATAATAAGTGATCAGTAGTGCTAACTAAATCAAATTGCCTTTCTTTTGAGAAGGGCAAAACTGCTCGGTAAGAGTTAAGCTGACGTAGCAAACGTCAGGCTTACCTGTGCTCCAGGCTGTCACCCCACCTGTGTGCCCATCCTGGTTCTGGGATCGAGGCTTGTCAGCCAAGAAGGGAAACTGTGGAAAAGGTCCTGTTCCTTATACAAATGAAATATTAGAGTGCCGCCTCATTTTCTTCTTTAGCTCGTGATACCTGATACTTCTTTTGGTGAAGAGAGGAGAAATAATGAAGGCTGTGTGTGGGGTCCCAAAAGCTAGAAGTCCATCATCTTGGGGGGAGTTAGGGCTTCACCTTATGAAGTCGGGGTCAACACAAACATTCATTCAAAGCAGATGATGTAACAAGTGAACCAAATATTGAAGGTTCACTGACTAGAAGTTCATTAATTTCATTTCGCTTGTGCTTTCAATTAATCCCAGAGCCCAGATTAGTTTCTTCTAGCTTTCTGCAGGGGCATGAAGCGTTTGTTTACCTTTTGATTTGATCTGGACGAAAGCTTTAGAAAATGCTGAATTATTTCTATGGTTTTAAATTCCAGCTGTAAGTGATGGTTTGATGTCATCTGCTTCTGCTGTTGGTACGTGAATTTTGCAGCTCCAGATGCCTACGTGTCCATGTTAGTGAAGCAGTGATCCCGCAGCAGTGAGAACAGTTCATAAATTTACTTTCCTTCTGCGTTTGTACTTCAGTTCCAGAAGTTAAGCATTACACTGGCTTCAGTTGTATTTATGCCTTGATCACAGTCCAGCTCTCTGCTATGAAATTGAGACGTGAAATTTAGACACACCCGAGAAAGCCCAGCCTGCAGTTTCGTATGTGTATATTTATGGGTCATAATACTTTTTAGTTTCTTTACAGTTTGTTAACTAAGCAAGTGATTAGTTTGAAGTATAATTCAATGGTAATTTTAAAATTTGCCCCCAATTTTTTTTTCAGCTGAGACATTTTGGTTAGGTCTTCAGCTAAAACCATGTGTCACATCTCTGTCAATAAAATGTGCATCAATGAATATGTACCCCTGTCCTCCCCTCCAGCCGTTATCAGTGAAAACACCCTGTGTCCGGGGATGGCTGGTCATTGGTGGGACAAAGTACTGTGTCCTCCATGGACACAGCCCAGCACGTGCCAACCCAGGAGAGGCTGTAGAATCTTCTTTGAATGTGGAGCATGGAATAATAGCACGCAAAAGTTTTTATCCATTCTGTCAGTCGGCTGTGTGCCTCTTCCGTTGAGTGAGAGGCTGCCCCTCACTGAGAGGGAACACGTTCGTGTTATTAGTAACGTGTCTGAAGGGCGCTGGGCCCTGGTCCTCATTCCACCCAGGGCGGACTCTACCGAGTGGTCAGAGGACACCACCTCCGCAGGGGCTCTTGCTTATCAAGTGTTTCCCCTTAACCTTGCAAACCCTAACTTCTCTGCTCACACTCTTTCTCCCACTTGAAACACATTGTCCTCTTGTAATTTGAGAAGCAAAAAGGATAATTTTGTGAGCACATTTTTGGTGCTATGCTGAAACCCCTGGTAATCTTTGTAAAATTAAATTTATACCTTTATCTTTCCTAAAGCCGGACCCTTCCTTTCCTCGGATTTCTGGCCTGCTGTCAGTCATTTATTTCCTAAAATGTTAGTACAGTAGATTTTGTGGTCTCTGACTTGAGTGAATCCAGAATTGGAAACACATAATCTTGTTGCATACAGATTACTTTGAAGTTGCTTCGGGACTCACTAAATCTTCTGCTTGTCTTTTTTTTGCTCTCTGTGGGTTTTTCCAAAGTTTCTGGTCCCCCTTTTTTGTTTTTACTTACAGTTTCCCCTCTGATCCCCAGCTACCACTGAAAATAATAAAAGGTAGTCGGGCCGTTTTCAAATGCTTTACCTTCACTGACATTGCCAGGAACTTCTGGGTGAATTACCTGCTGACCACCTGCCCGCGTCCCCCCGCGGCACTCCCGCACCAGGCCCCGGGCCGGGGCTGTTCTGCGTCCCCTCGGCCCGCTGGATGCAGTGACTCTCCGTTTCTCTTCCTTCCTCAGCGCAATCGCCTCCATCCTGAGGGCCTGGCTTGACCAGTGCGCAGAGGACTTCCGAGAGCCCCCGCACTTCCCTTGCTTGCAGAAGTTGCTGGACTATCTCAAGCAGATGATGCCAGGCTCTGACCCGGAGAGAAGAGCACAGAACCTTCTTGAGCAGTTTCACAAGCAGGAAGTGGACGCTGACAGTGAGTGCTTGTCTGGTTCCCAGGGAGGAGCTGGGCTCTGGGTTTGCGAACCACCGTGGTGGGATGTTCCCACTATGTTTGTAGAACAGGAGGCCTTGGTTTCCCCCGGGACAAGCCGCTGGGGGACTGGCGGCAGGTGTGACATTCTCGAGGTTATCGAAGTGCTAATTTCAGCGCCTCTAGAGTTTTAGAGCAAAGGGGATATTCAAGACTTTGTGGTCTGGCTCCCTCAGTTTATAGACGAGGAAAGTGATTTCCCAGAGCTTCTTTCCATACCGGAAAGAGGACGAGCTCCTCGGGGAGCTTCTACCTTCCTCTGTCATGACAGATCGCGCGGAACCTGAATTTGCTTTTCATCATCTGCCTAACCGGGTCCTCCTTCTGTCAGGTGAGAACCCGTCACAAACCATCCCCCACCTCAGCAGGCAAGGAATTCAATCCAGGGCTGCTCCCGCCCTCACAAAAGCTGGAGAAGCTGGGAAAACATGCTTCTCCTTCAGCCGGAAAGCATCTCTGGAATGTGTCCCCTGCCAGGGCTGATCACCGTCATTTATTTAGCGTCTCCCATGGCCTCACCAGAGGGAAGTTCCTGTGGCTGTTTTTTCCTCACTGAGGAGCTGACAGCCTATTTTCAAGGACAGAGGAAGGGCCACCGCGGCAGGCCGTGGGCTGCTCAAACTGTCAGGCTTTGAAGAAAGTCAGAGCGAGGTCAGGATGGGCCCGCAGCGTGACGTTTCACCCCCTCACTGGCCCGCGGGGTGGCGGCTGACCCACTTGGAGCTTCTGACAGGCATTTCCCTGAAGTGACGCCCGATTTCCTCCGTGGGGGAAAGGAACTGCTTCCTCAGCACCGATAAGGGAAGCTGCATCAGTGCCAAAGAAAACAGCCTTAAACTCCAAACAGTCCCTGTTGTGAACTTTTTATGTATGGAGGCCAGGGAGGGGGAAAATGCAGTTGCATCACTGGCAGCTGACTGCCAAGTCCGCTGTATCGCAGATGACTTCACCCCCCGGGAATGTCTGAATACCGGGGGCACTCCTCCAGCTGCCAGCCTCGGCTCCCTTCAGGGCCTCCCCTCCTGCCTTTGTGCTCGAGTGGATGCCCGGGTAGAGCCTGGATCTCCCCACGGGGGCTGCCCCTGGCTCCCGGCCTAATTGGGGAACCAGTGGGACCAGTGGTCATTGTTTCCAGCCAGAATGGAAGGCCAGCCCCTCTGGCAGGCTGAGGCAGGTCGCCCGACTTTGGGAACAAAGGCTTTTAGGCAATCCCAGGAGTGAATTTTCTTTTATGTTTGGAAATTTTTAATCAAGAAAGCTCTAAACTCTCTGTTTATTAAGTACAGGAATCGTTGTTGGAAAGGGGTTTTAGGAGCTGGGTCCCCAGGTGCTAACTTTACCCAATTTCATGCTGGCGAAAGCAAGCGAAGTCTCCTACATGTGTTTCGAAGGGGAAATTTTGCTTCAAGTTTTTACCTACGTACCTCTAGAAGAGAGTCAAAAGCAGGAATGGTGAAAGTATGGACTCGACCCCAGAGAGAAAGGACTGTGTCATCTTCCAGGGCACAGATCAGGCCTCATTCAGGGTTGAGTGACTGAGATCAGCCTTAGCACCCCCAGGCCCTGGCTGCAGTGGGTCAGCCCCGGCGCCGCAGAGCGCCCGGGATCGACGTGCATACGGTGGCTAGCAAGAGGGCTGAGAGGCCCATTCTGACCTTTGGGATTTCAGTCAGATGTCTTATTCCTCCACCAGATGAGACAGGACCAGAATTATGTGGAGAAGTGGTGAAATCAGAGGGTTTCCACTTGCTTTAGCCCATGCCTGTTTGTGTCCCAGACTCCAGAGGCCGACAGTGACTCCCTCCCACCTTCCCCAGCTGTGGTCCAGACCCAGTGCCTTCAACTCCAGGGTGAGGGGGCCAGTCTTAAATCACATACTTGTTACCGGAATTGGCGGATGCCCACATGGTCCCCTCTCAGCACCCCTTTTCCACTAGGAAACCAAGAACAGGCCACCCCAGCTTGACCCACGATGCCTAAAAGTCTTACTTCACAAAGGCTTACAATGCAGGCATTCTGGGGGAGCGGTAACACACTGATTTAACTGTCTGCTGAGATGTAGCTGACTGTGACTCGATTTTTCTTCTTGAGAACGGATTCAACAGGCAGGAGAGCAAGGAGTGTGAAGAGGCGTGAGGCTGGGGAACCACCCAGGAATCGGGGAAGGTTTCCAGGGAGGGGAGGCGAGGGAGTCAAGGTAAACCTCTAACGATTCCAGTCCTGCAGAATGCGGCTCCCAGGCCAAGCCCTTCTGCTTTGGATTTGGAGTCCTGGGAAGTGACTTTTCCCCACTTCTTCAGTCTGTGCCTTATTAATTTGCTAATTGATGATCTTGTCTCTAATAAGGTTCAGGTGGATTCAGGTTAAGACTGTTCTGTGGCTTCTAGAATACTTTTAAGTGGAAGCCAAAAGCTGCTTCTAAAATTTTGAGAACTCTAAGGACTTTTTGACAATTCTGAAGACTTTATCAGCATTTCTGATACCAAAATGGCCCCTCTTCTACTCCCCCTGCCTTCATGCCTAGGCCGTCTAGGCTTCTGGTTATAAATGGCCCAGTAATTAAGAGTTGCATAATTCATGAATATATGCATATCCATGTATGACTGCAGCATTGTGCTGTGCACCAGAAATTGACACAACACTGTAAATTGACTATACCTCAATTAAAAAAAAAAAAGAATTGCATGGTTAGCTTTAGGAAATAGTTGGATTAGTGCTTGTGTTGATCAGAGAGGTTGAGGGAGCCCAGAATGAGGCCCCCGAATGTAGCCCAGCTGTGCTTCTCCAGACTCTGCCCAAGTTGGCCGTCCTTGGCCGGGGAGCCAGTGGTTTGTCCAAGTGACACCGTGAGGCCTCTGAGCTTACAAAGTGTCTCGGAGCAGCAGAGGTTGGGAAGACCCTCATTCCACTCCATGCTGTTCTCTCCCTGTGGGTTTGCTGAGGGATTGTAGCCCTCCCCTTCCTCAGTCCGAGTCCAGTTTGACTCTATGAACAGGGTCATATACAGGGGCACCAGATGACTGATTTTTTTCCGCCTGTGTACAGACGGGTTTCCCAACACCATCTCCTTCAGCCTGGAGGAGGAGGAGGACCTGGAGGGGGGCGGGTCCGCGGAATTCACGTGCTTCTCCGAAGATCTCGTGGCCGAGCAGCTGACCTACATGGATGCGGTACGTCTCCCCCTTGTGCCTCAGGCGCGCTTCTACGTAAAACGTGGGGAGTGACAGTACTGGTGGCCCCAGGCAGGCCAGTGGGGTAACGTGATTTGAAGTCTTTTCAAATCCTTGAGAGAGAAGCTGTGCCTGCAAATGCAGGGTAAAGATGTGATTTGAATCACTCATCTGAATAATTCAGGCCTGAGCTCTTCTTACAATTCTGGGCGAAGGTGCTTTTCACTTGGCGCTCAATACCCAGAGGGAACCAAGAATTCTAATCCTGGTGAAACAAAATCTGTCCTGTTCCCTGGGTTTTCCTCTCCCTTTAGACTCATAAATATTTCAAGATCTGAACTGTTTTATTTGGAGGATTGTAAAGGGGTCAAAGTATAAGTTGGGATAAAATAAATTCACTGAACCCACATGTGACTCTATCTGGCAGCTCATTTCCACATGTGCTTCCTGGTCTTTTGAAGTTTGAATATTTTTGTGAGCTGTACACACTTGATCACATCAGTCACATCTCACAGCTCAGTGTTAGCTGGGTAAAGAAAAGAGGGCCATTACAGATCATCCCAATGGTGTTAGCCCTTCTGCACTTTTGTCACTCTGGACGAAGCAGCGTAGAAAGTGGCAGAGAGCTGCCATCCAGTTAGCCGGCAAGTAAACTAGCCGAAGTAAACCAGAGAGTCTGCACAAGGTAAGTCCTGGTGCTCCCTCTGGAACACAAGCCCTCACACAGCTCAGACTGGGTTGTTGTACAAAGCAGATTCAGACTTGTCCACAAATTCATTCTTGTTCACAACTGATAGTGTAAGAAAAAGATGGAAAATTTCACTGGTTATGACTTTTAGGCAAGACCTGGAAACCAGGCTTTAAATCCCTCTTTCTTGCTTTTACAGTGAGATGTTGAATAGTTTTTCCTCTTATCTGTTTCTTACTTTCTTCATTTCAAATGACAGGAAGTAGTGACATTGCTGAGTGTCACGTGTCCTGCGAATCACTTTTCAGGTGAACCGGTATGCATCAAACCCAGTTCATGATTGTGAATGTCCAGAACGTACTGTGGATATGACTCTGGGGTCAGAATAATCTTAACCACTTCTTTTTGATTAGCAGTATAGATTTTTACCTGGCTTTCCTTCCAGGACAGAAAAGTCAAAATGTCTTTGGTCATTTAAATTTTCTTTTGGTCTTGTGTTCCGTTTGTTCAGTTGAGCAGATTTAGAAAGAATGTGTGGCCTTTTCTGATCAGTTAATATATTAATCATTTACTTTCGTCTACTGAAATGGACACCATGAGGGAAAGCAAGTAGAAAAGGATCATTTGTGCCTTCACAAAATACCCATTTACAGACGACCCAGATGACGTGGTTTGCCATATGAAATGTCTGCGTTGTCCTTAAGGTCCATTCCTCTCTTGTTCCAGCAACTGTTCAAGAAAGTAGTGCCTCACCACTGCCTGGGCTGCATCTGGTCTCGAAGGGACAAGAAGGAAAACAAACATCTGGCTCCTACGATCCGCGCCACCATCTCTCAGTTTAACACCCTCACCAAATGCGTTGTCAGCACCATCCTGGGGGGCAAAGAGCTCAAAACCCAGCAGAGAGCCAAAATCATCGAGAAGTGGATTAACATTGCTCATGTAATTGTCTTTTTCAAAATATTATTTTTATGGGAGACGACTCCGTCACTCTGATGTTTCCATTTGGTTGAAAGGCAATTAAAGGACCACATGTGAGGGCGCACTGGGTTTTGGTTGCCTTGGTGTTGCCCTTCCGAAGCAAGAAAAAAGAAGTTGCTTTTCTTAATGGGAGAGCTTATGTGTTCTTCCTCTTCAAAAAAATTGTCCCCTTGCTCACTTCTTCCTGCTCATGGGCCCCCATACTGATGCTTCTCCTGGGTGAAATGGCATGTCTGCTTTTTCACAGACTGAGTGTTGGTCCTGCCCGTGTTCAGTAGATATAAACTCATGGTGTAAGTGTCCAATGGGCCGCTCTTCAATGCAGATGGATTCCGCATGCATCCTTCCAGCACCTGGAAGCTTTATTTATATCTTGTGCAGATTTGAAGAGCCGGTACCTTCTCTGAATCCCAAATCTCTTTTCTAAAGAGATACAGAGATTCCACATTAAGTGAGGGCTTTTCTGAGGGCCTTACATCTGAAGTATGTTCCTCTGCCTGAATTACATTCTGCTGGCTGTCAGTCCCTTGGGTCAACTGCTTCCACGCCATATGACCCTCACTTATGAGCATCTTATTTCATGATTGAGAAAAGGTGAGCAGTAGTCAGTCAGTCAGTCAGTCACCAAACATCTCATGAGCCTCTAAATGCTCCTGAGTTGCAGCATTAAGTACTTTGGGGTCACATACAGGCCCAGCACAATTAACGTGGCCCTGCAGGAGCCTGTCGTCCAACAAGGAAGCTCAGATATGCTTGGAATTGGCTCAGCCCAGGCTGAAGAGTGGGGGCGGGGGCCTTACCAGATGAGCGCTGCGAACGTGGAGGAGGGAGGATCTCTCCTGACGGGGGTGGTCAAGGAAGGCTCGGCACGTAGGATGACCTTTGAATTTAGCTTTGAACAACTGATGGGATTTGGGGTATTTGAAGGTTGGGGAAGATTTTTTTTTCTAGGCAGAAGTTACATCAGCAAAAGCTATGTAATTAACAACAATTTTGACAAAAGTTGTCATGTAAATATCCCACGTCCTGGGCTGTAGGGGTCAGCGCTCTCCAAAACACATTTTGTTTTCTATCCCATTACGTACTTTTCTCATGAAGCCCCTGTCTATGGGCTTAATGCTGAAACTTTCATGCTTTCTGTTTGTTTGTTTTTGCATTTTCTTTTGTGGTCTTTGACTAAATAGCAAAGCCATAATTGTATCGGAGAAGCTGCTTTATTTTGAATCTTGAGGTGGTCTGATACCACAGACTTTTTCGTATATGAAAAAATACTCTATGGAAGAAACGAAGAATATCGTATGTGACTTAGATTTCTCCTGTTCTGAATTTAGCTTATTTATCAACAAGTGAGAGCTACAGAAGAAATTCTGATAGAGTATGAAAGTGCATGGAACTTCTCTGTCTTCTTATAATGATTAAAAAAAAAATATATATATATATATAATTTTTTGGCCACAAATGTCATATCATTTACAGTCATCTGTGTGTCTCAGAAGAAAATAATCTACCTTTAATCCACTCAAATGCTTAGAAAATCTATGGACGCCATATAGCATCTGTGTATGTGAGCGTGGGGCTCAAACAATCACTTTTGGTCCAAATTAAAGATAAATTGTGCATTTATGTGATAATGAGAAATCCAAATTGTATAATGTGAGATATGCTCCAAACCCCACAGCACATGCTTAAAAGCCAAGGGTCCTTCACTCTTGGAGGTTAAGGTTCCCAGTGTTGAGCATGCTGGGAATTGTGTGGGTTACTTAATAAGACAATAAAACTCACAGGTGGTTTCCAGCCAAGATATATTTTATTTCTCCTGCATTAATCACATTTTCTGTTGAGAGGATGTTTGAAAATTGATCATTTTACATGCAGAGACTATCTCTGACCCAGTGTGACTGTATTGTCTTGGACTGCCCTCACGGCTGCCTTTTTTGCTTTTGCATCACATCTCTCTGAAGATACCTCTTCTTCTGGAAAGGGGGCCAGATGCTTCTCGTATTCCTTTAAATCCTGAGCTTAAGCCTCTTTCTGAATAATGTGTTCCATATGTTTATTACAATTTGCATGAAATATCTGTGCCCAAGTTCCTTTATTTATTGCAAGTTTCCTGATTTTTAGAACATAACTTGGATTCTGAACCTCTGTTGAACCGTGCTCTCGTGGGCTCGGTTTCCAGGCTGACTAATTCAGAGTGCACTCTGGCTCTCTCGCTCGCTCGCTCTCCGCTTTCTCTCTCTCTCTCTTTCTTTTTCAATAAAAGGAAAGCATTGAGGCATTTCAAAAGAGTGGGCATAACTTTTGTAAAGAACTTTGGCATTTACTCTAAGAAAATGCCGTGGGGTTTGTTTGTTTGGCACGGTAATTTTAAGTAGCCAGATTTGGGCGTGCTAAGTCAGAGAATGCCATTTTCCCTTCATAGTCAGGATCAGCATGACTTCATGAAGTGATCTTGTAAGCAGTGTGCATTTACGCCCAACCAGCCTGGGACCTCTTGCCCCGGAAGCCCTGCACGAAGCCGAGCCCACGCGCACAGTGTCCTCGATCGTAAACAGTGGGTGTGCTACACTCCCACACGCCCGCGTAGGAAGCTTCTCTGCGGACGTGAGGCAGGCATAGTCTGCTGTCTCCGTGCTGCCACCTTCTCCTTCCAGCTGAGAATGGGGCCCTCTCTCTGACTGCTTCACTGTCCCTGCCGATCCTTCCGCAGGACTTTAACTCCAGGGTCACTGTCTGCTGCTGCTACAGCCTCTGAACGGTAGCTTCAGTGTGGGGATCAGGGAGCCCTTCTCCTGCCCCAGGAAATGCCATCCAGAATGCTTCCTGTTCTCTTTTTATTTTGTTTTAAAGCGCTGCCAAAATGAATTTTATTTTAAAAGCCCAGGTTATTTTGGAAACATTGAGGTACCAAGGTGTTTCTGAATGTTTATGATTGAGGCACAAGCCAGTTTGAAACCAAATGAATGTGTATAAAAATACTCCCTCTTGGCCAAGGAGCATAAAAGCCAAAGTTCAACTTGTGGCGAATTTTTACTGCCAAGTTATACGCCCCCCTCTGGACAGGGGTGGGTCATGAGATGTTTGATACCGTCTGACCTCGAAGTGGCCGCTGCCCGGTTCTCTTTGTGGCTCTAAAGGATACAGGCATCTTTCATGGGTATTTTTAGGGCATCTGGGTGCTCGCAGCAGAAGAAAGTCTGCTTTCTCTCTCATAGCTCTGCAGACTCACCTCTGTCCGTGTTTTCACTGGGAAAGCTGGAAACTATAAAACTGTAACAACAACGCAAAAAAATATATTAAAGGGAGAAAAACAAGCCGGCGGAGCCAAAACCTATAAAGTGTTTCGGTGACCAGGGTGGGAGTAAGGAGCCACTTTTTTGATGTTCGGTATTTACACAGCTGCCTATTTAGTGGTAAGAATTCATAGCGGCTGTGATACTTCTAAAACAGGAAGCCACCAACTCACTGTATTATTGATATTTAAATGCCTTTTATGTTTTGATCACTCTCCATACAGGAATGTAGAATCCTGAAGAATTTCTCCTCCTTGCGGGCCATCGTTTCAGCTCTGCAGTCTAATTCCATCTATCGCTTAAAAAAGACTTGGGCTGCGGTCCCAAAGTAAGTTCCCAGGTGTCTGCTCCGCTTTCTTTGGCTGGGCTGGTTGGTTGCTGCATGAATGGCGTGGGTCCTCACCTGCCAAGCTCGCATTATGTAACTAGAGAAACACATTTGAAAGCCTCTGCGTGTCCCAGGCGGGGTGCGTCTTACACATCGCCGCTAATGAGTTCTGAGGTAGGGCTGCTGCGGGAAGCAGACCGATCCTCAGAGGGTGCCAGAGTCAAGATGACTGGCATGGGGGGTGAGTTTAAGGATGTGCATCTTGTCAGGGGTTCGAGGGCTAAGGCTGTGGAGTGATGAAGTTACAGTGTTTTGCCGTTACTCCCGGTTATTTGGCAGCCACGTTCCAGAGCCCTAAACCGTTGCAAGCCGTGAGGGATGACGTGTGCAGATGGACGTTAGGTCTTGCTGTTCGACAGGAATCTGTTTAGCTCGTTTCCGCCTCAGCATAGTAAAAGCTATCTTCGTGATGTTACAAACCTCTAAGTGCTCTTTCCTGGGTACCCGACAACAATTATTAACTGACCACTTTCTGTGTTGTGATTTTCTTCATATTTCTTGCTGTAACCTTTGGAACGATGAACAATAGAATGTGCTTAACTGTTTCACTGTCACTCTCGCCCCTATTCCCAGAGCTTCACTCACAGACCAGAGGGTCTGGCGGTGGTAGAGTGCGTGCTTAGAGTGTACAAGGTCCTGGGTTCAATCCCCAGTATGTCCATTAAAAACTAAATATAAATAAATAAATAAATAAACCTAATCACCCCCCCCCCAAAAAAAGAAGAAATCAGGCCATAACAGGGAAGGATGAGTGGACTGTTTATATATGCTACTGAATGCAGCATAGTCAGCTCTGGTCCGGAGAGGGGCCATCTGGCTCCCCAGGCAGGCCTGCCTTGTAGAATCAGTGGGTTTGGTCCTTAGAGTCCAATGGTCCATTCCATCAGCTCAATCAGAGCTGGCTAAGCCTTCAGGGACTGACACTGTCCCAGCTTGCAAGAGACTCAGGTTGGTAAACCAGAACTTTGAAGATTTATGCTGAGAGAGGAGACCCAGAGCACCCAAGCGACCGATAAGCTTGGATTCTCAATCAGGGGAACGTCTGCTTGGGGGACGTCACATTATTTATGATGTGATCCTTTGATGGGTAGTGGGTTTGGAAGCGGGCAATCCTAGCGCCTGGTGTTCCGGGGCTGCAGACACCACCGCCAGCTGGACTCCAGAGCTCGGCTCTGTTATCTGTCAGGAGAAGCGGGGGCAGACAGGCTTTTCAAAGTCGAGGGCAGTTTTCCTGATTCCCAGTCTTTTCTTGGGTTCTTCCTTCTCTTCATTAATTTCAATAATCAAGGTAACTCTGTGTGTGATAGAGATAAGTTGATTGATATTCCTCTGCACAGGAGTCTTAGGAAAGATACAGATCCTATCAAGTCATTAGGTGACAGGCCCCGGTGAGACAGGGAAGGAAAATCAGATGCCTGCAGAGCCCTCGTCCTCGACACCCCGCCCCCTCCCCTCACCCTCACCGCTGCGCCCCAGCCGTGGTGTCAGAAACAAAGGGACGATCAGGGGCTGACGTGCAGCCAGCCTTGTCCCACTGCAGCTTTCTCTGGTGGCAGTGAAAGGTAATCCTGTCTTCCCGTGGTGGTCCATACATTGGACTCTATGGAAGGTCACTTAGGCAGCCTAAGATTTCATCCACAGCAAATTTGAGGCTAAAACACAAGTTAAAAAAAAAAAGTAGACTTGTTCTCTAATCTCCTTGGTTATCATATGAGAAGGCCCATTCTTGAGCTGGCTTCTGTATTTAAGAAGGACCACAGAACCAACCTCAAAGCCCTGTTCTGCACCGTATGGGCGTCGGGTTTGTTTCTTGGTTGGTTGCTGGGTTCAGGTTCTAGCAAGGACGCTACAGAAGTACCACAGGTCCTTAGGGAAGCCACTTCCGCACCAGCTTTACATAGTTCCCATTGCTAAACGCGAGGGATGGGGTTAAGACATCTTATCTGGTTATCACTTTCCCCATGATCCTTTACGTTAATAACTTTCAGTGGGCAGAGAAGACAGCTGTCTATTTTTCTCTGTTTAAGCCCACGTGTGATTAAGTTCTTAATGGTTCTTCCCAAAATATAGGTAGCTTTAAGGATTCTTTTTTAATTCTAAGAGTAATATATTCATTGTAAAACACATAAATTCTTAGCAGTGGCTTTCTCATGATAATGAAAGTGTTGCACAGACAGTACCCTCTCTGTGGGTTCTTTGCCTTCAGAACCATCCACTCAGCAACCCTGGAGGGGCCGAGGAAAGCAGAGGCCTGTGGGGACGCAGGGACTAGGGTGGGGCAGGGGCACAGTGGGCGCTTTGTGTGTGTGACCCTGCTGATTTCACAGCCATTCCGTGAGGGGCCATTGGGGCTTCCACTGTGCAGATAAGAAAACAAGCTCAGGAAAGTTCAGCCACTTGGCTGAGATCTTTTAGGGAGAGAGTGGTGGAGTTGGGATCTGAACCCACACCCCTCACTGCAGAGCCCATGGGGAAGCCACCGTATACTCTGACTTTGAGAGGAAGACCACCGGCCTGTGAGTCCGGAATTTGGGTTCTGTGCTGCAGCTCTCAGCAGTTAGTCGTGGAAACTTGGGCAAATCCCTGACCCTGGCATCTTCACCTCTGAAATGAGGGGACTGGCCAAGATGATTTCTCGGGGCCCGTGGGGCTGTGTGTGTGTTGCTAAGATTAAATTTTTTTTAACTTGCTAAAGGCAACATGTCCCAATCAGGCACCTTTAATACCCCAATTTAACAATTCTTTAAAAAATTTTTTCTTAATTGAAGTACAGTCAGTTACAATGTGTCAGTTTCTGGTGCACAGCACAGTGTCCCAGCCATGCCTATACATACATATTCAATGATTCTTTTTAATGATTATAACATGCATGGTTAGGAAATATCCTACACAGGCTCTTTACATAGGTGACCATGTCTACCTTAAAAAAAAAAAGGCCACCCTGCATGAGAAAAGTCATTGGCTTCACCTGTGCTCGCCTTGCCCACGGGTCCTGAGCTCGGCGCCACCCCCCGGGGCCCTGGGTCCTGAGGACGGCCAGGCCGGGGGGGTTCGGCTTTTGCTAATCTTCATTTGTTAATATTTTCTTCATCCCTTTTGTAGGGACCGAATGCTGATGTTTGAAGAACTTTCAGATATCTTCTCAGACCATAACAACCATCTGACCAGCCGGGAGCTACTGATGAAGGTGAGGGCACTGGGCTGACAGCCTGGGAAGCCATTTCTGGGGAGAGTAGCTTGGAGGCTCCTTAAATTCCTGAAGTCCCATGAGAAAGCCTAACGGGACCTGAAGGCTGAACTTTTGGTAGTTTTGGGTTTTTTTTTTTTTATGCCAAATCTGAGAAGCTTAGGGTTGAGAAAACTCAAAGTCCAGCACCTCAGCTTGACTGTTACACAACCAGATTGTGAGACTCGTGTTGCCACGTGTAGCTCCTGAAACCTGCTCTGTGATCGCCGCGCGCTGGCAGGTTGGTGAGGGAGAGGTCCCAGGTTATCCTTCCCAGCAGGACATCTCCTGGAGGCACAGGGGCCAAGCCTGCAACTCCACGTCCTTTACTTGGACTGAGCTGCACACGCTGGCAGTCAGCAGGATTTGTGGGACAGCAGACGAGGGCTGACTTCTGAACTCCAGGCCAGGCGAAGCGGTAGCTTGGTTCAATTCACTTCTCCAGGCGCTTGTTGAATGCCTCAGGGTTTGTAAAGCGCCGGGCCTCTGGGAGATTGGAGATGGCCCATACAGACCCTGTTTTCAGGAGCTCACCTTCTGGTGGGTGGACGTAGACCCTAAACAAGACTAAGGAGGCCAATAAAGGTACAGATAACAGGTTGTGAACAGTCACCAGAGGGGAACATGGCCCAGGTGTTATCTTTACAGCCTTTCCATCCAGCAGGTTTTTATCTTCCTCAGCGGCAGGTAGCCAAGACTCAGAGAGGTAAGGGACACACCCCGAGCCCCCACCCGGCAGGTAGTGGGGCTGGAACACGAATCCAGCCTGGTGAGCTTTGATCTGTGCTTTTAACACCTAGGCGTAAAACTGTTGCTTTTGACCGCTTGGGAGCAGGAGGCAGGGTAGGTGAGGTAGAACTTCAGAGAGAAGATAAACTGGTAACTCCACGCATGTCGATGGAGCTCTCACCCTGCTCGGCTTGGGGGTACAGCCGCACGGAAGGCGCTCTCTGCCCTCACGGGGGAGCTGGAGGGGCGGGCGAGAATGAAAGCCCCGGATGTGCGCTGCCGCTCGGGGCCGCCCTGCGCCGGGCGAACAGAGCGCAGGGTCCTAGTCCTCAGTCTCCTTTTCTGTAAATGGGACGCGACAGCAGTACTGGGTAGTCTACCGACCTCACAGACCGTTTTGAAGATTGACTAAGATAAAATACGTGAAAGCGATGTGCAAATGTAACTCATTTTTAGTATTTGGCAAGCTCTCTACTTGCGAGGCCAAAGTATGCCTCACAAATGAAGGTGAGTCGAGCGTGAGCTACGTGTACAAGCCTAGAGCCGATGCCAAGAACAGGCAGCGGGTGGTACCTGTCAGATGAGCCGTTTCCCGCCCTCCTGACTGTCCCTCCGCAGTCCTGCTCTTCCTGCAGGTCTCAGTGCGGACTCCCCTTCTTCCTGGATCCTCCCTAGACACTCTCGGGTCTGACCAGGCACTTCCCGCGTGCTCTAGAAGCCCGACAGCCCTCTGGCCCAGCTCTTCCCAAGTGCACCCTTAGAAATTGCCTGATGAATGAATTGTGCGTTTACCTGTCTCCCCACTGGCCTGCAAGCCTCTTGCAGGCGAGGACCTTTTCACCATTGTATCTCTAATGCCAAACACGTTAGGCATGGAGCGAGTGCTCAGAAACTGTGACTCCGTGAATTGAGGGCCTTCTGATTCACGTGACTTGAACAGCTTGCCCCCTATTAGCCCTTCCTGGAGAGGTGATGCCAGCGGGGCCGCGGGGCTGCTGTCTGACTTTGGGTTTGGCCTACTGGGCAATGCTTGCTTGCTTGCTGAGCTCGGGTTGCTCCCCGCTTCACATCCCCCAGGAATTTGCAGGCTTTAAAACGGAAGCTCATCAGGCTCGAAGGAGACGGCTCAGTGGTCTCCCTGTCAGCGATACAAGGCTAGACTCACTGGAGCCACACATTCAAATCCCAACAGCTCCGAGTCACCCCTCCAAAGCAGATAAATTGCACACTCCGCAGCCCGTGGCCTGGTGGCCGTCTTCTGGCTGAAAACTTAGAAGCAGGGCTGTATCTGGACATTAAAGGTCCCATAAGCCTCTCTTAAATGTAGACGTTTACCCGGCACGCTAAGTTAAATCTCTCATATATGGCTCAAACCCCAGAGAAGTGAAAACCTTGGCTCTGGATTCATGTGGTCTGGGCCTCATCATTAAGGACAGTGGAATGTTTGGGGCAGGTCACATGTATATGGAGGGCCCTCTCCAGTCTTCTCTGTTTATTATTCTCCACATGAAGTGTATAACTCTGAGTGTTAATTCTCAGTGCAGTTCTTTTTTTAAAAAAAAATGAAATCAGAGTACTTAAGTTTTCAGAAGAGCCACTAAGGAAAAATGCTGGCCTCGTTTAACGCGCCAGGCTGCACCTGCCCCGGTCTGTGGCAGTCTTAGTCTTCCGTGGTGTCTCTGCTGCTCCTGGGTGGACGTAATGGGCTACCTCTAATACTGTGGTTGAGGCGACATAATAATTAGCAAAAGTCTATGGTTTTCCTTTTGACTATTGGAAACAAATGCTTTTATTTGACTCAGTGATTGCCTTAAACCTGCTACCTCTTCGTGATTTCGGAAACTTGGATCATTCCAAGCAGGTGAACTAAGGAGTCCACACACTTCAAAACAGCAGGGAGGCAGAGGACCACCAAACCTTCTTGGCTCATGGGACCCTTGGTGAGCATTCTCCCGGATCAAATTGCTGTGAACACCTCCTAGAAAGGCGCAGGCATTTGGCTCTGCTGGCGCTGTCCGCTTAGCAACGCTCCGAAACGCACTGCTGTCAGAGTCAGGACAGAAGCCTGTTAGGGATGTTAGGCCTTTTCACATGGAACCATTGACTTAACGGGTGTGGAGTGAGAAGAGTCCAGTGCCTGTGTGTCTCCCTAGTGGGAGAGGCCCCTCCGAGGCTCAGGAGCAGGGTGGATGCGGGCAGCTGACCTCTGCCAAAGAAGAGAGAGGAGGACACAGAGGGGACGAGATGGGGGACAGCAGGACGCTGATGGAGGGAGAGGTTTGGGATGCATCCAAATGTGGGTGATGATTAAGGCCATGGGACTGAAGATGGAAGCATAGTGAAAAACAAGAAGATGACTTTGTCAGAAAGAAGCATCACTAAGAGGATGTGAGCGTGAGCAGCAGCAGGAGGCAGGAGGGAGAACCAGAGCAGTGCGGTCACAGAACCTGTGAGGTCTTGAGAAGTTTCAAGGGATGGGTGTTGTGGGACCTTGCAGGGCAAAGGATTTAGGGCCGAGGAACGAAGACACTGACATGGCTGATTATGGCACATGGTGGATTTTCACTTGGCACCTCATTTGGAAGAACTGACGGCAGCCAGTCTTTAGTTTTCCAGCCAGTAGGGGAATCTCATTCTCATGAAGTCATGGAATCAGCGAGTCTTCTAGCCCCCGGCTGGAAGGGAGGAGGTTGTCCTCAGTTCTCTTCCTTGAGCACCCCATTTCAGTGATTCTCAGGAGCCTCTTCACTCTTCAGAAGTCCTTCTTAAGAATTTCGGTTAGATCTGCAATAATTTTCCCTACACTGTGCATCTGCCAATGATTGAGAAACCGGAAGGGGAACCAGAAGGAACTGGAAAGAGATGACACTCACCTTCAAGTCAGAAAGAGTTGATTTCTCACTGCAAGCACATTCTCGAGAATTTGGGAGGACCCAGAACCACCCAGCCCAGGAAGCGGCACATTTCAGGCCACTTTCATTTCCCCCCCAGGAAAGACTCTTAGGTAGGAGGTCCTCAGACGATACCTCTCCTTGTTACCGTTCGTATCAGAGAGCCTGAAAGTAGGCGATGTGTGGCTGTGGCTTCTGTCCCTGGCGGCGCGGGAAGGCTGGTGAATGATGGAAGATGCTGATGCCGCACTGCCGTCGGAGAGGCCAAGTCGCTGAAAGAGGTCCCCTCATAGCTGTGCCGCGGTGAAAGGCCACGTGCTGTGGTAATGTAACAAGCCCAGGGCAACTGACGAAGGGGAAACCGACGCAGAGGTGACGTGCTGCCGAATTGAGAAATTTGCCTCCCATTCATACAGTTCCTGGAAAATGAGAACTTAGCAAGACCCTGAAACCACAAAACCAGAAACCCTTTCTGTTCAGTCAGCAAACTGGAGATCAGTCACCGTGCAAAAGAGTTTGTTGTTACAACAGAGGGGTGGTGACACAGAGCAGCCATCTGTCCCCCAGCGCCAGGAGGAAGGGGTGATTTAGAGGCAACTCGGGAGGATTGACTAGGGGAGAAAAGAGGGGAAAAAAATGTCTGATGGTCTGGCTTTCATACATTAGTGCTGGCCTTCCTCGGAAAACTTCTGGTACAGAAGTTTCATTTAGCTGAGCCATACCACAGAAATGGTCTCTTTTCTTTCACAGCACGGGGGGATGTGCATGTCAGGCCAGGATCAGGAAAGCACAAAACAGGCAGAGGAGGAGCTCGTCACTTTCCAGGACAAGTGATTCCTTTGAGGGAAATTTGGGGTGTGTAAAAATTGTCTCCAGCTCCAGGAACGGCCTGCTTTGTATTAACGAGGGATTTTACAACCAAGTTGGAGGCTCTTCTTACAAAATAGGGGGCGAGCAGGATCAACCGTGGTCGCCAGGCCTCCTCACACACGAGACCCCTTGCCACCAGCCAGCCCGAGGCCTGCCTGGGACAGCCCAGGGCCTTCTGGAGGCCTCTTGGTGTTGTGCGGCGTCTAGATGGCGGGGGCAGAGGTTCTGTGCCGGAACCAGGCACCCCTCGCCCCTTGGTGGCAGCATCACCCTCCATCACCCTCCCCCGCGTGTGTTTCTGTGTCTTAGGAAGGAACCTCAAAATTTGCAAACCTGGACAGCAGTGTGAAGGAGAACCAGAAGCGGACTCAGAGGCGGCTTCAGCTCCAGAAGGACATGGTATGTCAGAGCCCAGGCCTTCCTGAGGCCACCTACCCCCGCTGAAAGCGCGGCTCCGTGTGCGTAGCGGGCCCCGGTCTGCTGGGTGCCCTAGCTTTCCAGAACGTTCCTCCATTCTCGCCCTCATTTGTTCCCAGCGACCCTGGGAGGTCTGCAGGAAAGCCTTCCTCCCTCCCACTCAACCCAGCAGGAAGTAAACACTGAGAGTCGCAAATCATGTTGTTTCCCGGAACTTGTTTTTTTCCTGGAAGTGAGGGAAAGTCTGCGGCAGGTAGATGTCTGTCCCCTTTTGCTGTCCTGCGTCCACACCTGCCCTCAGGGGCTACTCCTCCCTTGGCCTTGAGACCTCCTGGGCTTCAGTTCCCTGACGGGAATGCCATCTGCGGTCAGCACTGAGCACATGGTGGCCCAGGGCAGAGAGCGTCGGCTCCCAGGACGGCTTGGTCCTTGTCCTTGGAGATCATTTGTTCCAACCCGTCTGTTCATTTTCTGCCTCCCCTCACTGACCCCACACGCGCACCAGCTCTTTCTAGTTTGTCAGGACTCGAGGGGGCGCCCTACCTCCCTCTTTAAGACCTGAAGGCACTTTTAATGTCGTTGGCTTGATGTTTAAACCTCCCCTAGCTTTTGGCACAGAAGGGGGAGACCAGAGAGAGGAGGTCAGAGTCTGACAGACTGTAAATACCCTCCCCCCTGCTGTGACAGCCTCCTCCTCCTGCGCTGGAGGGCTGGTCATGAACCAGACGGGCTGTTTCTGACTGACGGGCTCTTCAGTGACACGGCCCCGAAAACACCCGCAGCATTGCAGGCTTCTTTTGGTTGTTCAAAGACAAGTTAAGAATAGCTGGGGTTTTTTTTTTTTTTTTGAAAGAGAGATTATTTTGGTTCAGGATGAGACCTTGGACGCATGATAGGGAAGGACAGACTGCAGCTGACAGTGAGGTCCTAGAGGACAAAGTGCTCGCGGGCACAGCCCTCACGAGGCGGTCCCGGGGGGAAGCAGCCTGCCTCGCGCCCTGCCCGGGCGGGCCCTCGTCTTCCTGCCCGGGTGGGCTGTAGGCTCGGGTGTCCGTTCATCTTCTCTCCAGAATGGCTAGGGCCTCGGCGGCCTGGGGGAGAACAGAGACAATCTCAAAGGACATTTGGTGAAATTAAAAGGGCACAGACATACCTGCCATTGAAGGGCTCCTACCTGCATTTCCGAGGGACAGTTTTTTCTTAAATAAACCTTTTGTTTTAGAATTTAGAGACGAGTGCCAGGTAGTACAGAGAGCTCCTGTGAGCCCGTCGCCCATCCCCCGCCTTTGTGAACATCTTCCGTAATCATGACCCACCCTCTGTCAGTACTAAGAAACCCACCCGGGCACAGCGCTGTGAACCGGAGTCCAGAGTGGCTTGGATTTCGCTAGTTTTTTCGTGAAGTCTCCTCTTTCTGTTCCAGGATCCAACCCGGCCCCCCCACCACATCTAGTTGCCTTGTCAACCTGGTCTCCTCTGCTCTGTCACAGTTTCCGAGTCTCTCCTTGTTTTGTGTTGTCTGGCAATGTTCAGGAAGACTGTCCTGGTATCCGTAGAATGTCCCCCCACCAGGGCGTGTCTGTCATCTCCCTAGTGGTTGGGCAGACGGAGGGTCTGGGGAAGAACACCGCAGATGTGAGGCGCCCTTCTCAGCCATCGTGGAGGGGATGGCATCTAGTGTGGCGGACGCATTAGCCCGCATCACTTGGTGAAGATAGGGGTTGTCAGGTTTTCCACTTTCAGGTGTCTGGTTTTCCCTGCCCCTCCTCTGTTCTTCAGAACCGAGCCACCAAGCCGCCATTTAAATAGTGGCACCCCACGCTCCTGTGGTCACACTTCTCCAGCGTGCCCCCGCCCACTCCTCCGCCGATGGCGAGGCCACCCCCACCGGGGCCGTCCTCAACCACCTGAGTGTCTGCACGCGGTGAAAGGAGCAGATGTCCCTCTGGCCTGAGACTAAGCAGTGTGGAAACCCACTGTGAACACGTGGGAACCACCTCCTGGCTTTGGGGCTTGGTTTTCGTGACTTTGAAAGTGACCCTGGTGATGGAGTTCCTGACCCATTTGTGTGGGAATTTAAAACAGTTCATTCATAGAGGTTAGTGCTCGTGGTCTTAAATTAGGCCTGAAATGGTCCTTAATTATTCTCCAAACCGAGCTGTTCCAAGAGTGCCCCTTCATCTGCACGTGGGCACGCTGTTCAAGGGAGCGGCCCACAGGTCCGTTTGGTCCGGGGTGGAGGTTACTGAAGCCCTAAGCTTTTCAACACCGGCAACGATGGGTTTGCTGTGCTTGCCTTGCAGGGTGTGATGCAGGGGACTGTGCCCTACCTGGGCACCTTCCTGACCGACCTGACCATGCTTGACACCGCCCTCCCGGACTACATCGAGGTGAGTTCCGGGCCGGCGGGGGGCCCACTGCGAACGTGGCGTTATGCTCCGTGTGCTGAGGAGCCCAAAGATGGAGACCACCAGCCGTGGCCCCCAGTGGGGTGGAAGGTGTACAGCAAAGCAGGCAGTGGTGGGTAGAAGTGATGAGAATTCAAACAGAAACGCAACGAGAGAAGAGGAGACGAGGCCACGATCAGTTCCAGATGAGGGGGTGGCATGGCAGGGCCTCGTGAAGGAGTGGGTTTGAGCAAGACCGTGATGTTGGGCAGGATTTGGACAGGTGGAAATGAGGGGATCATATGCCTTAACACTCTGCCTGGTGGGGCAGGGGGTCGGTCCACTTTGTGGATTTTTAAGTATCCTTCTTTGGTTTGTTTGTTTCACATTATCACCTTTTCGCTCTCTCTCTCCCCACAAATGGGAAAGAAGTGAAACCCAGTCAAACAAGCTACATGTTCGTAACAGTAATAGAGTATTGCATGGAGGAGAGATTTGATATTCGAGATGAAATTTTGAGGACTTCTTGCGTATTTAAATGCATCCCACCTTCCTGGTCGTCACCTGCAGTCAGCCTCCTTTCACTCTAACCAGGAGCAGCAGTCACTTGGCGCGCGCCCCCCTCCGTGCGCATAGACGCGGGCGCGCCCGTCACGGAGCCTGTGCTGAGTCTCACACACGCCGCCTCAGCTGGGCTCTGGAGACTCTCACCAGTGCTGGGGATTCCGGCGGTGGGGCGTGACCAATGATTTAGAGATTAAATTCAGCCTTCTGAGAATAGGATCGGGGGAGAGGGGATGGAGAATTGAAACTTAACTTCTATGATGATGTTATGTAGAAGTGTCTTCCCTTTTGATAAACCATCAACAATTTGGTTTCCAGTATGATGAGTCAATAACCATCTGTCTTCATTGCTTTGGGGCCAGGAAAGGAAAAAAAAGTGTAGCCGGACATTCACTCAAGCTTTTGCCTTCACTGACTCTGCGAATGTATTTGGATTCTCTGAGTTGTAAATCCTTTATCATTGCTGTTTGAGTTGGTTTCAGACATTCTAGGAGAAGGCTGTCCACCCATCCTGTCCTATTATAATTAAAAGAATGTCTTTCTTTAAGCGAATGAGACATCTCTTCCTCCAAGGTAGCCATAATTACGGTGCCATTAATAACTATGACTTGATTGTCCCTTTGATCTAGCTTAATATGACCCAGAACAGACAGGGCTGTGCTTCAAAGTAGCTTGGTTCGTCACTCTTCCTTTTTCTAAATTCTTTCAGGGCGGCCTGATAAACTTTGAGAAGAGGAGAAGGGTAAGTGGGGTCTCGGCTGGCTGTGGTTTTCCGTTTTACTTTATCTGGGCGTGAACAAAATTATTCAGGAGTGGAGACAAGTTTTTTGTAGAGGCAGGAGAAAGAGAATTAGCATTTATTGAACATTTGTTGTGTATCACGGTGCTTGGCATGTTCCTGCATGTTACTGCCCGAGAGCCCTGTGAGGTAGGTTTTATCATCCTCAATTCAAAGCTGAGGAAGCCAGGACCCAGAGAGATGAAGCAACTCGACCAGAGTCACCCAGGAGGACAGCCAGGGTTCAGATCCTGCTCTGCCTCTCCAGAGCCCACACTTCTTTCTTAAACCCCTTCATCATCACCTTCTTTACAATCAGCTTCGGTAATAATAGGTTCATCCTATTAAGGAGAAAGGGTTTCATAGCGTAGATGGTATCGAAGAGGCAATGAAGACGGTTGGCTGTTGCGGGCCTGCCGGAGGGAGGGGAGGAGACAAGTCTGCACGGTCACACGTGGGCAATTGTTTTCCTTCCCCGTCAGCCGAGGCGGGGGTGGTCATCCACTTGAATTTTTCTGGGGAGAGCTGAATAGTTCTGCCCTGCACTGGAAAAGGCAAAACAGAGCTTTGCAAATCCGCTACGGCGTTAGTGTGGAAATGGTGCAGTCGAGCGGTTCACAGGGACAGGGGTGAGCACAGTGGTAACTTCGCCGTCCGGTGTCCGCACTGTTCAGTTACCCACTCACGCTCTGTCCCACGAGCACTGGCTGCATGCGGCCCACGGCCCGGGCACTGTGGCAGGCTGGGGACGGCAGGAGGAAATCCCGGAGCTCCCTGCTCGCCTCGCGTCCACAGTCAGCGAGGAAGGTAGACAAACAGGCAGTTATAGTGCAGCCGGATGCGGGCTTGTGAGCAGAAGTTGCGGGTGTTACAGGAGCGCACCGGAGGGGCGCCTGCCCCCAGCCTGTGGGGGTCTGAGAAACCACCAGGAGGAAAGGACATTGAAGTTAGCGCCAAAGTTGCAGGAGTTAGCAGGCTGAACTCGTAAGTAACAAGATATGCTAACCTAGACAAACGTACGTCTTCTGTCCCTGGTAGCGGATGATGACACGTGTTCCTTGAGGATGCTAAGCCTGAAGGTGGCAGGCATTGAATGGGGAGTTGACACCCATGGAATCTTCTAGTTGCTAAGCTGCTTCTGCCATGTCCTGTAATGACACAACAAATACAGTTACTGCCTCCACATTTACCCATCTTTGTCCTTCAACTTCAGAATAACCCTGGATGGTGATCTCTTTCCTTGTAAGACTAGCATATTAAACTTCTGGAAAGTTTGAGTATAAAACCTAAAGCTACAGCTTCTACCCATTGCTGACTTAAAAAAATCTTTACTGAAACATCTAAAGAAGTATAAATAATTTTGGACATAATTATACACTTGCTTCTCTTGTGAGCTTTAAAAGACTTAGTTAAGTGATTTACTAGGTAGTGAAAACCCAGGGACTTAGGCAATCTAAACATCCAAGTTTATGAGGCCCTGGACTGTTTGGATATTCAGCTCTACCAAGACTTATTTATTGAGGGGTAAGGGTTGAAGAAGATGGGGGTAGGGAACTTGAGAGCTTCCCGAAGTTAAGTTTTTTTCTTTATCTTTTAGGAAACAGAATTTTAAAATACATTTTAGCAGGACTCAACCTTAAAAAATAGGTTTTCTGTCCCAAGAATAGAAATGGAAGAGAGAAAAAGGAAGCCACTGCGACCTGAGGGAGCACCTAGCTTGGGGCGCCCTGGTGGCCAGTTTTACTCATGTGAGTTGCTTTCTCAGGGAGGAAGGAGGACTTGACCACTAAAGCGTGCTGAGAGTCAGAGCAGAGTTAGGACGGACGAGCGATCCAGCCACTGTATTCCTAAGGAAGGCGGTCTTCTCCGTCACTTACCCTAATGTGCTGTGGTTTCATGTTGAAAAGGCGTCTACCTGATTGGCCTTGTTCACGCCTTCTTTTTGCTGGTCTGTTTGCTTTAGGAATTTGAAGTGATTGCCCAAATAAAGCTCCTACAATCTGCCTGCAACAGCTACTGTATGACCCCGGACCCAAAGTTCATCCAGTGGTTCCAGAAGCAGCAGCTGCTGACAGAGGAGGAGAGGTAGGTGGCCACGCCGCCCACCAGGGTGGAGCGGCGGTGCTGGCCAGAGGGACGCTGCGTCCAGTTCCTCGCCCGGCCATTTATTCAGCAGCGACTTCTCGAGCAGCTCCTAGGTTCCGGGTCCTCGGTTTTCAAAGGCTGATGGTGGAGCAGGAGAAATTGGATGGATGGTATCAGAATTCTTGCTACCGTTTACTTATCTTTGTAACCTTGAACAAGTGACTCCATCCTCCTGACCTGCAGGGTAGGATCCTCGTCTGTAAAGTGTTTGTGGGGATTAAATGGAACCTCTTTGGGGACAGCATTGTTCAGTGCTTACCACCACCACCACCGTCATCACCATGCTTGTCACTAAGTGCTAAGTGGTGTTAGCTTTGAGGGAGCTTTCAAACAGAGAGGAGAGGAGCTCACGAAGCATGGAAATACATTAGGTAATCAGTGGGGAGCAGTTCACTGGGCCAAGGGCGGGGGGAAAGAGGGAGGCTGTCAAAAAGGCGTGAATGTCTGGGCTAGGCTGTGAAGGAGAGAAAAGATTTCACCAGAACTGGAGAACAACAGTCCAGACAGAGAGGAGAGCGTGAACCCAGGCCCGGCGGCCTGACGAGCTCGGGGTCTGGAAGGACAGGTGGAGCTCTCGTGCGGCTGGTTCACAGGGACGGGTCTCAAAACAGAGAAGGACAGGCGTGGGCAGGTCACTCATCCCCGGGCCTTGAGTGTTGGCCCAGCAGGGCTGCGCAGCCCTTACCCTGCAGTCCCGGGGAGTAGAGGCCGCGGGCTGAATCCTGCCCGCTGCCTGGTTTTACACTTTCAAATGGTTGACGTAAAAAAGAATACTGGGACATGGTACAGTTGTTTGAAATTAAAATTTTAGTATCCAATAAGAAAATAAAGCTGCACCAGAACACAGCCCATGCCTTTACCTCGTATTTACAGTTGATTTTATGCTTAAAGGCAGAGCTGCATGGTGGAAACAGCGACCACATAGCCTGCAAAGCCTAAAATACTTCTTGTTTCATCCTTTACGGAAAATATTTGCTGACCCCTGCTGTAGACCGGGGGTTTCCTTGAAAGTTTATCACCAGGGAGATTGCAGTTACCAGCAAAACAAGTATCTTGCCAATGAGGAAATTGAGGTTTGGAGAAATATTATAACCAGTTAGTGATAGAGTTTGGATTCAAGCTCAGGTCTCCGGACACTACGCCCTAAGCTCTGAAGGTGGTTATAAAGTTGAGCAGATCATGTAAACGAAACACGTCCATTTCCTCATTTGAAAGATGATTTCTGAGGTTGTTTTTAAAATCTCAGAATAGGTTCGTCCTGTTCGGTTAAAACCTTTGATTCGGAGCACTCATCAGTTAATGAAGTTTTTTTTTTCTTTAATGTAAGAAACAAAACAGTTTCTCTCTCTTTACATTTTCTGGTCTGATGATCAGTTTGTATGGACTTCCTCTTTCTGTGCCTCCTTCTCACGTATGGAACGTACATACCGTGGCTGGTGGTTTGGATCAGAAAGCGCAGGCTCCAAGTATCAGCAGTGTAATGGACCTTTTAATGATTAAAGGAGTCTTGTTAAGCATATCTCACTTTTTCTTGCTGTTTATAAAACTCCTACAGCTTAAGTTAATAGTTGAATAATTCCTGTATCAATAAATACTTCTGCTTAACCAACTACCTGGAAACATCTTTAGGTTTAGAAAAAGTATTCATAATGAGCAACTCCCCAAGCCGACACTCACCACTCTTACCCTTCCTCACCTGCGCAGGGCCGTAGTACACCCCTAACTAGAGCTACGAGCTTTCAAAAAGACATTTCAAGTGAGATGTGAATTCCTCTTGTGCCCATGGAAGTCAGACCCTCCTGGCATGTAGATGTCTCAACCTGGAGCATTTTTAATTTAGGATGTTTTAGCAATTAAAAATTACATTTCTATGTTTTGATCAGTAATAGAGCTGCCTGCGTCTATTTATTGAAGATTAGATAGTTTACAAAAGCCTCTTCTTCCATTTCCCTTAGAGGACAGGTAGGTCGCGCCCGTGCGCACACACACCACGTAACAGGAGGCAGGTGGTAGGGGCGGAAGGATTCCTCTCCTGGTCTGGCCGTGGGATGAGAATGATCAGGAACAGAAGGGAGTCAGCTTTTGAAGCAGGCAGATCTGTGCTTTTTTGAGGCGAACCAGCACCAGCCCGGATGTCAGCGGGGGGCCGAGGGGAGGAGGCGCACGTGTGAACGTGCGAGGTCTGGTCCTTAAGCCAACGCCCTCTGACAGTTGTCGCAGAACAACACAGTGCCCATCTTTACTTTGAATCATCAGAGCCTTCCTCTGAAGGAAAACCAGTTAATCCCATGAATTTAGATCTGTTCCCTTCTCCAGCTCCGCCCTCACCAGCCCCTTCTCTTCCCCAGCTACGCCCTCTCCTGCGAGATCGAAGCGCCCGCGGACGCCAGCGCCACATCGCCCAAGCCTCGGAAGAGCATGGTGAAGAGGCTGAGCCTGTGAGTGTGGCCCTGGGGTCCCGGGGTCCCGGGGCACCGGGAGGGTCCCGTCAGAGTCAGGGAGAGGACGGGGATTCAGCGAAGCTCCCCTGAGCCCATTGGCTCACTTGTTAAATAGCTGATCTTTCTGCCATGAATTTAGCACGTTTTCTGAATCCATCCAACTTTCTCCACTGTTCTCTCTGGGAGGAGCCACCGTTGGCTCCCGCCTGGACCACTCCAGCAACATCCTTACTGGCTGCTGGCCCCACCCTTGCTCCAGCCATCTGTTCACTCCCGAATAGACTGGTAGTCTGTTAACATGTACACCAGCTTAGTTTGCTTCCTGGCTTTAAAACTTCTAGTGGTTTTGTTTAGACAGCACCTGAATGCCTTACCCTGTTTTGCATGCTCTCCTAATCTTACCACCTTCCTGGTGTCCAACCCCCTTGTTCACCAAGATCCAGCCTCGCCCGACTCCCGGCCTCCTTCAGCCCCCAGGCTTGTTCCTTACTGGATGCACTAGACACCTGCACCACATGTCCCTTTGGCCCGGCGTGTGCTTTCTCTGGGGCTTGCTCCTTCAGATGTTGGCAAAAATGTTACCCCCCGAGAGAGCATCCCATCTGATGTTGCTGTCTGTCCACACCACTCTCAGCCGTGCTGGCTGTTCCCTCCAGCGGAGTGTAAGCCCCCTGAGAGCAGGAACCTTGTCCACCACACTCATGGCCGTCAGCCCAGCTCAGTGCCGGGCACACAAGAGTTCCCGCCAGAGCTAACTTGAACACCTGTCTCCCTTTGCACACAATCCGAAGTCTTTACACGACTCTTCACCATCTGTGGTACCATCCCAACCCTGTCCACCCATCCCATACCTGCTTGTCCTCACCTTTCCCCGCTTACTCTCTGCACCCCGCCACCCAGTCCTCCCTGAACACACTAGGCACCCTCATTTTTATTTGCCATTTCTTCTGCTCAGAACACTGTTCCTCAGATAGCCAAATGGCTCCCTCCCTCACTTCCTCCAGATCTTTGCTGAGAAGCCCCCTTCTCATGAGCCTTCCCTGACCACCTCATTTAATACTATAACCTAATCACACCCCACGCTACCTGCCTTTGGCGCGCGCTCTCACCGTCACCTGCTTTGAATGTCTCCATTGTACTTCCGTCCAGCGGACGTGCTGTGCGTTGTGTCTGTGATCTAGAGTGCAAGCTCTTTGAAGACAGGTGTTTATGTCTGTTTTTTGTTCATGGCTTGTATCCCCAGAACCTTGACCAGTGCCTGACACATAGTAAATGACTAATAAATATTTATTGAATGGATAAATGGAGCCATGAGCCAACACTGTCCTGAGAACAATACCTGTAGATTTCTCATACAATCTACAAAATAACCTAGTAGGTCCTGCTATTATGCCAAATTTTATGAACCAGGAAAGTAAGGCCCAGATGGGGCAAAGAGCATGCTGGCTGTTGTGGGACCTGGGCTCAAGCCTGAGGTTTGGCTCCAAAGCCGAGGTCACAGCCCTTTCACCATGCCACCTGTTGGATAAATACTTTGGGAAGGAAGAAGGGAAGGAAAGACGGATGGGAAGTGAGGAAAGTAAGACATAGAAGAGGGGAGAAGATGAGGGAGGGAAGGGAGAGAGAGAGAATGAGGAGGAAGGGAGGGGAGGAAGGGAGGGAAGGAAGGGAGATGTTAGTTTAATTGGACCCTGTGCTTGGATCTCAGCAGTTTATATTAGGAGAGTCTTAAGAGAACCTAGTCTCTGTCTTGAAGTTCATCTCTTAGACATTCAACTCTGAACGACATTAGGCCGATGACTCTCATGGAGGCTAAGGAGCTTAGTTCAGGGAGACAAGGGTTATCCTTTGATTAATAAATTTGTTCTTCTCTTTTGAAGATGTATACCCGGTCTGATCTTCGGGTGACACAGTCTGCACTGGCCAGGGGCACGCAGGGACAGTGATCAGGGAACCCGGACGTTGTTCGCAGCAGAGTGGGCCCGGGAACCAGCCCACTCTGCCCCAGCGCCACGGCCACTTGCTGTGTGCACTTCTGTCCTGTCCTTTGTGAGATGAGGGTGATAATGTTCACTCAGTGGGTTGTTGTCAGGGCTAGCAGGCTTGTCACACCCCTAAAACAGTGCCCGGCTCGCAAGGGGTGCCTGAAAAGGCACTGGTTTTATATATACATATAAAATCCTCATTGTTTCTACTGCTGTTGTTTTATACAGACAATGTTTGTTTGGGTTTGGGCCCATTTGCTAGTTTCTGCACATCCCATTCCTTCTTGCGCCTTACACCTTCCCTCCTCGTTGTCTGTTGATGGTAAACAGTCTTTGAGAAAGCCTTTATTTTGCCCTCACTCTTGGAATTCTGTTAGGTGGGTACAGAATTCAGGGATGACTGGTACTTTTGCTCAGTGCTCTGAAGACACTATTCTGTGCCTTCTGTCTTGCATCGTTGCTTTTGAGATGTCTGATGTCTGCTGAATTACGGCTCCTTTGCATTATGCTTCCAGCCATGTTGCTTTTAAGAACTTGGGTCTTCGATACCATCGTGCAGGTTAAATGGGGATTTAGCCTTATTGACCCCAGATGTGGTTCCTGGATCTGAGGATTCACGCGGTTCTCTCGTTCTGGAGTCTTCTCAGCCACCGTCCCTTCAGCCATGGTCCCGTTTTCCATTCGCTCGTCTGTCTGCTTGCGGAACTCTTCTTCGCACAGGCAGGCATTCCGTACCCCGTTTCCTGTGCCTTTTAACCTCTTTCATTTTTCATTTTGATTTTCATTTTCATTTCATTCTTCATATTTTGATGCTGCCCTCTGAGGATTTTCTTCAGACCTATCACTCTGGTTCAGTTTTTCTCTTCAACATTTGATCTTTCCACCGAGTTTTAAAATTTAAATCACTACCTTTTTCACTCTAGAAATAAACTTTTTTTTCCAAATTATCTTCCTGTCCTCTTGTTAGAATGTCTTGCTTTTAACTCCTGTTCTCAATTTCTTCTTGTATCTCTTTAATGTTTTCAAACATACTTGCTTTATAGCTTGGCTCATGGTAGACGCTTGAATATTTGTTAAATGAATGAATAAATTACTCATCTCTTTCTGAGAGCTCTTGTAATCTCAAGTCCTCAGGGGTCTAGATTTGCTCATTTCATTATGCCTGTTGACTCCTGCTTAGGGTGGGCTGTTTCCTTGTGTGTATTTTGTAATTTTATATTGTGAGTTCATCTTTATCAGGGAATTCTCTGCTGCCTAAGTTGAAGGAATACTCCTCCAGAAAGGTGTTTGGGTATTTCTGTTTGTCTGCTTTTCTAAATTCTAGTTTCTTCAAAAGTCTCACTCACTGGCCTGAGAGTTCCCAGTTCTTAGACCAGCTAGGCAGCAAATCTGAGTGAAGTGTTGGCTAAGATCGCACGTGATTTCGAGGAGACATTTTTCTTCCACCCAAGCTCAGGCTGGCAGATAAGTCTCCCTGCTGTCTTCCTATGCCAGCAGGAGTTTATTTTTCTAGCCCATCTTTTTACTCAGGGTGCATGAAGCTCTCTGAGGGTCCTGGCTCTGTATAAGGGATGTCAGTGCCCACCCGCCACCGTGCACGAACAGAAGCCCTCATCTTTGGATGCTATGTGTGTGTTAAAACCCCTGTCACTAGTTTGCCGCGATCGGCCCCTCCCACCCCCCCGTCCAGAGCAGCTGCAGAGGGAGCTCGCCTGCTTCTGGTTTTCTGTTCCCTTTTCGTTTCTGGCCTGCAGGGATTTTCCTTACTGTCTTGCAAGCTCAACTCTAAAAAGAATTGTTCATGTTTTTACCGAGTTGTTTTATGGTGAAGGGACTGAGGTTATTTTAGTTCATTAGATTATCGGAAAAGAAGAAAAAAGCCTTCCCCCTTGGCTTCCTGCCCAGCGCAGGGTGGGTCTTCGCCTTCAGCCTCCTAGAATTTGCTTCCTGGTGGGAGGTGATGGGGTGTGGCCATGGTGTTTCGATCCTGCCAATGTGGTCCATAGACTTTCACCAAAACATGGAGAACTGCTGACCCACAAAGACCTCAGATTAACATGGCCCTTCACTCAGCCAAGCAGTCCGCGTGCTCTTTGAGGCTACAGGTAACACACTGGGACAAGATGTTTACTCTGATCCTGTTAGAAACTTGCTAGCAAATGCTTTCCTAAAATAATAATGACAGGGCACACACGATTAAGAAAACATCGAGGACTTAGTTAACACAAAACTGTTTGCTTCACCATGGATTCCAGACTTGTAAGAGCCCGAATGCCTGGCGTTATGTTTTCCGCAGACTGTTTCTGGGGTCGGACCTTATCACCAGTAGCACGCCTACCAAAGAGCCGCCCAAGTCCGCTGCCAGCGGGAGCTCCGGGGAGAGCATGGACTCCGTGAGCGTGTCATCCTGCGAGTCGAACCACTCGGAGGCCGAGGAGGGCTCCATCACGCCCATGGACACGCCCGACGAGCCTCAAAAAAAGGTGCGCGCTCGGCCCCTGCCCGTGACTCGCGACGCCAGCGCCTGGCGCGGTGTCTGCCCCGGGAGCAATGTCTGTTTGCAGGTTGCTCGCTCGACAGTGTGTTGCAAGGCCTGTTTTTTCAAGGTGTTAAAAGCGTAGTTCATTCTGGGAATTCCTTCCCTATAGAAACGTCTAAAAGCGCTAAGCCTGCTGGTTTGCTCATCTCGCCTTTGAAATGCTGTTCCCCGCCCACGTCCAGAGGCAGCTGGCGGACTGTGACATGGAGTGGGAGCTACACTTTACTTAGGAGATGTAGAGTGGTCTTAGAAGGAGCAGAAAGTCAAGAGACAGAGATGAGGCAGTTTCTCGGTGTCATACTGTGTCTCAGCCAAGCTTTTACCACAATAATGCCGCAGAGCAAATCACTCCAAGCCTCAGTGACTTAACACAGCCACCATTTCTCCTCTGTCATGCTCCTGCAGGTTGGTTGACTGGGGTTGGGCTTGGTCCTAGGGCGCAGATTTGGCCCGGGTCTCCTCTGCCCGTCCCGCGTTGCTTTTGGAGTGAGGAGCTCCGCAGGGTAAGCTCTTAGCATGCCAGACTGGTGAGCAAGAGGGTGGTTCCAGCCCTGCAGCCGCGTAACAGACCTTCCCTGGGGTGATATAGATCAACATGTTATTGGCCAGAGTAAATCATATGGCCAAATCCCCCATAAATAAATGAGGCGGGGAACTATGGAGTCACAGGGCAAAGGGCACGGATGTGGGAGACGGTCAGGAATTGGTAACAATCTACTGTGTCCCCCCAAAAGGGAAAGTGGTGGGAGGTGATAAAGGAATTCCCGGAGAAAGCTCTTATTTTCCATGGCTAGTTTTCGTATAAATACATGAGAGAAAAGACCCACCTTGATCTTCTGTACACATCTGCTTGAATCTGTTGGTTAAGGAGCTGACATCAGAGATGTCACCTCTACATCTGGTCACACTTGCTGTGTGAGTGACTTCTGGCCCCTTAGCTTCTGCTTCGGCCAGTGAGGTGGAGTGTTAGGAACAATGCCTTTGTTTTGTTTGTATCCGCCATCCTGCACGGGGATCTGTGTGCTGTCTCACTGTGTTACAAGCCACAGCAACGATCTGGGAACCATCAGGTGCCCTTGTCACAAAGTAGCCAAACCAGGAGGGACTCATGAGACTGAGATGCCTCAGATGCTGCCCCGGCGGGTGGGACTTCTCACCTTTCTGCTTTGAAGTCTAGGTGAGGACACATCTTTAATGCTCCAAATATTGAAGGAAGGCTTGGCAAATACCTCCAGACTGGCTGTTCTCTCCAGCGTCTCTTCTTAACAAGGGATGTAAGCATCCTCCCTGACTTGACAGTCAGCATTGAATTTGTCAGAATCCTGAAGCAAGTCTCATCATTCACCTTTTGACAGGTTCTCATGCTCTGTAGGCCCCCCGTCTGATGACAGACATTGTGCAACAAGGACAACCGAGATACACCCACGCCTTTGTGGGGTTTCCCTCTGTCCGGGAAGAAGGGGGAATCACATATGCATCTGCTGGTGCAGTGGACATGCACATGGCCCAGATCATCCATCCCCTTTAAAACTGTGCTGGAGCCCAGTGTGTGTCCTGGGCCACCCCCCCCCCCCCACCGGCTGCATCCTTTCTTGTCTCCTCCCTTATCACACTGACTCTTTAATTTCTTGCACAAGTCATGACCTTTTACTCTTTGGATGAACCTCTTGGAGTCATGAATTTCCACAGGTTTAAAAATGAGTAATTGAATTGGATGCAAGTAGTTGCTGGGCTGCGGAAGTGCTGAATGTGAACTGGAGAGGCCTCAGTTCTGCTCAGCGCATGGCTGGGCCAGGAGGCAGTGGTCCCTTCCCACCCTGCAGCCCTGCGGCCCTCCGCGTCCACCCTGCCCTCCCCACTGGCTACACTGATAGGTCGCCTTTTTGAGTAAGGTGTAATCATTCCTCTTCCTTCATTCCCCTGATCACAACTTCTAAACATTTACCTAACGTCTGCTCCTCGCTACTGAAATTCTCAGTAAGAATTTGGGGTCTTGTCAGCTGATTAGTTTGGAGCTTCTGTAACCCAGGCATCTTCAGGGCGTCATTTGAGTTATGAATGTCATTAAAGTCATGGAAAACCTAACAGGAAAATGGGTTTATGTGGAGGAAAGGGAAGGTAAAAAAAATTGAACCAATAATTGGAAAATGGACCCTTTCGGCTACTGTGCGGGGCACCTGCAGGCAGAGTTAGACTACTGAAATTACCCACCACCAGTTAGCCCTCAAATTGAGCCACGAAGTTGATTCACATGGGAACCTAAGGAGTGTAACTAAACCACACTGTGACGGGGCCACAGTTTGACTCCTGCACGTCAGAGTTGCCACTGGCTCTTATTAAACCAACGACGCGGTGGGATTCAATGTATAGTTATGCCACAGGGGGAAAAAATCCGTAGGAAATAAAATAGACTCCATTTTACTTGGAAACCAGATAACCAGAAAACTAAACTTCCGTGCTTTGTTTCCATGGAAAGGTAGACAGGTGTGAAAGAATTGAGTAAGTAAGTTATTTTTTAAAGGACTTCCAGATTATTTTATTGGATTAATAAGGTATAATTTAGCTTAACTCATTCTGAGAAATTACTTACAGTTTTCTATAGTAAGACTTGCTATTTTAAATGATTCAATTAATGGTTTTTCCTAGAACACCATCTAGTGAGTTGGGGGCATCCCATTTCTTTGGCAACTGGTATTGCACATATAAGAACTCTGTCGTTAGTCAGGAAAACCCACTAACTTCAGCACCTCGCTCCTTAGTTATCCTTGACACACAACATGAAAACGTATGCAGTCGGTTCTGGAAGCCAACGTGGTCAGCGGCGGAGCCTCTCGTGGGTTGCGTTCCCTTGGGCGAGTCGCTGTGTCTCTGAATCTCATTTCCCTCATCTTTGCGATGCTCTGCACTTGGTTCACGAGGTAGCTGTGGGGCCAAAATGAGACCGGACCTGTAAAAGCTCATCACAAACCTCCCGGCGCCGAGTGCCCCCGAGGTGATCACCGCCCTGTGTTCGAACCGCAGGCTGGGTCTCGGCGGCGCCCTTGCCCTGTGAACCCGGCCGTGGAGTCAAGCAGCTTGGTGCTGGCGGTGCCCCAGGTTCCCCCGCAGGAGAAAGGGAGGAGTGGGGCCAGGCGACCCCCGGGGCCCCTTCCTGTTCCATGCAGAGCTGTGTAATCTGTGGTCCTTAGTTTAGACACTTCTAAAAATATAGACATTTCCCCCCTGCTCCAAAATCTGGGTGTGACGTGGTCAGGATAGCAGTGATCTCTGGGCAGGTCGTTATCCTGCTCAAGGCGGCAGCACCGGGCTTTCCTCCGGCCCCGAGAGCCGCCCACGTCTTTCCGCAGCACGTGTCGCCTCTAGTCTCTGCTGCCCCCTGCTGGTCAGCCTCCTTCAGAGCCGCTAAAACCCCAAATGAGAGACCCACCGGGCCTCCCGATGTCAGGTGCTTGGGCCAAGCAGGGTCCCTGACAGGCGTCTGCCAGGGGGATGCGCACACCAGGGACGAGACGCGTGTGCTCTGGCTGTTGGGGGGGCAGTGACTGACTTTATGAGCCTGAGCATCTGCCTCTGCTGTGAGACGTGCGAAGCGCGCCGTCGGCCGGGGCTCTCACGGCTCCCTTTCCTCCCGGGCTCTGCTTGCCCTTCCAGCTCTCCGAGTCCTCCTCATCGTGCTCCTCCATCCACTCCATGGACACAGCTTCCTCAGGGGTGTCGTCCGTGACGAACCCCGTCTCCTCCCCGCCGTCCTGCAACAACAACCCCAGGGTCCACAAGCGCTCAGTCTCCGTGACATCCATTACCTCCACCGTGCTGCCGCCCGTTTACAACCAGCAGAACGAGGACACCTGCATAATCCGCATCAGCGTGGAGGACAGCAACGGCAACATGTACAAGAGCATCGTGGTAAGACCGGCCCCCGCCCCGTCCCACCCCGACCCGCTAGTGCGCGCCGCGTCCGTCTGCGCACGCGCGTCCCCGCGCACGAAGGCGCGTCCCGTGTGCAAATGCCCGCGTCTCCCGGGTTACAGACTGATAACAGACTTATATAAAGATCGGAGGGGACCAGGTACAGCTCATGGTAGAGCGCCTGCCTAGCAAGCACGAGGTCCTGGCTTCAAGCCCCAGTACCTGCATTAAAAATAATAATGAAAAATAAATAAACCTGATTACCTTCCCCCCACCAAGAAAATAAATAAAATAAAATAAAAAGTGATGTTACTAAAAACATGCACGAGGTCCTGGTTTCAAGCCATAGCACTTCCATTAAAAGTAATAATGAAAAATAAATAAATAAACCTAATTACCTCCCCCCACCAAAATAAAATAAAAATAAAGTGATGTGACTACAAAACAGAAGGAAAAAAAACTAGACATTAAATAAATTAAATGTTTAAAAAATCTGCCTGCCAGCAGTGAGTATAGGATATAATTCTTACATCTTAAAAGTTGCTGAAACTTATTCATCCAGGTCAGTGTCACCCTCTTCAAAACTGTCACTCAGGATGACTGTATAAGAGTATTGCAGAGAAGGTGCCACGGCTGCACGCCTCCTTGCAGGTCTTCCTATGGGTTTACGCATCTGCACTCGTCACTGAGCTGCCATGCCTTCTTAGCATCCTCTGTGGTGGCAGATTTTTCCCCTTTGGTCGTTTGGAATCAGACCTAGTAAAGGTGATGATCAAGCTGGACGTATGGTTTGGGTCCATGAGGAACTATACTTACAAATAAGAGACTGATCTTTTTGAGCATCTTGTAAAGACTGTGTGTTCTGAGCACAGTACCCAAAATATTTTGAAATACATGCAGAACCTCTCCTGGTGTGTGAGGTCTGATGTGTTTATGGCAAGAGGAGACTTACTTTATAGGACATCACGTATTGAAAAGCAGACTCTCCTTTGTAGAAAAATCCTGCATCTCACCCCATCTTCCTCACTTGCCTTCTTTGAGGGCATGTGCTTACAAGCCCAGCTCTGAATGACAGAAGTGACATGGGGGTACTGTTTTTTAATATCTAAAGGAAAGCTTTATTAAAGCATTCACTGAATCAGCAAAATATTTCTTGACTATTGCAATATTCATTGGACCAGACTTTAGGGACAGGGAGATGAATGGGACATTTCTGTCTTTGAGGAACTTACCATCAAAAGGGAGGTCATAAAGCATTATTTTAAATCTGCTACATACTCCGAGGTCAGACTGGGTTGTGAGGGTCCCACATGAAGGAGTCTGCATTAGTCCTGCGGGCAGTAGAGTCTTATTGAGGGCATTTGTGTAGTGAGGACACTTGTTCTCTAGAGGAGTGACTGGCCTTGTGCAGAACTGATGCAGGAGCGCAGGGGGTCGGCTGCAGGTGGGGAAGAAGGTAGCAGCTGCTACCATGTTCCAGGCAGGAGATGATAAGGGTTCGAATGGTGCTGATGTGACTGCAGACAATGTGGAGTTTTGAAAGATTTTGAAAAGATAGAATTGTAGTCTCCATCCATTTAGTTACCAACTTTTTGGTTACTGTTGTGGGGACGTGGAAGAGGGAGGAACTAAAGGCTTTCCAGGCAGCTGGATGGTTGGTGGTCCTGTCAAGTATGATGTAACCACTGGAGGAGGAAGTGTTGGGTGCACTTAAATCAGAGGTACCAGTAGGACATCCAGATGGCATCAGCAGGTCGATGGTCAGAAACACAGGTTGGCGCGAGCCTGGTGCTGGGGTTGGATGCTGGGAGTCGTCCAGCCCTCCCGCCCCCCCCCCCCCCGGTGGATGCAGTAGATGTGGTCATGCAGGGAGTGACGGTGGGCCGAGGCAGGACCCAGGGGGTGCATCTCTAAAACAGCATGCTGAGCCAAAAAAAAAAATACCCCCCAAAAACAAAACAGAAAAACCACCCCGGGCATCCTGCTGGAGTCTCATCCTTCAAAAGCAGGCCTAGCCTGTAGCGTTAGACAACTAACCTCGGGTCAGGTCAGGTGTTTTACGTTCCTATTTAAGATGCCTGAAGGTGACATCCACGCTTCATTCAGGAGCGTAGCCCCCAGGCCTGGTGTGGTGGTTATGCATTTGAAATGCAAAAGGTCCAAACTGAGCTGGGCTTTGAGCACAAGATACACACGAGGTTTCGAAGATTGACAACAACAGCAACAGAAGAACATGAAATCACTCATTGACGATTCTTGTATTGATTGTATGCTGAAAGAATGTTTTGGATGTATCAACTTCCCTTTTGAAAAAGGTTTTAGAAGTGGCTACTAGATGTTTACAGTAACAAACAAGGCTCACGTTTACGCATCCTCAGGCAGCGCTGGTTCAGCCCATCAGCACAGGGCTGCCTGGCTGAGCTGTGAGAGCTCTCTGATCATCAGGTCCTCTCAGCAGCTTCGAAAGTACAAAGTAACAAACACTCAAGAGTCCCTGGCCATCCCATCCTTGTTTGCACATACCTAGGGAGGTTTAAGTTAAGTTAAAGAAACTACGCGTAGCCTGGCTTTCTCCGTAAGCAGGTTTAAAGGTGACATCTTAACACTGACCACCTTGACCCAGCAACCATCCCCCAGGCGGTGGCCTTTTCCCTCTAGCTTTAAGCTCCTACTCCAGTTTGATCTAGCGGTGGGAGCACTTCCTTTCGACTATCAAAAACCATCTTTCCTCCTTTAGGATGTTCTGTGCATCCACCTCTCCCTTATATAAGGATGTGCCAGGTGTTTTGGTAATAGACACTGGAGCCAGGTCTTTGCTACTGACAGAGGCGCCCATTGTAACGCATATCGTTTATTAACTCACAGATACAGGCGCTGCCCCAGACCAGGGGGAGGCCTGCGGGCCTGACACCCTCAGGCTCAAAATGACAGTTCCTTGGAGGAAATTAGATTTCTTCTTCTTTTTGGCTGTCTTTCCTCTCACCTCCTGGTGAGAACAGCTTGTGTCTTTAAGTAAGAATAATCACCCGAGGGCTGGTACCTGAGTCAGCCCCCTTTTCCTGTTGCTCTGAACACCCTGAAAATGGCTGGTGATGGGCAGGGATGAAGGGGGTAACTGGAGCGAGACGAGGCCTTACTCGCACTTTATTAAAAATGTTAGATTTATTCTTTGTCAACACTTAGCTCATTTTGATTGAAGTTACCTGTGTAGACCTGAAGTGTTCAGTTCCTTGGGCTCTAAGAACTACACCCATACCCATATGTACACATGCAGCTACATATGTGTATCTGTGGCACCACCACCCCCAGTCTGGATAAAGAGCGTTTTCCATCCCCCTCTGCAAATCCCCTTGTGACCCTTCCAGTAAGTCCTGCTTTTACCTCAGTTGAAGATAAGCTTAGCTGAACTCGGTCTCCTAACAGCACAGGTTAATCCGGCCTGCTTTTGAAAGAGCAGACCCGCAGTCTTTAGTGTCTGGTGTCTCTGGCTCAGCGTGGCGTTGGTGAGATGCCCCACGCGGCTGCCTGTTTCGGCTCTCCGTTCCCGGCACCCGCCGGGCCGCGCCCCGTCGTGATTGCACTGCGGTGTCTTTATCCTCCCTGTTCCCTCGTGGATGGAGAGCCAGTGTTGGTTCCAGGTGGGGCTGTTGGGAATCAGTGTGCTGTGAACACCTGATGGTGGACGAGTCCTCGCGTGGACCTGCGTTTTCATCTCTCCTGGTGAATTCCTAGGGGTGGGGTTCCTGGGTCCCAGGTTCCCTTGTGCGGTTGGAAATGGTCGGCCTGCAGGGCCGCGGCCATTCCTGACCCCCGGGTGCTGGACCAGGGCCACAGCAGGAGCTCGACAGGTTGGGGCGGGCTTTGGCCCAGGACTGAGAACGTGGTACAGTTCTCACAACACCCTCCTATATAGTTTTCCATCGGAACCTCAACCCGTGTGGGGAGATGGCGAGGCACTCAGTCTCTCTGTTTCTGTGGGGGAAGACACTGTGGCTCTGAGAGAATGGGCGACCATTGTCTTTTGGCCTCTGAGGGTGGAGCCAGGACTAGAACCCAGGAGTATCGGCTCTTGGTCGGCTCTCATTCCACTGGGCCGTTTCCCCTGGAAAGACACAGGACAGTAAGAATAAGGTCAGGAGAACTCTTCCAGGAAACGTGAAGCTAAGCACTTTACCAGCCTTGTCACTGTCTTTCCAGCTGACGAGCCAGGACAAGACTCCGGCCGTGATCCAGAGGGCCATGATGAAGCACAACCTGGACACGGACCCCGCGGAGGAGTACGAGCTGGTGCAGGCCATCTCAGAGGACAAAGGTGGGCGCGCGTCCTCTCTGGGCGAGTTGCCCCCGTGTCAGAAGACCGAAAATGGCTACAGTGTCTTTTTCAAATGGAACCAAGTCGGGGTTTTCAGTTGGGCAAGGGTGGAGTTGCGTGGGGGCCCATGCCGTGCCCTCACTTGTAGAATTAAGCATCTCAGTTGACCCCCAACAACCATTGGGGTTTTTTTCCTGCAATTTTGTTGCACATCCCTCCTCCCCTTCTTTGTAAACTTCTCTCGTCGAGCGTCCTTGGAGGAAGAGGTCCCTCCCTGCGTCAGGAGGTGGGCGGTCGGTGGGCGCTGTTGGGTCTTTGCAGATGGGCACGCACCTCCTTTACCCCGTGATGCGTGTCTAGGCTGCGTGCGATCCGGAAGTGCAGCAGGTCCTGTGATAATTCCACGTGGTCTCGGTTAACCGTTTACGACAGTTTAGCCTTATTCATGATCCATCTTCGTGCAGCGAAAGCTTCTAACACCAGAATTTGAAGGGGTTCTTTTGTGAGGTTGCCTCATACTTACTGAGGCAAAGAACTGGCGAGCTGTGAAATGCTTCGCTTTGCCTTGGAATCCATTATTTAAAGAGTTGTTTTTTTTTTAATGAAACCTCTGGGCAAAGAATCACCCTTGTCGTATCTATTTGCTACCCTGCATTGGGGTTACATTTGGTGAGCGGAGCAGGCAGGCTGGTTGGTGACCCGTCTGTGCTGTGTCATCATGGAAAGTGACTCAGTCAGAATAAGTCTCTTTTCCACATGCAAAAGGAGCAGCAAATACTGTTGACTGAGGCCAACCCTGTCTACCGACAGACCCAACACTGGTCCTAATGTAGGGCTGACCACCAGGCGGCCCCCCTGCGGCGGACAGGCCTCACACAAGCTGGGCGTGTGGGAAGGAAGCGGCCGTTCACACGCGATCTGACCCTCAGGTCACCTGGGGCTGTAACTTGGGCCCAGAGGAGGGGAGGTGAGAGCACAGAGCAGTGATTTCCTAGAGCTGAAAAGGGGTGGCCTTGGAGAAGATTCTTTTTCAACCAACTCCCTCTTGGAAGTTTTCTCACTCATCCAGCTGAGCCCGACCTGGGTTGGGGGACAAACCTTTCTCAGCTGTAAGATATTTGTTTAATGTAGTTACTGTGGAAAGGCTGAGCGTAAAGAGTGGGCTCCTGAGTTTTACCATCTTTGCCTACAAACCGACGCTAAGGTGGGGCCGGTGGGTGTGAAGACGCAGGAGCCCCGAAGTGTGGCCGGGGCCCAGCTGCGCCCACCAGCTGTGTGGTGTCCGTCAGGGGGGCCGCCTGACCTCCCCGGGCCTGGGTCCTTGGTTAAACAGAGACAACACCCTGCCGGCTCCCCGTGCGTCATGGGACGAGTGCGACAGGAAATAACGTGCCCGAGAGGAGGCGTGCTAATGGATACGCAGCTGTGAGTGAGCAGCTGCTGAGCCGGGAGTGTGTGGGCAGGAGGCTGGGGACACTTTAACAGAGTTCTTCTTCAAGGAACATTTGTGCGAAATGCACCAGAGTCACTTAGGACCTGACTGCACCAGTCTCGCTGTAGAATCTGTGTTTCACGAAGCTGACTTGGTTGACTTAACCAGTTCCGCAGTCAGGTACCTCCACCGGTTCCCTCCCTCCCTCCACTGCCGCAGAGCCAGGCTTGTGGTTTTATTTTCTTTATTTCTTGTTTGTGTTTTTAGATGCCCATTACCTCTGAGTGCTAAATAGTATACAGACCTTCTTTTAAAAATACAAATGAATATAAGTCACTTTATTCAGTAAGTTCATATTATACTTGAATAACCCTTGTTCAGGAATTGCAGCCACCTAGGTGGGAGCCGTTGAAGCCGACGATAGTTTAAATGTTAGCAGATCCTTACTGTCTTGCTTATATTCAAGTGCAAGCTCTTGGTGGAGCAAGGCCTCAAATGGTGTAAATACTGGTTTAATTTGGGATCAACTTAAAAAGCATTTTGATATTCCAAGTAGAGAGTTCTGGAAAGAGCTGTAGACTTTCTGCCTTTTCCCCGCATCATTGGATTCACTTAGGTGGTGAGAAAACCTTCATAGCAGAGTTGAAAATGGAGCCCAGAGGAAGGAAACTGGGCTCTGGCCCCAGGGCTGCCACCTACTGCTGCATCCTGGGAGTGTCGCCTCACTTCTCTCGGCCCCTGTTTCGTGCCTGCTTCGTTCTCGCTAAAACAGTCTGCATTTGGACATTCAGTCCATGGCTTGAATTTCTAAGATCATATTGTATTCACACGTAGGTTTTTAAAACCGGGACTAGGAAGTTGTAGTGACCAATCTGGGGGGAGCGAGGGGTGGTCTCTGTCTGGCTCCGTTCCCGTCCCAGGGGCAGAGGGCCCTAGACCCAGCCATGCGTCTGGGCACAGCTTCCACCTGCTGCGCTCAGGGCTGGGCCGTCCCGCACAAGCCGACCACCTCCTCTTTCCTTATCTTTTTTTTTTAGAACTCGTGATCCCAGACTCGGCGAACGTCTTCTACGCCATGAACAGCCAAGTGAACTTCGACTTCATTTTACGCAAAAAGAACTCTGTGGAGGAGCAAGTGAAGCTGCGTAGCCGGACCAGCCTGACGTTGCCCAGGACAGCTAAGCGGGGCTGCTGGGGCAGCCGGCACAGCAAGATCACCCTCTGAACGGAGGCGCCGAGCGCCACTTCCTTGCCGAAGGCGGCGCGGGGCCGAGGACAGGCCGTGGTGGTTGCAGCTGCCACCCAGTGTTAGCGGATCGTTGGTGAAGTCAACGGATATTTATTGAGAACCTCTGGTGTGCAGGGCATTCTTGAGAAGCATTGTAGGGAAATCGGAGATGAATTTGAATGAGAAGGATGAACGATTCACTGATTCTCGTTGACTTGTTTGACTGAGATGCAGAATTATCCATGTTTATAAATATATAGGTATGTACACATATTTGGTAGGTATGTGTATATATAGATATATAAATATGAGGGGCTTATGGGAGGTTCTGGACAATGGAAAACCAAATTTGCACAATGGCCTGGGAAGTCGAGGTCACTTTTTACAGGGAAATAGAAGAAACTGAGAACCCTAGTCTCATACCTTCCAAGTAAATGGAATCAATCCCAGGAGTACAGCGTGTCCTTTGTGCCTGTGTTACAAGAAGTCCAAGCTATTTTTGTAAAGGGGGTGGGTTACTTTCTCAGTCAAGTGCCACCAGACAAGAGAGCCACAGAGGCGGGAACTGCCATGGGCTGGACGAAAGGCCACCACGGAAAGGGTTTCTATGAGCCAGTGGCTTGTGACCTGTGCTCGCGTCGGCTGCTGTCTGCCCCCCGGGGAGGGCGAGGGGCAGCTGCGGAGGCCCGTGACCCGCCGGGCCAGCCGTCCTGACGCCTCTGGAGGCAGCGCGAGCCCGTCTTGATCTCTGGCCACCGCATTGCGTTTCTCCCCTTAAAGAGCATCATCACCATCATTATTGCACAGGCAGCCGTGTTCTTTGGTAACCGATCAGCCGGAAGAGACAGCGCACAAGAACGGTGACTCACCCGGACTCCGGGCTGTCGCGGAATGCCACTGCCCCACTGTCTTCTCTGATGGCCCTTTGCGTGTGACACCAGGTCTGCAGTCTCTTGCCATCTGGATCACAGTCCCTCTGTATTATGTGCAATCTGTTCCTCAGGTGTAGACATTTGTGCTGCAGTTGACTCTGATCACACGAGCCTGTGCGAGGTGCCTAACGGCGACTTGCTGCGTCAGTAGCCCCTGGGCAGACGCTCCCTGCCGACAGCAGGGCCCTGTCTGTGCTCAGCGCCGATGGCATTCCTGTGCCTGGTCGCGGGCAGAGGAGTGGGGCTCCGTGGCTCATCCAGATCACTCCTAAAGAGGTACATTCTTCCAGATGGAACCCGTAACTTTTTTTTTCAGGTTCCCACGCTGGGTGTCACGGTGTCATTGTTAAGTGACACTTCTGTCTCGAGTTACACCATCACCCTCTCCCTTCCGAATCTGAGCTGTGCCGGGGTTTGAACTACAAAGCCATACGTGCGGGATGTTGACGTGTGTAAGAAGCACTTTCAGAATGTTGTCCTTTTTAAGAAAAAATTCTCAGAATACCAGTTTTTATTCCGAAAATAAAGAACGAACCCAGATATGACATGCAGATTTAATGTGGAGCTTTTTTTCCCCGTCCTGTAAGACGGCTCCCAAAGGTTATGTGAGATTTGTGTTGCGTAAATAGCCATACGAAGTCTGCTAGAAACACCAGGGAAAGTCAGAGATTTGTGGCAGTGAGCCAAAGGGTGAGAGTGAGCCAGGAAGGCCTCAGGTTTCTCTTAGATCTTTCTAGATCAGACTGTGTGTCGTGAAGACCGACTGGTTTCAACTAAGTTGAAAAGCACTTTTTTCCACTTGTGAGGCTAGTTCCGAATTGCGCTTTGGTTCTGGGAAAAGAGATGGCCAGGGTGCTATACGTCACAGAGATTGAAGTAAATGTAGCCTCAGCCTGAATTTGTTGGTTGGAAAGTCAAAGAAGAAATGTGGAACCATCGGCCTGGTTTAGGGTGTGGCTACCAAGACATACATGTTGTTCCCGTGTGCTCACCACATGTATTTATACTGTATACGTAGAGTCTAGGTTTATACGCTGCAATGTAAAATATATATGTATTTTTCTTTTTTTTAAAGACAGTGGAACTTCCAAGTAGATAAAAACATAGCATCATTTATTTAATGCCACTTTAATTGTCTTAAGTTTGTCTCCTGGGGGCCAGCCAGGTCATGCTCTTAGCTGCTCGCATGCTTGTCTGTCTCCATCATCTGTTTACCTTTTGGTTAAATTAGTAAACTGGTCTGGGACTTGGTCGGCATGTGCTGCCAGGCCCAGAGGGGTCTGGAGTATGAATCTGGTGGATCCAGGTTCCGGATGTGTCAGTGAGCGTTCTGGAGGCCCACTCTGGCTCTTTGCGGGGAGCAGAGGGAGAGCCAGCGGCAGCGTGAGGAGGGCGCCCCTCCACCGGCAAGTGTCCTGTGCATGCAGGGGAGAGAGTGACATCACAGGGAACGGCCGTCAGAGGTGACGCCTTGCTGGAGCTGTTCTTAGCAGCCGTGTGGTTGGGGACACTTCAGATAAAGTCAAACTTAAGAGTTCAGATCCCAGGGCGTACTTTGCCTTGCTTCTGACAGCCTTTCCCTGAGTCTCCACTTGCGACCATCTGCATAATTCTTGAAACCATCCACAGTGCTCTGGACGCCGGGGGTTTGGGGTTGGGGGAGGAGAGCAGGGCTTCCCAAAAGGCAGTCGGACTGAGGCCAGCTTCACTCAACAGATGCGCGCTGTCATCCCATTATATTACTGCCCAAAATATGCATTCCTAAATGGAGGCAAATTATCGAATTTTCTGGGCCCCTGGGGATTTTGGAGAGAGCCAAGTAGGCATTTTAATAATTGGTAATATGGGCAGGAAGGAGGGATTTCTATCTTTGGCACTAGGTGACTATCTGTAAGGTCATTTGAGACAAGGGTCTTCCTTGTTTTGCCTTTCTCCAGAAACTGAGCTTGGTGACTTTGCCTGAAGGAATAGTGCCTTAAAATGTCCTTCTTTGGAGACTTCAGATTTGCAGCGCAGGGCCACTGAGAGGCACAGTTCTGCTCCATGTCCTGGTTTCAGTGGCGTCGAGAAGGTTCCCTGACTCCAGGCCCCTTTTGGACAGAGCCGCTTCAATGCCACCGGTTACACCTGGCGGTTTCCACGGTTCCCCTGTGAGAAGGGGTCGCCATTGTGGTTTGCATGGCTTTTCCCTGCGGGTCTCTGTTACAGTGAAACTTCCAGAAGGGGCGCATTAGGCTAGGCTGAAGTAACAAACCATGGAATCCCGGTAACTCGACGTCTTGCTTTTCACCAGGTCACAAGTATTGCACGTCGGGCAGCACTCCTTAGTGGCTCTGCCATCTCAGATTTTTTTCCTTCAAGTCACAATGTTGGGAGAGAGAACCCACAGATGCTCCTGACTGACTTAGATTCGAGCGACCTGTCACTTCCATTCCCAGCCCGTTGGCCAGTCCTCGGCCCTGCCCTCAGCGCAGGGGACCCCTGGAGTGGACGTGCACCTCCGTCTCTGCACAGAGGAGTTCTGTCTTCTCACTAGGGTGCCGGCCTTGCTTGCATCCCCACAGTCACCCAGTGCTAGGAAGAGTCGGCAGTGAGGACCGAGACAGGGGGTGCACAGAGCACAGGAAGGGTTGACGAAAGAGATGCTCAAAGGAGGAGAACATACCAGAGAGTAATTTAATTTGGGTTTGGGTTAGCCTTACAGAATCTAATTTTTAATTTTTAACATGCAGTCACCACCAATTTATATGCTTCTAATGTGGTCCCCACTTTGACTAAACTACGAGCTGCTTTACAGTTGTAGATATATGTCAAGTTTTTTTTTTTAAATCTAGGAAATTTAAAGTGTTTACACACAAGCCATGCAATCAAACAGAAACCAGGCAGGTTTAATTATCTTAGACTCCAAATTGGAAAACCACCATTTGCTGTGGATTCTCAACATCTCTACCCAGAAGACTGTGTGGAAGTAATTCATTTATTTGACAGTTGTAAGAAAACGTTAAATACACAGGGATTCCTCAGAGTTGGAAGGCATCTTACAAATCACGTAGTTGACCCCCTCACGTGACAGATCCCCAGCCTGCGGCAGAGCAGTTTAGCTGCCACAGGTGAGGGCAGGGCTCTGAGCTACCAAACCCCACCGTGAGGGTGTCACACTGGGCTGGGCTTTCCTGACACACGCAGCCTCCTGGGGCTGGAGAGAATGCCTGGGGTCTGGCGCCGATCCCCAGGCCTCCAGTCGTGTGAATTTACATAACGGGCATCTGGTCGATTTTTTAAAGTTTCCAAGGACAGCTCTCCTGCTGGAGGAAGCACTGTGGCTTCTTATGCTGAGCGTTATTCTGGGGAGACGGGCCGTAAGGATCAGGGTTACACTGTGACTCGGCGCCCAGCTAGGAGAACTCCATGACGCAGCCAGCCTGGGGTCGGGTGGATGGAAAGCAGGATGCGAGCGAAGAGTTTAAAGGAGTGGACGTGACTGGGGCGTGAGCCCACCTGGCTTGGCCTCTCTCTACTGAGTTATCAGTACCAAGAACTTCGTCACACGCTTCTCAGGAGAAATCATTTTTATTCCCACCTCTGTTTCACCCCAAAGCAACATTTTGTGCTGTAGTGCCAATCTCTTACACAGAGGCTACTGGTAAATCAAGTTGAAAAAAAGAAAAGACAGTGAGTGGTTTAAACTGTTTCTGGATTGCTCCAGCCTTCAATAAAAATAACAAGGCACCAGTTTCAAACTGGGAGAAGCACTCTGAGACTGTCACCTCGCCCCCAGACGCCCACTTCGGATCATTGTCTATACGATATTTGACATCCAAGCCTCCAGCAAAATGTCAGGGAATCAGGCTGCTCAGCTGAAAAAAAATCAGTGTATGAAATTTCATAGGTGAGACGTAAACAAAAGGGTTAGAGTTGCAAGCTTCTTCATGTATCAGGTTGTGTGTGTGAAAAGGAAGCGGGAGACAGATGGAAACATTAGCTATCAGAGAACAAGAAACAGGACAGCCTCCCCAGCAGCTCTGCGTGGATGCAGGTAGGTGTGGGCGGGATCTGCCCGCCTGGCTCTGGCTCCCAGGCCACTTACTGTCTTAGGCAAGTCATTGCATCTAGCTGTTGCCCCGTCTAAACAGTGAGGATCGATCACTGTTCCCACCTTCTGAGGTTCACGTGGTAGCAGATGACACAGCCCAGGTGAAGGGAGCAGCCCTGCCCTGCGCTCCCTGTGCGAGCTTGCCGCTGCGATTCCTGGGATGCTCCTGGCCTAGGAGGAGGGAGTCCAGCTTCCCTCCCCGCTGAGCGGCTGCAGGGGGGACAGGACCCCTCGGAGGTGGGACTTCAGGCGCTTGAACAGCAACCCTGGGGAAGTTGCGCTGCTGCTGCTCTGGGGAAGGGCTGACTCACGGAGTTGACTCACGGAGTTGGCCCCCAGAGAGGCCCACTGAGAGGGGCGCGTGGGCCCAGCGTGGCCCTGACCACAGCGCCTCCTGGCGGGGCTGCGGCTGCACGGGGCCCACACTGGGCAGGCTTGGAAAGGAGCTGCAGGCCCCCCGGGCCGCAGCCCTGAGCTGGAGCAGCCCGCCCAGAGCCTGCGGCCATTCCCCTTAGCGTCCCCACCTTCTCGGGTTCCCTCTGCGGTTGTGGGGGACAGTTTTCTCACCAGAAGCCAAGCCCCCGCTCCTGGGTTCCCCTGGACCTGGATCCTTCCTGGCAGGATGGGGCTCTCCGCTCTGACTCTCGCTCTGTCCTGGGAGGACTCACATGCAGGACTGTGAGTTGCTGCTGTTCCAGACGCTGGGGTTCTGGACAGCCCAGCTGTTCCTTTGCAGGCTGTTCGGCACCCCTCCACCTTAGCCTCTCCCATCGTGGCAGGTTTGCAAGGTTAAAATAGTCACTTTAGGGACCAGGGTCGTCCCTTCTGTTCCAAGCCTCTCTTCTACTACTTTTTTCCCTCTGAGTCCCTCCCTTCTGATCTATGCACTGACCTCACTTCTCTACTGTTGGGCCTGAATCTGTTTCCTTACCCCCTGCCCTTGCTCCTGGACTCGCATCCGTGTGCTGTGCCCTGGAAGCCACGTCTCTCCTCTCCCTTCTAACTCCCCGTGGCCTGCACCCCTCAGCTGCCCCCTCCCCGCTCAGCTGTGGGCATGGCTTCCTCCCTGGGTCCATCCTGAACAGTGATACCCCTTCAAGTCTTCATGATTCACGCTGGCATCGTAAAAAAGCTAAAACCCTTCCGACCACACCATCAGCATGGACATTTCAACTCGTCTGGGGGTCTTCCCCAAACTGCTGATTCCCCTCAGGAGAGGACACCTTGGCACGAGTTATTTCCTAAGCTTCTCTGAAGAACGGAGAGAGAGGGCTGCCCAGTATCCTGAAAATCAAGTTCCTCCATGACCAACAGCCCAGGTTCTGTCCAGCCTCCGGCAGAGCGGACGCACCCGGAGGAGCCGCCTCGGGACCAGCAGGGGCTGTGTGTCCCGACATGGCGATCTGGTTAAGTTCCCATTCCAGAGGAAGCCACGCTGAAGAAACTCCAGGGAGGGGCAGAAAAACAAACTCAGTAAATTGAAAGCGAAGAGAAACCAGTGCTCGGAGATGACTCTTCATCCTTTCCATCCCTTTTGAGGGCTGACGGGAGGCTGGCTTTGGACTGCGAGCAGCCTGGCTGGGGTGGCGGGAGGGACCTGAGCTAAGCTGGTCTCAGTACCGTGCACCTGCGGGTGGAGGCGAAGACAGACCGTTCCAGGCAAAGTCACAGACCAGAAAGGAAGCCTCTCTCCAGCTCAACAACAGCGTTTAACGGAGCCATTCCACCACTTGCCTGGGAATCCTGTTCAGTATTTAATAATTCTGTCAGTCTACGGCCATACCACCCTGAACACGCCCGATCTCGTCTAATAATTCTGTCAAATTCTTCCTGAAAGCTCACCTAAACTCTTCGTGCTGAAATGCAAGCCATCGCCCTCGATCTGTGCGTGTGAGAAGAGAAACCATTTTTTATGTAATCTGTTGTAACACGATGTACTGAAACCAGCCATTTCCAAGCAAAGACAAAAAACAAAATGACGTACTGGTCCCCACAGGCCACACTCTCGCCCTTGCCCCAGCCCCCCTGCATCCGCTCAGGGCTGCCAGCTGCCCGCTCGCAGGCGGCCCCTCACAGGTCACTGCTCTCTCCTCCGGGCTCTCCTCTGCCGCGTTTAATCAGAGCGTCTCCAGGGGAGGAAGGTTCTCGGTGAAATAATAAACACAGAATGTGGACGGAATGATTACCTCCGAGGCTGCCCACGCTGAGCTTTCTGAATGCCTCACCCAGGACACGCTGTTTTCTTAGCAAGTGACCAGCCTCACGGTAACTGACTTGGTAATTGGTTAATTCCTTGGTGAATTAATTTGTCGGTCAGAGACCACTTACTTGGAGAGCATGTCTCAAAAGCACGCTGGAGAAGCCTCTCGGGAAGACCGCCTTCCTTTCACAGTTACTAATTCGAGGGATTTGTTCCAACTGTAAGGGAAAAGATCCCCAAGCGTGCAGCAGATCGGGGAGTTTTTCTTGTTTCCAACACCAACTTCTTACTGGAAATCTCTGCGCTGTCTGTCAGGAGCGTCACCCAAGCTAGAATTCCCCCAGGGACAGTGGCCTCTGCAGTCATCCTGCTAGCCCGGGGTGGGAGGGTGGGAGGGGAGCCCGCTCCCTTGCCATCATTACGAGGTCTCAGGATTGTTTCCTGTCGTCAACCCCAACACACTCCTGACTCTTCGGTCCTGCCCAGCTCCCCATCCCGTCCCAGGAAGCCCTTTCAGCCCCACACCTTCCCAGTGCCCAGACAGCACTCCCACCCGCCGTGCCCAACACCCCTCCCTTTCCCCATTCTGGCTCCAAAGCCCAACACGACCGCCACCTTCCCCGCAAAGCGGCCCCCGGCGGCCCTCCTCAGCAGGGCCAGGTTCCCTGGGGTCCTACGGCCCCGTGTTCCAGTCTGAAGGACAGCCATCCAGCCTGCACGGCAGCTCCCTGGACCACAGACCCCACAGCAGGTGGGGTCTTTCCCAGACCTCTGAGCATCTCAGCGCCCCACACAAGACCTGAAACAAGGCAGGGCTGACACTTGGTTTTTGAGGTTTGGAGGGAGCTTGATCTGAAATTCAAGGCATTACTGAGGCCAACATGGGTTCTCTTTTTTTTGCCCCAAGACAAAGCTCTTTGGCCTTAGACCAGCGTCCCAGTGTCTTTTGATGAATGGACAGGCTGACCAATAACACAAAGATGCAAGATGCTCCCTCCCTCCCCCACCCTCTCCCACTGGGACTCCTGTCTGTCTGTAGCCTAGACCCCTTTTTGCTTCCCCACTTCTCTCCAGCAGTCTAAAGCACCCCTCACTGCACAGGAAGGCCAGCGGCCACCCTCTCTTGCTGTGGGAACTGCACAGCATGACGGTTGTCTCTGGCCTCCCACATCCTTGGTCCAGTGCAGACCTGGAAACTCCAGCAGTGCTGGCTGCTGATCAGCATTGGAGGAACCAAGGGACCGTCACAGTGTTGCACTTTTTTTTTTAATTTTTCACAAAGAGCTCTAGAAGGCAAGTCGTTTACCACGTCCCCACCCTGACAGGACACAGCGTGACAGACTGTATAGGATGCTGGGATGCCGGCTCTGTCTTGTCTTCTAGAGTTCCTGCAGCAGGGTCCCGGGAACCAAGCGAGGCCCAAGCAATGTGTCCTCTGCATGTCATGGACGCTTGGTCCACACTCAGCAGCACCGGCACTGCTGACGTCAGGGTCGTCTGTCCAGAAATCCCACCTTGGATCTCAAGATACAGAGAGGGAGCCAGATAGCGGGGGTCCAGACGGGGTCTAATCTCCAGAGGCCAACAGCAGGTGCCGTGGCTGGAGGCAGAGTCCTCCTCGGACACTGCGACGGTCAAATGTCCCGACTTAAGGCTCTCAGGCAGGAGGCAGGAAGGATAATGAGGTCAAGGAACCCCTGGGGTGCTGAAGAGACGACTTTGGAAAGAAATGCTGGGCCTGCAGTTCACAATGCTCACAACAAAAGAACACTGCGTGGGATTCTAGACCTGAGTGGAGAGAAGCAACGCTGGGCTGACAGAGCCAGAACTTTATTCACAGTAGAACAGTCCTAAGCTAAAGTTCTAGATTTTATGAACAATGTCTTTTAAGAATGAGAATTCATAAACCCACCAGACCAGCTGATAGGGAAAAAGAAAAAAAAAAACACACCAATGTTCTCTATTAAACAACGCCACACAAAAATCAATTCAATCTTCCTCCACCCCCAATGCCTCAGCCACCGCCCACCCCATTAAAAAATCATGAAATGCACACACACTTGCACACACTCAAATACTCAAACGAAGTACGAAATACCCAAGGACGCCTCAGGAATTGCCTAGGGGTTTCGCTAGCTCCCCAGATGGTCTTTCTGTTTCTCTAGGGGGAAAAAAAAGAGCCAAGCTCTACCGGCTTTGTCGAAGCAGTAAAAATCAGAGTCGGCGGAGATCACCTTCCTCAGCCTGCTGGCTCATTGGTCAACGCAGAAGAACCAGCCACAGGGGAACAGCGAAGGGCGGGGCCGGTGCTCTGTGGGAGGACGCTGCCCGCTTGCCCTGCAGCCGGGGGCCCTGCCCGGGGGGCAGTCAGCTTGGTACCACCAGCAAGGCCACGGCGGGCGCTGCCCCAAAGCATGAAGCTCAGGTTGCTGGCCCTGCAAAGCCCGACACCAAGGACACCGAGAGAGGAGCGTGTGTGGATGGGGAGCCCGGGGAGGGGGTTTCTGGAGGCCAAGTGTTACTGCGTGTGGGCACGAGAACATAAACCAAAAATCATCGTGAGGCATCCAACGATCGCAGATGGCGGAGCTGAAGCAGTGAAAGAGATGGCGCCGCCCAGCTCTGCGTTTTACGTGAAATCCACTTAGGAGCCAAGCAGAGAGGCGGTCTGCCCGGGCTCCTGCCTCCCAGGGCTTCCCTGGCTGTCGGCTTCCATCAGTTGATCAGCCCGTTGTTTCTAACCAAGTTCTCGCACCTGCAACGGAGAATCATTTGTTTCCGGAAGGTCAGACTCTCCCACTCAGCAGGCCTCCCTGTGAGAGTCAGGCTGGGAGACGCGGGAGAACCAGATCCCCGACCCAGGGTTTCCACACCAGATCCCCGACCCAGGGTGTCCACACCAGATCCCTGACCCGACCCAGGGTGTCCACACTGACCCCTCCCCAGGGGGCAGTGAAAGCTTGGCACACCTGTTTCTCTGCCTCTTCCTGCAAACATTTCCCCTACATTTTGTAAAATAAATAATTCAAAATAGAATGAAAATCCCAGGCAAGGACAGCTGCTGGCCTAAAAATGTGCTCTGCCTCTTAACAGTGACTCATAAAACTCACACCTGCAATTCATCCCCAGGCTCAGGTGGAAGGGAGAGTCTGACCTACAGCACGTGACCCCCTGGGACAGGAGCCACACACCAGCCCTAACACCTTATATATTAAATTTATCTTCATAAATAGAGCACCCCCACCCAAGTGACCACCAAAAAGAAGGCCAAAGTTCGAGGGTTTTCCTCAGATATCTACACAAACCCTCAAGTATCTACCAAACTATATCCACATGGCAAACGGGACACCTCTTTGAGCTTCAGTTGCCACGAGAGTCAAAGGCCACGTCTCAGACAGACCCCAATGCCCATCCCTGTCGGATAAGGAGGACTAAGATGCAAAACTCACTTTGCAGTGAGGCTCACGACCAGTGCCTTTAAAGAAAAAGCCTAATTAAACTGATTTTAAGTGATCTGATTCCCCGCCCAGCCACCCAAACTTGGAACGTATTCAAGTTTTCAAGGTCACATCTAGGACATAAAATGCGCCCAGCAGACCAGATGTGGTCCCGTTGGCTTGGCTGCCTGGTCTACCCATTTACTGATGTGACAGCGTGGTGACGGCCTTTCCTTCGGACAAGTCTGAGCCATACTGTTCTACCTTGATGTGGGAGCCAGTGTCACATGGGTGATGAGCTGAAGGGCAAGGCGACTGGACTGAAGTTCATCTTAACAGTTGCCATAAAGCCTATTTTCCAGTCACCCTAGGGAATTCGCGTTTCGTTTCCCTAGTCTCCTCCCCTGTCAGAAATATATTAATTTGGACCATTAGATCACTCTGGTTAGATGGCCGTCATGACACTAAAAAGAAACTGGAGCAAACCCAGATGAATAGCCCATTAAAAAACCAAAGGGTGGTGAAGCCCCCGTGGAGAATTCATAGCTCATCTTTTGAAGGCACAGTGTCCAGGGAGGTTGGCGGTGGCAGGGCCTCTGTATTCTTGCCACCGCGGGGGATGTGAGCTTGCTTCCGGGACTTCCAGGCATGTGTCCTGTCCCAGTCAGTGGCCACCGTCTCATTGTCCCAGATGGTGGAGGTCTCCGTGTCGCTCAGATACCCCGGCTGGCCTGTGTAGTGTGTCGGGTAGATGAGCAGCGGTTCTGCGGAGAAGGCTTTCAAGTCTCTGGACTCGTAATGCTCCATGTACTCGGCTCTGAGAACGAGAGAGGAAGGCGTGCTTGCACAGCAGGAAGAAAGAGCCCTGCCTGTCACCTCTCACATGCTCGTGGGTTCATTTGATTAAGTTGTGTTCTTTGTGGAAAACCTTCGTCTATAAACACCACACAGTCTTCTTTAAAAGCTTTCAAATGATCTAAACAAATACACACAAAAAGGGTCAGGTAACCTCTGCTGTATTTGGATAGACTAGTTTAAAAAATGAATTTCAGGTCTTACTCTAAAAATGTAAGCTCTGTTGGACCATCATGATAAATAAGTGTGACCACTTTGTAGAAATGCCCTGTTCCTGGAGTAATCAGTCAGACGGCTGGGAGCCGGACGGCAGCGGTGGGGTAAGTGCGCGGTGCAGGCTTGGAGGATGCCTGCGAGAGGGAAGGGGAGGGAGGACCTGGCCTCCCTCTCAGGGCTCCCGTGCAGATTATACAGGGCGACAGCTGCTCGGCTGCTGGCCAGTGAGGGCACCGCTGGTCTTAACTTCCTCTCTGTTAAGGGGATGAGGGTTGACCTCCATGTTTCTGCTGGGTCGCAGAGATAAAAGTCAGTCTCCCACATGTTGTCCATCTTGACTGAGGACAGGAGATCAAGTGAGGAAGATGCAGGACAGGACGGCTCAACCGCAAAATGAAGACCATCCCATGAGGAGATCGCCCAGCAACTGAGAGAAGCAGCCGAGGTCAGAACTCGGTTTCCTGCTCCGTTAATGAATTTAGGAAGCACCGATTGAGCTGCTGTTCTGTGTAGAGTTTGGACTAGGCTCTACGGACACAGAGATAAAAGACTTCCTGCCTCAGGGGCTCACCGGTTAGTGGGGAGACTGACACCAGATCATCAGTCCCCACGTCCTTGAGAAAAGCTAGGTCAGAGTGAACGCCTGGGCTTCGGGAACCCGAGCGCCACACTGCCTTCTTGTACGGACTCCCTGCTCAGAGGCCACCTCCTCTCTCCCTGAGCCTCTAACGCATCTGTGATCGCAGGCATCACAGTACATCACGGTGACTGTTCACGATCTGGGTTCCCAACTAGCTTGTGCGCCACCGCCTGGCCAACAGCACACACAATGGACTAAGAAATGCGCTGAAAAATCTGAGGTGCTTAGGAGGACAACCTTCACCTTGAGGGTGTGGATTTACGGAAGTAAGGAAGGGGGAGAAGCCTGAGCAGATTACGTCCAGTTAAACGACCCACTGGGGGTCAAAGGGGACTCCTACTCAGGACTCGTGACTCCTGCCTTTTCTTCCCCATCTAGAAAAGGGGAAGATCACTCATGTCAGCCTCTCTGGGTCACGACTGTGGAAAGATCATTTGGGAAGGCAGCACCCCTTTAAAAATGCCAAGCGTTACCCAGAAGCCAAGTAGTATAATTCACAAGTGGGCTGTGCTCAGAGGGACAAGCGGGCAGCTCAGGGCGACTCACACAGGGTGTTTGTTGTACATGATCGGCAGGAACTCATCCACTGGCAGCATCTTCCCAAACGGATTGGCTCCTACCAGCTTCTGTGCTCCCTCCAGGGAGATGGCGTAGCCCAGCGTCCAGTAGGAATAGTCGGCTTCAACCAGATTTGCTACGTGGGGCACGGCTTTCTCCGGCTCTTTTACTTGCATCCTCTTCCTGCCAATATAACTAAAAGGAAGTGGGCGGAGGGGAAGATTCCAGTTCAAATATGGGACATCCATGAGAACAGATCACAGCTTTGCACACACTTGTGAAAGCCTGGACCAAGTGTGTCGCATATTGAACGTATCATACGAGACACATCACGTCCACCATGGCTGTCACCGGCCATCAGTGGGCCCATTTCGCTGGTTCCCCTTATCAACACCCCAACTATTTTTGCCTGGCAGACTATTCAAGCCTGACTGTTGAGATGTAGAGAGATTTAAAAAAAACTTTGAGATCACTTCTCAAAGACAGTATGGGATTTCCAGCTGTGCTCACAGAGGTTGGAAGGGGACAAAAACGGCCAGATGTGAGAATCTGGAGTTTGCTTTCGAGTCCCCAGAGTTTTCGCCTTCAGTATTTCCTGCACAGCTCTCCACATGCTGGTGGTAAACACACCACAGAAGAGGCCGTGGGGAAGACACAGCCTGCAGTAAAGGAGGTTGGAACCCAAGAGGCGCCCGAGGGGGTTTCCTCGGGAGTTGGGGGGGTGCGTAAAGCATGACAACACCCATGGGCCTTCTCCCCTTCCCCGAGCCGTGCCCACGCTTCCTCCTGGGTGCTCTGTCCCCAGTCGTGTCCTGCCATCCACAAACAACTTCTGTAACACGGGAGGTGCCCTCAGCCTTCCCACCTTCCCTAGCCCCATCACGCATCGGCAACGCATCACTGTGTCTGGAACTGAGTCGCTTCCACTTGTCTGGAGCAAGCTGAGGACGTCCGCTCCCCGCTCACTCGATAAAGCTGACTTCCTCTGTTTTGCCTGAAACTGTCTCTTTCAATGCTCAAGGGATCCCTCTTGTCGAAACATCCCAGGATTTGCAGAACAAGCCTGTGTTCACCTTCAGTCCTTCTGAGGACAAACACGTCAGCCTCCCGGCCACTGTCTCCTCAGGACCCAAGAGCCTGGATTGCTCTCTTACACAAAGTGCAAGAGAAAATTCTACTCAACACTTGAGATGCGGCCAGAGTGGCTGAGGGATGGGGGTTTGTACTCAGTTTATTAATTTTACTAAATTTAAATTTTAATTAAAAATTAAAGATGTATAAAGTATTTTTTTCCATTACACAAGATGTACCATTATATTTTGGCAGGACCACAGGTTACTTCAACAGCTGAAAATTTACCTGGATGGAGAATGTGTTGTGTCTGCAAAATACACACTGGATTTTGAAGACAGGATGAAAAAAGAACATGGACTCTCTCATTAATAGTTGTAAAGTACTGCTTACATATTAAAATAATTTGGATATGTTGGGTTAAATATAATTATTAAAGTTAATTCCACTCATTTTTATCTTTTCAATGCGATTACTAGAAAATCTGAAGCGTTGGGTGGTTCACGTTATAGTTCTGTTGGACGCGCTGCCCTAGATAACGACTTGCTCTTTTCTCCCTTTTTACAACTTCCTTTCTCCGAAGAAACCCAATACAGCAGCCATGGACAGCCTGTCCGCTTTCACATTCTGAATTTAAGTAATGTTTGTTTCATTCACTTTAGAAAGTGAGATGTGAGCAGTCTGAAGCCACTATAAGTCTTGATGAGTCTATAATAGATCTCAGTGTGATAGTTTGACTTGATCAAGTCTGGGAAACATCTTTTTTTCCCCTGTATCTTTATCAGGACGATCATTCTTCTTTCTTGGATCTGCTGGTACCCTGTCCCGGGAAATGTATCAGAGAAACTACACGTGAACAGGGGCATGTGTCAATCCCAAGCCTCAGACTCCCCGAGCCCAGCCCTCTGTGACTCCAAGGCCTCTGTGCATGTCATGGAGGCATAGACCAGCTCCCCGGCTCCGTGCCTGCGAGGCCGGAACCACAGGCTGACGAGCGGGGGATTCTGGAGGATTATAGGAACAGTGACCTTAAGAGACAGCACAGAATCTAATCACATGACTGGTACCTGACAGGGAGCCAGTCTTTTAAATCACATGGTACCGATTTCTGGGTCTACGTCCCACGGGTTAGCTGAGCCATCCCTAGGCTCCTTTCAAGCTCAGAATGGCACATTTTCTAAGAGAACAAACATTCCCCCTGGGCCCACAGCTAAGCGTCCCCCTGAGGATGGGAGGGGCAGGGACGGCCTGTCTCCCGCAGCTGCCGCAAAGGAACAGCCCCTGGTCTGATGAAACTGCCTTTGACACACAGCTGGGAAGTGCACATCACGCTTGGGAACTTTCTGCTTCACTGGAGAGAAGCAAAAAGTGTTATTTTAGTGTAAAAAGAAAATGAGAGAGAGAGAGAGAGAAAGCTCAGTTCCCAAGGCAGCTGGCAACGAGCATTAACTAAATGTCGGCTCAGAGCCAGTGCTCCCTTTGGTGAGCCTGGCTTTCCGAAGACAGCCTCTGAGCCCTCAAACCCAGCTGTCAGCATTCTGTCCTGTTGGGCAGCCTCCCTCCCCAACAGGAGCACGCCCGCTGACATTCCAAACCTCCCACACCATCAGGGGCTGCAGAGGAAACCCGTCCACCTGGGAGCTGAGGCTTAAGGGTGACAAGGGTGACCCTCGCCCTTGAACGAACGCCCCCTCCTCCCTCCACACACTCCCGCCATGTACCACTTCTGCTGTGTTCCCAGGTGAGCGCTGAGCCTGAAGGCCCTTGATCTGCAGCCAGACCCCACGTCTCAAAGAACCTCCCATAGCTTCTCACCCTGCAGCACACAGACATGCAAAAACCGGAGGCTCTCCTCCACTCGCTTCTTGTTTCTGGGAACATTTATGGAGGAAAACCAGGAAAATGGAAGCTTGAGCCGTATCGCCTACGCGCTGGGGAGAGGAGGCGCTCTGCCCCTCGGAGAGAACCGAAAGCCCCCAGTGCTCCCTGACAAGCTCGTCTTGTCACTCACATCAGTTCCCAGTCCAGCTGAGCCCGGTCAATGTCATCCATCAGCGTCATCAGTTTCTTCTTAAACTGATGTTCAAAACGCACGTCGTCCTCAATGACAAGGGCCTTCTCCAGCTCTCGGTCAATCACCTGTGAAGGGCATCAGAGGACGTCCTGTGAGAAGCTTGGCACCTGTTCTTTATTTAACAAGTATCGAAGAGTCGAGAGTGTGGTGGCGCAGCATGTTAGAGCTCAGAGCTGGAGCCTAAGCAGATGCCCATCACAGGAGGACAGGCAGATAAACTGGCACATTTACAGCAGTGCGAGGAACTGATCTGCAATTAAACACAGCATCATGGATGAATCTCATAATGTCTGAGAGATTCTATGCGCCATACAGTCCCATTCATATAGAAAGTGGACAAAAGTGGACAAAACTATTCTGTGCTGTTAGAAGCCAAGACAGTGATCACCCCTGGGGACTGATGGCCTGAAAGAAACACAGAGGGGAGACGAGCTTCTGGGTGCTGGTGACATGCCGGTGACCTGCCAGTGACCTGCTGGTGACCTGCCGGTGACCCGCCAGTGACCTGCCGCGTGAGCCACATGCTGGTTAACGTGGTCGTGCTGCTTAACTTGTGAAACTTCACTGGCTTGCACCTTATGTTCCATATACTTCTGTCTATAAAATTTCATGTCAAGTGTGAAGAATAAAGAAGACAGGCATAGACTGGATCATTAAGACAAGGCCCTTTCAAGGCGCCTTTCTGTGGGGGCTGTTTTCTTGTGGGAACTGGCCCTTAGTCTAGAACACCCCGCCTTCAGTACCACCCCCATCAATGTCTGATCTGGAAGGCATGGGTTCAAGTCCTGGCTCTGCCACTTCTTGCCTGGCCAAGATATTTATTTATTTTCTCTTGGGTAGAATGGGCCCATCCCCTGCCACCCACCTCACGCGGCTTCTGGGTGGCTTCCTGTGTTGAATCACTTAATAACCGATGACATGCTAGATACACACAAGGCATTCCTACTAAGGGTGAGGACGCATCAGCACGAGTGTGGCCCCCGGAACGTGAGCGTCGTCCCCAGCCATCGTCCCACGTGGCACCAAAGCTACCCCTCCCTGCTTGTCACTAGTCTGGTGTCCGAGGGGACACGAGGGAACACCAGCTTCCCAGCATACTCCCAGAACAGCTATGGGTCCACTTTATATCTGGCCCTAATTCACCTACAAAGTCCCACGCCCCTTCTTCTTCATCACACAACTGCACATCTGAATGAAGCATCGTTTACCTCTTTCCAGACAGAGTAGTGGCTAAGGAAGCAGCCGATCTCACCCCTGGTGAGAGGCCTGGACGAGTAGGGATCACGATATCCAGGCAGCATTTCGATACTCAGGGCCTTCAGCTGGCTTGTGTTGAGTGCCCTGCAGGACAGAACACGCCTGGAAATCAGCAAGTTGAGAGGTCCCCACCACAGAAGCCAGAAGAGGGGGCGCCCTGCATCTTCCCAGAGCATTTCTGCACACTGAGAAGGGCGCCCGAGGCTCCCCATTGTCCCCGAGGAGCTCCTCAGGGCTCCTGTGTTGTGGTAGCACGGTGCGCTTTGTGAAGACGGAAGATAGAAAACTGATGCAAGAAATAGATACTCTGATCTGAATACACCTATAACAAGTAAGGAGGCTGAATTCGTGAAAAAAATTCCCACAACATGGTCCAGGAACAGACAGATTCACTAGAGTACTGCCAGGCATTTAAAGAATTAACAACCTTTCATAAACGCTTACCAAAAATGGAAGAGGGAACGCGTCCCAGCTCGTTCTGTGAGGTATTATCTTGATACCAAAACCAGAAACAGACATTACAGGAAAACTGCAGACCACTATCTCTTATTAACATAGATACAAAAATCCTCAAGAAAATACTAACAAACAGAATCCAGCTATGTATAAAGGGGATTATGCACCATGACCACGTGGGATTTATCCCAGGATTGTAAGGTTGGTTTCACATGTGAAAAAAAAAGTGCTCTATCATTGTTGACAAATCACAAGATAGAAACTAAAAAAGACAAAACCCAACTGAATATGGACTAAATGTTTGTCCTCCCCCAAGCTCACGTGTGATGGTGTTAGGAGGTGGGGCCTTGGGTCATGAGGGTGGGCGTCTCGCAAACGGGATTAGTGCCCTTCTAGAAAGAGACAGGAGAGCTCGCTCTCCCTCCTCTCTTTGCTGTCTGCTGTACGAGGGCACAGAAAGAAGACAGCGTCTACCAGCCAGGAGGACGTCTCTCTCCATCATCCAGCCACGCTGGCACCCTTCTCTGGGACTCCCCAGCCTCCGGAACTGTGAGACACACCTGTTGTTTAAGCTACCTGGTCTACGGTAATTTTTACAGCAGCCCAAACTAGGACTCCATCATCCTTTCATGATAAAAACACTCCACCCAATCAAAGCCATCAGTGAAACCCCAGTATCATACTTCATGGTGAAGGGCTGAATGTTTCCCTTGAGCATCAAGAACAGACCAAGGACGTCCAAGGACATCCACTTTTCCCTCTTCTGTCCAACATTGCACTTGAGGATCTAGCCAGCATAACTTAATCAGGCAAACAAATGATACTCAGGTTGGAAGAGGAAGTACCACAATTACATTCACAGATGACACAGGGTTTTCTACACACAAGACTAAGGGATACACACACCGTTGAGCTGTCCCTTGCAGGCTGGCAAGCCTTGTAATGACCTAGTGACAGCCGACAGAGACAATCAACAGTTAACTGGATAAGGGATCTTATACATCCAAGCAGAAGGTCCTGGAGCAACACCCCACTGAGCACAGCAGCCAGCAGGCAGGACATGGCAGCAACCTTTGCCTCTCTGGGGAGCAGGAGGCCACAATTTACAGGAGCAATTGACATCAGGTTGGCCCATCAGTTACCAGGGAAACCAGTGGCTGGGGCGGGGCAAGCACGTAGGCCGTGAGTGATTAAGCCCTATAATTATGAGGGTTGGATAGTCATGTGAGTGAAGCGGGGTCTGGGCGAGCAGAGGATGAGCAGAGAGCAAGAGGACAGCCATCTTGAATGGCCTAACCATACACTCCACCCCTACATACTCTGCCTGGCCCTTAGGATCCTGGCCATGGTCACCCCTCTTCCACAATCTCCCTGGGGTCAGGTTTGTAGAAGTGCACCGTAACCGAGTACCACAAATGCAAGACAGACACCAGCAGCTAAAGAGGATCAAGAGTAAGCCGGGTACTTGGCTTGGGGGACAGAAGGAGGTGGGAGTCTTCAGCCATCCCTGTGTGGTCACACTGGCCGGGCCAGCTGTCCACGGCATCTCGCTGCAGACCCAGCAATCAGACTCATCGTGCAGTGGGGCCACCGCTGTTGCCCAGTCTGCGAACAGACTCCCCCCACTCAGGCTGGAGAGGGGATGTGAGATGTGCTGATAGGCACAGCACAGGGGAGGGCATGACCATCACGCAAAACGCGGGCAGCACCAGCACCCTGAGACGTACCACCCCGCCGCGGTTCCTGTCCTGGCCTGAGGGCCACGTCCCTGCTCCACCCTCGGCCCCTACGGCAGGTACCTGACACTGGAGAGGTGATACGACTCCGAGGCTAGTATAATGGCACCTTTCCCCAGTCGGGGCCCTGATGGATTGCCTTCACAGGCTTCAGTGGGGCCAGGTGGCGGGGCCAGGCAGAAGACAGGTGAAATCTCTAAGCCCCTCTTAAATCCTATTCCCTGTGTGGTGGCAAACTCTGAGCACCAGGGACTTACCCTGCCAGGCCCCGGGCCATTTTATAATGTGTGCTCCCTGGGGGTAGATCCTGAGACAAGGCCAACAGTGAGTTACTGTCCTGACTGATAGCTGGCAATGTCCTTGGGTGGTCACCAGTTGAACTTGGATGGTGTCGACCAGTTGCCTGTGGGTTAACATGGCACATGCTCCTGGGGTGTTCAGTTACAGCTCGTAGGGCTAGAGTCCGCCTCCTGGTCCCACACTGAGAGAGCGGGCTTCCCGTCTCAGCTGCAGTTTAGAGAGTCCATCGTTCATCCTTTCAGTTAGCCAGCGAGCAGTGGGCTTGTCGGGCAGGTGGAAATGCCGGTGCGTGCCATTTTTATAGACCCGTTTCTGAACGTTGTGGCCAGTAAAGTGGGTTCCTCGTTTGCTCTCTCTGTCCATGGGGGTCCTGTATTTCCTGCACAGCTGTTCTAGACCCCAGACGGCGGTCTTCTGCATTGCTCGACGACTCTGCTGAGCTGCCTGTAGTGTCTCTCACCTGCTGTAACACATCGTAGACTGCACACAGCTGTTGTCCCATCACACCGTATCGTTGCTCTGCCCGCTTCCAGAGCCGGGACCAGAGCCCAGGGGCACTCTTATTATTCTTCTGTGGCCAAACCCTTCTGGGTAATTGGCCACATCCAATTAACAAGCCTGTCCCTGAATTAATATCCCTAAAGGCTGTGTCTAATTGCTTGGGGCTGGAACACATTACAAAATCCAGGTCCTTGCATTTTGTCAGTATTCACCAGCCAGCCCTGTGCAGTCAGATGAGCCACGGGCATGGGGCTGCTACTTTTAAACTGGAATGAGCCTCTGAGGCTAACAGGATATCATCAGTATAATGGCAAAGGAAGTCATCTCTCCTGGTGGTCAGCTGCCTCCAGTCTGGGAGAGGGAGCTGTTCATCTGTACCCTGTGGGACAGGGACATCTATGACTTTTTCCCAATCTTCCTCCTCTTCTTCACCAGTGCTCTTGGTGGGGTATCACACCTTGGGGCTGCAATGTGGACAGGCCATGATCACCTGGGCTCTCTTAACAGCCCCCATTCATCCAGGACTGCAGCCACGGGGCCCCACATGCTAGCAGAAGGCCACCTCAGGATCACCCCTGCAGCTTCTCCTTCCCGGTCCGTATTTCCCAACGTCTGGCCACTCACGGGGAGCTTCCTCACCCTCCTGGCTGGCTGGACATTGATGGGCTGCGCCCTGCAGGCCTGCAAGCCGTCTAACTGCCCAGCCTGGAGACTGAAGGAAGAGCCTGGAGACATTAGTGGTTTATTGGACAGGGGAGGAACCTTACAAGCCTGAAGCAAATGGTCCTGGAGCAACACCCCACTGTGTGCAGCAAACAGGCAGGACATGGCAGCAATCCTCACTACCCTGGGAGACGCCATCATCTATAGGGGGAATTAACATCACACTGGCCCGTCAGTCACCAGGGAAGCCAGCTGCTGGGGCGGGGCAAGCACGTAGGCAGTGACTAATCAAGCCCTATAGTTACAAGGATTGGATCGTCATGTGAGTGAAGCAGAGACTGGTCGAGCAGATGTAGAGAGAGTAGACGAACAGCCATCTTGAATGGCCTGAACACACACACACAAAACGCACACACATGCACAGCCACCACAATATTAGAACTGATAAATGAGTTCAGCAAGGTTGTAGGATACAAGCTCAACATACAAAAATCAATTGTATTTTTATGCACTTAGCAATTTATAATCTAAAAATGAAATTAAGGAAATAATTCACAGCATCAAAAAGAATAAAATACTTAAGAATAAAATTAACAACATGAGTGCAACACTTGCACACTGAACACTGAAAACTACAAAATATTATTCAAAGAATTATAAAAGATGTAAACAAATGGAAAGATATCCCATGGCCATGAATCAGAAGACTTTATATTATTAAGACGGAAAAACTCCCCTCAGTTGATCTACAGATTTGATGCATTTCTTATTAATATCCTAACTGTCTTTTTCTTTGTGGAAAGTGGTAACCCAATGCCAAAATTCATACGGAAATGCAAGGGACCTAAAATACCCTAAATGATCTTGAAAAAGAATAACAAAGTTGAAGGACTCCTTATGTAAGAAGCTAGTGTGAAGCATAAGGATTGGCATATACATCAATGGAACAGAATCGAAAATCCAGCAATAAACCATTACATTTGTAGTCAACTGAGTTTTCACAAGGTTGCCAAGACAATTCAATAAAGGAAAGAATCGTCTTTTTAACAAATGAAGCAGGGACAACTAGATAACCATGTGCAAAAGAGTGAATTTGGACCCCTACCTCACACTATATAAAAAACTTGAAATGTATCAAAGATCTAATGTGTAAGATATATGTATGAGATAAAACTATAAAATTCTTAGAATAAAACATAGAAGTAAGTCTCTGTGCCTTTGTATTTGGCAATGGATTCTCAGATATGACACCAAAAGTATAAGCAACAACAAAAATATAAATTGGACTTCATCAAATTAAAACCTTTTGTGTTTCACTGGATACCATCATGAAAGTGGAAAGCTTTTGCCCAGTAAAGGAAACCATCAACAAAATGAAAAGACAACCCGTTGAATGGGAGAAAATATTTGCAAATGATATGACTGATAAGGAATTAATATCCAACATATATAAACAGCTATTACAACTCAACATCAAGAAAACAAACAACCCAATTAAAAAAATGGGAAGGAGAGCTGAATAGAGATTTTTCCAAAAGAGAAAATACAGATGGCCACCAGGCACGTGAAACAATGTTCATACATTGCTAATCATCAGTGAAATGCAAATCAAAACCACGATGAGATATCACCTCACACCTGTCAGAGTGGAGATCATCAAAAAGAACACAAATAACAAATGTTGGCGAGGATGTGGAGAAAAGGGAACATTTGTACACTGTTGGTGGGAATGTAAATTGGTGCGGCCACTACGGAAAACAGTACGGAAGTTTCTCAAAAACATAAAAATAGAACTACTTTATGACTCAGCAATTCCACTCCTGGATATATATCCAAAAAGAACACACAAAAAACCCAAAACACTAATTCAAAAAGATACATGCATCCCAATGTTCATAGCAGCATTATTTACAATAGCCAAGACATGGAATCAACCTAAATGTCTATCAACAGATGGCTGCATAAAGACAACGTGGCATATATATATATATATATATATAGGTAGGGGGGGAGTGAGAGGCACAGACCACTGGGTGTAAGATAGGCTCAAGGAAGGAGTGTACAACACGGAGAATAGAGCCAACATTTTGTCAGAACTGTAAATGGGAAGTAACCTTTAAAACCTGTATAAAAGACAAAAATAAATAAATATAAATGAAATAAAATAAAAAGAAAAAAAAGAAATAACAGGATAGTCTTATGGAGGTAGAGAATATGATTCATCTCTAGTTTTAAAAAGCTTATGGTGTCCATCAACAAATGAATGGATAAAGAAGATGGGATGGATATATATATATATATATATATGGAATACTACTCAGCCATAAAAAGAATGAACTATTGCCATTTGCAGCAACATGGATGGACCTAGAGATTATCGTACCAAGTTAAGTCAAAGACAGACAAACATCATATGATATCACTTACACATGGAATCTTGAAAAAAATGGCACAAATGAACTTATTTGCAAAACATAAACAGACTGACAGACACAGAAAACAAACTGATGGTTACCAGAGGGGGAAGGGGGACAGGGGTAACTTAGGAGCGTGGGGTTAACAGGTACACACTACTGTACATAAAACAGATAAACAACAAGGATTTACTGTACAGCACAGGGAATATAGTCAATATCTTGTAATAACTTATTATGGAAGAGAATCTGAAAAAAAATCTATATAAAACCGAATCACTTTGCTGCACAACTGAAATCAATACAATATTGTAAACCAACTATACTTCGAAATAAAAAAACCACTTTTGTGTTTCAGTGGACACCATCATGAAAGTGAAAAGACAGCCCACAGAACTGTAAACTCTACTGCATCCAAGAATAGGGCTGCCAGATACAGCAAGTAAAACATAGACTGTCCAGTCAAATTTCTATTTCAGATAAACAATAATTTTTTAGTATGAGTAAGCCCTGTGCAATGTTTGGGACAAATTTAACTGAGTGTCCTGCACTTTATGTGACAACCTTACCCAAGAATCACCTTGAGACTTCTTGAATGCAGATTCCCAACTCAGGGTGCCCTCTTAACCAGCCCCTGGGGACATCTGACATTGGTGTCCAGGCTACACTTTAAGAAGCTCTGGGGAGAGACTCTGAAGGAGTCATAAGGACTTTCACAACAGCTTCTAGCCATACTCCTTAGAGCCATTCACATTCCAAACTGACACAGAACATGGAACTGTAGATTTTGCGAATCTCCATGCTTTGAAATAAGAGTGTCAACTAAAAGGGCAAAGCAAAGCAAAACAAAACAATAAAGCAATAACAAAAACCATTGAAGGAATCCAACCAGGTACCCTATGTGACTTTCCTGCCACATTCCTGGGAAAAGTGATTGGCCCGGGCAGACTGTGGCAAGCATCTCATGCAACAGGACACACAGACCATTATGCAGTTTTTCCATTTATTTTCTTCAGGTGGCCCAAGTTTAGACATTTTTGCTCTAAATCAGGCTCTGAATGCAACTCTGAATGCATTCTGTCCAACACAGGGCTGGAAACCACCACAGCCACGGCAAGAACCCCCAGAGAGTGGAAAACCACGTCCAGGATGAGTCTTCAGTGCAGTGAAGACCAGAGAGCACTGGATGGTGAGTAGATTTCAGCTCTACTCAGTGAAATGAACACGTACAAGCTATTGTCAGTCAAAGTTTTTCCCAAAGCAGGCTGCACTGTAAAACCGTGCCTGTCTTACAGTGACAGCAGATTCCTCCCATCAGGACTAAACCTCTGTCAGAGAGATGCTTCCCCACTCCAATCACATCTGCAAGGAGTCGAGAGGGAAAATAAAAACCAACTCACTTTCCATCCACAGCCTCGACAATCTTGACCTCAATCTCCTGCTCGTACAGCGTGCGTAACATCCGGTCCCGCCTGTCCTTCCTCCGCTTGAGGTTTATCATGAAAATCTAACACAGGAATTGAACAGGAAGAGAAATACAGATCATTCAAGTCTCATTTCAGGCTGTCTGAAAAGTAAAGTAATTGTAAGGAACAAAGTTGTAGTCAGGATAAGGAATGGAAAAGGTAGGGAAAGCTGTGATGAAGATTTGCTTATATTTCATTTCAGGTCAAAAAGTTACTCTTCAGGAAGCCAAAGTTGAATTAAATCCAAAACACATGAGACTAAGGGGTAAGAGGCAGCCTGGCAAGAGGTTAGATTTATCAGCGGACCTAAGTTGACATCCCGTTGTTCACTAAGTGTTTGCTCTGGACCATTTCCTATGCTTCAGTTTCCTTGGCCGTAAACCTGAGACAATATAAGTCTTATCACATGGGTACTAAATGTTAGCTATTCTTTATAATTTATATCCACTGTAGAAAAATTTAAAGTCATTCAAAGAGTAAGAAAAACCTAGTCTCAGCAAATTCCTATTTCCAAAGGTTCCAAACTGAATTATCAAGGTCTCAATTTTAGTAGCTTCTTTGCCAGGAATCTTCAACTCCCTTAGAATTTTTCTGAAAGAAGCAAAAAGCCCTACCCTTGGGGATAACTCTTTGGTAAAAGGCATAACTTCCACATCACATGGATGTGGGGGTAACCTTACAGAGAGGACACATACCGCTCCATGAAGTCCCCCAAAATGTGCATTCAGACTCTCCCTCACGAAGGCTGGGGCCACGTGAAGCCCCTCACCTTAAAACCAGAATTCCCGATGGCTGCACTGAACACACATATAACCTCCCTGTAACTACAGTTACAGATGATGAGGCTGGCCTGACGTAAGGAGCCACAGAAGTACCCAAAGCTTCATGAACAGTATTATAGCTAACTATGTGTTTTAATGAAGTCCTTTTCTACAAGCAGTAATAAACTCACTCTGAATATTAAACTAGTCCTTCAAGAGAGAGAGATTTCAGCTGCTAGCAGGAAATACCGACTAGCACTGAAACATCCGTAACATGCGGTTTAGTGATAACGTTTGCTTTATGCTACGTCTAGAATAAAGAAGAAATTATGTCTTATAACCAGGCTGGAGTTCAGACCCTGCTGGAGGTTAAGCTGTGGTTCACATGGTCAACCTGAATGTAGTCATCAAGGTGTTACATGTTTTACTGGATCAAAAGCTACACTAACTAAAATTTCAACCCTTCCTTACAAAATATTCTCACTCCTGTCCAGTCCTTGAAGCAGCTCTGGGCCAGGACACTGACGGAGGAGCAAGATGCTCTCTTTGAAGCACTCACCATCTGAATCAGAGCAAAGCACATTGGGTACATCATGATTTCATTACTTCCACTGTTTACCAACTAGGTAATTATTATTATTTTTTAAACTTTTAAAAAACTTTTAAAATTTTATTTTATGTATTTGGGGGGGTTGGTAATTAGGTTTGCTTACTTATTTTATTTTTAGAGGAGGCAATGGGGGTTGCACCCAGGACCTGTGTATGTAAGCATGCGCTCTACCACTTGAGCTGTACCCTCCCTGCTAAGGCAATTATTTTTTAAAAAACGATTTCTGTGGTGACTCTGTTTGCCTTGTTACTTGGGATCTTATAACTTAATGAGCTATTTTCATTTATATTTCATTTTCTTCCTATTCAGAATCATACTGGGCTGGGCCATGTTCCACCTCCTGGTTTTCTGGCTCTGGACAGGAACGGGCACTTCCTCATGTGTACACACCGAGCTCCCTGCGGTCACTCCGGGAGAATAAACAGAAAACAAAACAAAACCCCCCAAAATAACAGAAATACAACACAAAGTCCCCTCAGACCCAAGACCTCTAGTCTGGGAAGACTTGAGTAAATAATAATCCTGTCCCGGGTTCCTGCCCGGGACATGTGCAATAAAAACCACAGACGTGAAGCTAAAACACAGACGGCTCTGCTCATACCTAGTGAATGGCAAACAGAGAACAAGTCACAGAGCCAAATGCAGCCCAGACACCACCAGCAAGGTCACGGAGGACAGGGAAGGTTGCAAAGGTCCCTGAAAACCCCTTTTCCCACTCTCCTACCTCTGTTCCAGATGGAGAGGTGATGGCCAGGACTCAGGAGAGGAGTCCTCACGTCTCCATCCTTCACAGAGCTGGCCTCTCCCAGAAGGCTTCTAAGAGGGACCGGGTCCCTCCACTCACAACCCAGGGGACGACCAGGCGAGAAGATCCCGCTTTTGTCCCATTTCATGTGCTTTGGTTTGATCCTCATCAGAATGTGTGCTAAGAGGAAAAATGAATATACGGAAAGACCCCTGGGTCCTTTTACCTCGAGTCCTGAGAGCTGGTGAGAGCCACAGGGAAGGGGAGCTGCGGTGATACGTGCAGCCTGGTTCAGCGTGTGGCAGGGGGGCAAAGCTTCTGCAGCCCTGATGGTTTTTATAACTATTTTCACTTGAGTCTAATTCCTCCCAACTACACTTGAAATCATCTCTTCTCGTTCTGCCCTCTGTGGAAATAGCATTAATAGCTGCTAACTCTTTTCCACTTAATAATCATGAAATCGTCTTTTCCATTCCTGAAGTCTGCCTGCAAATAAATTTTATAGAAGTAATCCCGATTCCCAGGTCCAGGAGCAATTTAAGAGGATTGTACTTTGGAGAGATTAAACAACATGGCACAGGGTGATAAACATGGCATCTGATTTCAGCTAAGCAGTGGCAATGACCACTGGGCACAAAGCTTGGTCTAGAACATGTTCAGAACCCCCTGAGAAGTTCTGCCTCAGTCTGCATACTCCTGAGGCTCTGTCCTGGTCTCTGGACCACCAAGTTCCGGAACACTGATCAGCACCAATGTGACATGAGGGACCCGTGGAGGATTCGGTGACTGGAAGTCACAGTTCTGGCCCTGCCAAGTATCTGCTGTGGATATTACTAAGACAAGCATCTCTTTCCGTTTCTGCTTCATCCTTTACACAATTGAAACAATAATAAATATGGCCCAATAATAAATATAACTGAGCACTATTATAAAGTTCTGGTCTGCTGAAAGGGGAAATTTAAGAACATTTCTTTTTTCTCTATTTTTTTGTCCTCTAAACCCTGCCCTCCAACCTTTTCCCCTGGGAAAACAGCAGAGAGAAAATAAAGCAGAGTGTTCCAGAATGGTTTTCATCTACCCAGAATAAAGTTAAGAGGATCAATACCTAAAACACGTATCTGCTCTACCCTACCCTTGAATCTTGATTAAAAAAGGTTCATAAAATATGGTAATATCTGCTCCTAGAAAATATCAAATTCACCTTCATAACTAAATAGTAGCTGCTTTCTGACTCGATGATTAACTCACTTTTACCATGATGCTCCTTTTTTTAACATAAGTAAACTGAGGTACAACAAAAACTGAGACCCTTTTCCAAGACCTCGGTGTCTCTTCGGCAGCCGGGCCAGTCTGGCTGGCTGGCTCTCAGACGTGGGCTCGGGCCCGTGTTCCGATACAGACAGGGAAACACGCCGTCTGCCTGGGCACAGGTGCACGTGTGTGCAAACACACACACACACACACACGCCTTTCCTACCTCATCAAATCCCATCTTGTCTGGATATTTAGGGACCACTGAGACAAACTGGGAAGGTTCCATGGGAGGACCGTCAACTGGAAGACACGAGAAACACAGAGAGTGCTTTGTTAGTGAAAGGCGCGGAGAGCAGCACTCCACCCGCGCGCCTGCCTCTAAGAACACAAGCCGGGTGCCCAGGCAGGGGCAGCCGGCCGCTCCGCAGTGTCCCAGGGCTCCGAGGCGGCACGAGAGCCCTGGTGGGGGCGGCGCCGGTGCTGAGGGCACTTGCTTATATGCAGATTGCACTGTTTGCTCTCATTTCCCTTAAGACCTGTTTTAGGAGCATTTAGGAGGTGGTTCAGGGCCATGATGAAGGGCTCTGGAGTCAGATGATCTGGGTCCAGACTTTGGTCTGTGAAGGTCTGGAACAGCTGGTGACGTCTCTGAGCTTGCTTCTTTGCGTGTAGACTCAGGATAGTAGAAGTGTATCTCTTAGAGGGCTGTAAAACTTAAACGAGACCAACAGGCAAAGCACTAACATAATAAACATTTAATGACTCCTAGCTCGTACTCACCGTGGCCCACGATGCAAGAGCTAAAAAACAGGCAGGATTTTTTTTTTCCTGAAGAATGCTTTCTTCCCCCTATACATTTAAAGTTGTCAAACTCTGGGACTAGTTTTTATCCCATCCAAGCAGGTTGAGCTAAAGGTCCTTTATTTTAATGTGAACTCGCCTCCAAGGGCCAGCCCATATCCCAGAACTTGGTACAGGGAAACAGGCAAGTTTCCAGAGGTGTGTCATGTCTCAAGTAGTAAAAGTTTTATGTATTTGATACTCGGAAAAAGCTTTTGTTAGAAACTCTGTATTCTAAAGGTTAGAAGCAATGTTGAGGAAAGAACCTGAGAAGGTCTCGAAGATTTTTGGTATTGCACAAATTCAAAGTGCCCCTTTGGTTTGCCTTAAAGACATAATGCAAGGGAAATTTTAAGTGCGAGCTGGTAACTGAAAAACGATCGCTGATGGTCATTGCTCCTGTTCACCAATCACCGATATCCATTCCTCTCTATTTCAGGAAGGTGGTCATGGCCACATGAGTTGCTGCCATTCAAATCTCCAAACCCTCCTCCCACCCCCACCCCAGCCCCACCACAGTGATCTTAGCAGCCTGTGTTGATATGGAAAAGTCACAAACTTGAGGATGCCTGCCAGCATGTGGAGGGTGGCTGCCCGGGAAAGACACCAGGACCACCGCAGAACTTGCACAGCAAGACAGGAGCCACGGCTGTATGAAGCCAACGAGAGGTCAGCGCTGTTCGGTATCCCAGCATAACTTCGCCCATCCTGACTGAGATATTGTCCAAACAGTATCAGTGATTTACCTTACCCTTCACTGGGGGGTTAAAGACAAACCATGACGTCCAGTTTGACTTATGATCAAATGATGTGAAACTGTACAAGGTGGTGGAAAAGGTCCCCTAAGCCAAACATGAGAGTTGGTCTTCTATCAAGCCCGACCCTCACCGTCACACTTCTGTGAATACACAGTGCAAGTGTTTCTGTTTCTATTAGCAGCCCGGAATATTTTGGTCCTCTCTGCTCCACCCCACTCCATTAATTTCTTTTAAAATCAACAAATGTTGACTGCAGGGCCACCACGTACAGGGTTAGGTTTTTACGAGGAAAAAACACAACATACAAACTCCTTCCTGTTCGCGTTGTTTGAGGAGCTGTCTAGTTCTCCCTGGTTGGGCCCTGGACCTGGGGCGGGGGTATGTATTTGGGGTTACCCTTTCCGCTCTACTGGTCTCCACTTGGCACTCTCACGGACTGCCTGGCTGTAACATTTCAGCCAAAAAGACTACTTTTAACCACTTTGCTCCCATGAAACATGGGCAGTCCTTGCATTCACAGGGCAAGTATCCCCAGAAGCCACAAGCGTCTGGCTCCTGAAAACCACCACTGAGCAGAAATACGAGACTCAGGCGTGGGTTTTGTCACTGCAGGTAGAGCTGAGTCATAGGGAAAACAAGAAATTCCATGAGTTCGACCGGAAAAGCTCACTATGTGGGGAGAAGGGATGCCCTGGCTGACATCAGACTTGAAGGTGAGGTGCATGCCAGCTTCTGTCTGCAGCCATTCCTGACTCCGTCATTCATAATTAATCCAGTCCCTCACTGAATCCCTCCCTATCCACGTCCCTCACTGTTCCACCAACTGAGATGTGCTTCACTAGCTCCTGGGTAGTTTCAAGACCTCGGAATAATAATAGTTCCTGGTAGAGAGAGCGTATTACTCACTGAACTCTGGGCTACACTCTTGTCATACGTCATCATATTTATTTAATCTTCACAACGTGCACTATGGGATGGGTCTGAGTGTCGCTGTTTCATAAGGAAACAAAGGCTTAGGTATCTTGCCCAAGGTCACAGAGCTGAGGGAGCTGACATCCGAGCCCACATCTGACTCCTGCGCTGAACCCGCAACCGCCACTCTACCCTGTCCCCAGAGTTGTTCTTTGGCAGCCACTGGCATCAAGTTGGCCTTGGGCAACTGGGCTGGGCTCATAGCAGCTCGGTTAGCTAAGTCCTTGCTCCTGGGCGACCACCACCTGTCGCTCCTTCTGCGGTCTACACTGGAGCACACACCACCCAGCATACAATGGACCAGCCCAGCCACGCCTGGGAAGGTATTTGAGAGATTGTGCTTGGACCAAATCCTCACTTCTCTATAGCTTTTCCTGGATTTCTTCCATGGCTGCAGTCACACCCTAGCGCAGTCCTCACTCACCATGCCTGGGCTGTTCGACTGTTTCTCAGACACTCACATGCTCTTGGTCTCGCCTCACTGTCACTCATTTTGCATACTGTTGCCAAAATAATCTTGTCCCTCAGACACAGCTCTGCTCTCCGCCATGACAGTCATGCTTGGCCCTTAAGTGCATTACAATGTGTTAAGTGGTTTCATAATCACATCGTTTTTTCTCCACTTGTATTTTTTGGGAGGAGGAGGGTCTTATTTGTTTTTATAAATGTGGAAATTGAGGTCAACCCAGAGGCAGTCTTGCCCAAGGTCAAAGAGTGAGTGATTGGTAGACCTGGAACTCGGTTTTGGACCTTCTGCCTTCACATCCAGTATTCCTAACAACCCTTACATGACATTCTGTTGCCTCACAAAATGTCATTATTGGGAACAGGCACCTAAGATTTCCCCCTGCCTCATGCTCTGATTTGCACGACCAGTCTCCTTGTGCCTCATAACTCACGCACTCCTATCACCTTTGCAAGAGCTCACCCCCTGTCGGTCATCCTCAAATTGGTCTGTACAGGATGCACATTCCCAAACTTTCTGTACAGCTCCTAATGTATTAAGTGAGTAAGGACATGTGATGCAATGGGCAGAGTGCTTTTAAAACTGTCAGCCATCGGCGTGGTTTTATCCCATCTCCACCACACCCAAGGTCTTCCACTCTGCCCTCTGGAAACTCCAGTCTGAAAGTCATAAACTCTCCGATATTTTCAGTCCCTTCACTTTTTCTGAATATCTCTTTGCCTTTTTATTTTGGCTAAAACTCGGCTTTCCTTAGAAGACACTGCCTCCTTTTCAGCAGACTCGAAGCTGCTTTTTCTCATCTCCTTCAACTCACTCCAAACTGTTTTCTCTTTCATCCCTCAAAACCTCCAGCTTCTCTGAAGCATATTTTAGCATCCTCCACCTCCTAATCCTCTGGCTCACTGTCTCCACCATCATTCTTTGAAACCTCAGCATCCACATGGTGATCCATCCACCAACCTGGCTTCTAAGTCCTCAACTTTAGCACCAACAACCATTCTTTCAGTGACCCACCACCATATCTGCAACCATCACACCCTTCTTGTCCTCACTTCCATTAGCAGCCAACCTAGATTTCATGGTCTAGCACTCTAAACGTCCCTTGGAAAGACTCTGACATTCCCTTCCATTGATCTTGCTTGGTAAAACTCCAAATGTGGAACACTGTGTGAGAAATTCACACAATCGTGTTGACTGGATCACTTCAGAATTACAACCACAGATGTCAGAATGGCACTCGATACTGCCAAATGATGCAACAGTAAATCTGCTTTCCCATTCTCTGAGAGATCTGTTTTATGTCGTTTCCTCTCTCCTGACATCTTCAGCATCTCTCTTGATCTGCTGATTCGACTACATACGTCATAGAGAAAATGTTTAAAGCCAAATTAGGCCTACCTTCTCCTTCCATCTCAAGTCTACAAACCCAGCTGCATCTGTCCCTACACATCCTGCCTTCCCACCTGCTACAGCAACCCTGTTCTATCTAGAATGTGTTTTTCTCAAGGACTTTCTCAAGGACTTCAGACTTAATTTACTTTCCTTTCTACAATTCTCATTGTATATTGGATTTTTTTCATTAACATACAAACATGCTAAAATCCTATCTTAAAAAAAAAAAACAAAATGAAACAAAACAAAACCACCTCTCCCTTGGTCTCTCACTCTTTTACAGCCACTACCCTAGTCCGTATGCCCACGAGATTCCACTTTCTCATGTCCCCATTGCCCTCTCCTCAGCCCACTCCAGTGGACTTTGTCCCCATCATGGCACTGAAGTGGTTCTTGTCAAGGTCATCACAGATCGCTATCTCGAGAGAACCAATGATCAGTTCCCTTTCTTCATTGTACTTGACTTTGCAGCATCTGGCTCCTTCTTGAAACGCTTCTCAGTTTTTCCTTCAGGCTTTCTGGCTGTCTGTCTTCCCCAGGGATCGGTCCTCCACCCTCTCCTCTTCTTTTTCTATGTTCTTCTACTAAACAAGTTCACACTGTTCCATGGCTTCAAATATCATCTTAATGCTGATGACTCTCAAGGGTCTGTTTCCAACTGGAGTCTCTTCCCTGAACTCCAGATTCATCTACCCAACTATCTCCTAACTTCTCCACTCAGATGTCTAAGAAAAATCTTAAGCTTGCATGACCGAAACTTCCTTCCTCAAGTCTTTTCCTATAAAGCCCTTCTCATTTCATTAAATGGTATACTAGGCCAAAATCCTGGAGTCATCCTGGGTTCTTTGCTTTCCTTCATGGGCTGCATCCAGGTCTCTATAAGTCCTGCTGGCTCTAGCCCAAGAGCGATTCCAAATCCACCTGCTTCTCATCACCTCTCTGCTACAGTTTGCATTCCAACCACTATCATCTCTCACCAGGAGAGATGCGCTGGTCCCTGCACCCTAGTATCCACAACACAGTCTGAGCGATTTACCTAAATGCATGAATCATCTCCTACCATCGTCCCTCCCTCCTCTCACACGGAATCCCACTACTCTCAGAATAAAATCCAGATTCCTTACAGTGGCCGCAAGGTTTTGCATGATCTGAAAACTTCTTTCTCCATGACCCCACCTCCTTTTGGCCTTTGGCTCCTGGAGTACCACAGGCTCTTTCCTAAGATCCTTTGCATGTGTGTGCTTTCTGCTTGAAACACTATTCCCCGAACATTCATGTGGCGGCTTCCTTGACATATTGTGTTGGAATATAAATCTGTTGGCAGAGATGCTGCTGGTTTTGTTGACTGCTGTATCCCTAGCAACTGAACCATCCATGGAACATAGCATGTGTTTAACAACTATTTCTAGCCTGAATCTCTCTTCTAAAGCATCCTTACTGCTTCTAGGGTGGGCATGATGCTTTAGCTGGGTATTCAAGGACCACAACACCCAGGCCACTCCAGCCCTCAGCCTTGACTGCCTTCCGCTGCTCAAAGCCAACTCTCTTCCAGGGTGAGAATGCTTTCTGAACGACGTCTTTGCTCAGTCTGTGTCTTCTGCCTATCGCTCGCTCACCGTGTCATTCCTTTTGTTTAAATGCCACACTTCTATCAAAGCCCAGTTTAAGAACCACCAGGCTCTCCTAGATTGCCCCAGCCCACGGCAATCTCTCCTTATCCCAAATCCCTACTGCCCTCATATCTGCTCCTTTCACAAAGCACTACACTGCATCACTGGGTCTTTTTTAAAATCTGACCTGTCTCCTCAGTTAAGTGTCAACACCCAGCAAAGACCTGGTTGTAAAATGTTTTGAATCACCAGCACCCTCACAGGGTGACCCCTACGGTGTAGGTGAGCATCCAGCGTTTATACAGGAATATGATGCCTCCTCTAATGCTTCAATTGTACAGTCTATTCGCAGCCATTTATTAGCTGCCCACTGGGCTCCAGATGCTGTGCAAAGGGCTTTTAACATCTAGCTCATCCTTCCTGAGATGCTTGACAGATACGGTTCCATCTTCACCAGCCTTTTCTTAGTCCTACACAGGCCTCCAGCCCATGTTCCTGTGTTCTTACCCTCAAAGGTTGATTTTCAATTACCTTCTTTATCCCAGTGATGTTCTGTTTTTTAAAATTCAGAATCTGAAATTTTAACAAAATAGTAACTAGGGAAGGTAAATAAAGAACTAAATAAAATGTGATTATCCAAAGGGCCTCGTACCAGAGTTGAGACGTACAGGGGATTAGCAATGACAGCTGTGGGTCACAGGCTGAGCCCCGTGAGGACCCCACCCCGCCCCAGCACGAGTGCTGTGCATGTCTGTGATCACCAGCACCGATGTTGACTGTGTGTGTGCTTCTGTGCACAGGGAACTTTCTACGCCATCAGTTCTAAGGGGGAAAAGAAGAGAAGGCAAGGCTCTGGGCAGCCTCTGGGCTGACGTCTACTGGGAGTCAAGACTGACAGCCACGGAGCGGGGTTAATAAGGGGAAACACGTTACCAAGCGTTAACGGGGAGTCCTAATAACAGCAACACCTACTCGTCCATGAAGTCGATGTGCATTACTTCATTTGCTCCTCCCAACTCTGCAAAGATCGGTGTTATTCTCCTGTCGACTGAAACAAATGCACCACCTAAAAGTTGAGAGTTACGGTTTACTCGGTGGACACTTCTGGGGACTGGAGACCAGGACGACAGCCTCTCGGATCAGATCGCTCTGAAGGACTGCTCCGAAGAGGGAGGGGAGGAGCCAGGATATACGGGAGTCTTACAACAAAGACCAGGTAGTCTGAACATTAGAAGATTACTTGTTAACTGAAGAAAACCAGGCATCTCAAGTTCAAGAATTTAGCGCTTCTCTAGGAGCAAACTTTGGGCTCACTGAATCCATTCCTTTGACAAGCACCTAGCTATCCAGGGCCAGCATCCTGTCCTTTGTTATTCTGAGTCCCTCAGAGGGCACCACTGTGAGTGGCTGCAGAGGCCGGGCTGCAGGCTTGTCATTACTGGGGCGGGGGTGGGGGGGGCGCTGATGACTTGATGGCTTCAGCATTCTTTGTTTACTGACATGGTTTGCAGTATTTTTCGTTTACGATCCTCACTCCACAGATAAAGGAACTAAAGCTCTGAGAGGTTGAGTCTCCCTTCGTGCATGACAGAGCCTGAGTTCAAGTCCATTATCCTGGCTTCAAGTTCACTGCTCTTTGCAGTACAGTTTTTATTCACTTACTTATTCTCTCATTCACTTGTCTGGTCATGCACTCAGCAAATATTTGTTCATTCCCAAACAAGTATCATGCACTGCGCTAGGTGTTTGGGATAGAAGGCAATAAGACACTGCCCTTGGCCTCTAGGGTCTAGAACACAGATAAGAGGCAGAGGCAGTATGTATTAAAGACACTCACACAAGAACTCCTAAGGGCTGGTTCTAGAAATACTATCACAATGAACCAGCTGCTATTCAGCCCTCACTTCCCTCCCAAGCGCCGTTCCTTCCCCCATTACCTCAGTTGTTCTCCTCACACACAGAGAACAGAACTGATCTCTTGTTTCTCTTTTCAAACCCAAGGACACTCAGACTAGGAAAGACCGAGCGGCTTGTAAACAGTCAAGCACATCAGCAGCGAAGGCTGCGCTGTCAGGAGTGCTTCGCTCTCCCCATCCGCGGGAGTCAACGGATGGGCAGATGGACCTGGCTCATCACCCTGATCCGCCCCTGCGCACTGGGCCGCCTGATGTTTTATCAACAGAATCCTATGTAAATACAGTAGGAGAGCTTCACATTTAAAGGAATCTTCCGTTGAATCTTTATAATCATTACTGTCTTTCTTATCTTCTGGTCCCAACTCTGTTTCTTTAAAAAAACAAAAACAAAAACAAAAACTCTGCTTCCTCTCTATGTCCTTGCTTTTTCATTATTTCTCACTTTGAATTTCTGAGTCAGCCTTTTCTGAAACCATTCTTGTCATGGGCATTAGCTGGAAAAAAACCCATGGACTCTTTTTCAGTCCTTATCTTACTTGAACTTTTTCCCACACCTCATGCTCCTGTTTTCTTTGGAATTCTGGGATACCACATTACTTTGCTGGTGAATCTCAACCTCATATCTTGAGGCTTGATAGCACTTAAGTTCCAGATTCATCTCTCCATCTACTCACTGGGCATCTGCACCTGAACTCATTCATTCAGTTATTTGACAAATATTTACTGGGTGCCTACTAGGTGGCAGGTAATGGGTTATATCTTGAGACTAACATGAATGAGGAATTTATTGTCTGGGAGTGGGGAACAGGAAATTGGTGTTTTTATGGGCAACTCAGTGAGTCTAAAAATGAAGTCATAATTTTTCTTTGCAAATATCTTCTTAAATCTACACGCACTTAATGTTTCTATAGTCATTCCAGATGCTCAAGTCAGAACTTAGAAGTTTCCCTCTGCTTCCCTTCTGCGCATCCAAAACCCTTGGCTAAGTCTTTTCAAGTCTATGTCATAACTTTCATCTCCATTCCCACCGCTCCTGCCCCAGCCCAGATCCTCACCATCTTTCACCTAGTTTACCATGCAATGTCCAAAACGGTCCCTCTGGGCTGAGCCCAGCACCCACTGCCTCACCCTGCCCTGGCCGTACTTCCCTTATCACCAGGTTTCAATCTGATATTTCTCTGCTAAAATCTCTTAAAAAGCTCCCTTCCTTTCAGGAAAAATGCAAACACTTTCTTATACATTAGAGGTCCTTCTAACTGGGTTCCTGTCGACTTTCCAACCTCACTTCTCACTGTACCTCCCCAGTGACCCCCACTGGCCATGTACGCACAGCCTTGCTCCAGTGATGAATAACAGAATTTCTCAGATGCTGCGTGACAGTTCAGTGCAAACCTTCCCTCCCCTGGGTGGACACTCCCAAGATCCTCCCCTAGCAGAGTAGCCTGGTCACTCTCTCCTTTAGGCACCAAGCACATTGGACATAATAATTAGACATAATAATCTGTGCCCTGATTATCAAGCATTTACCAATCCTGGCATCATGCCAGAGCCAGAGGCAAGAACAACAGTGTTTAAGAACCTGAGCTTTGGAGACAAAGCCCAGCTGACAAATAAATGTGTCATTTACTTAGTAGAATGGTCTAGAGCAGGACACTTAAACCCTCTACGCCCCAATTTCTCCATCTTTAATGTGAGGATAATAAAACCCCTTCCACTGAGTTGTTGTAAGGATGACTGAGACAAAGTACAAAAATGTCTATCATGTTATGTGTTACATCATAAGCTATTACTAAATTGAAGTCAGAACGATCATTTTTGGTAGTAGACTTTTTATATACATCTCATGGAGAATTTGCCCCCAAACACTACATGTTTTAATCTTCATTTCACAACTAAGGAGGTCAGATTACTTGCCTAAAGCCATATAATTAGAAAGCAACAAAGTCAGAGTTTAAATCCAGACCACAAAACACCATTAGAGCCCTTATGACATTGTGTGAAATGTATTTACTGTGTACCCAGCTCTCCACCTGCTCGGGAAGCCCCCTGGGGGCAAAGACTTTGTCACATTCATACTTCACACAGGGAAAGTTTAAGACTGAATGAACAAGTGAACAAATGTGTTTCAGCCAAGGCAGCCTGACGGCTATGAGGTTCCAGGCCTGGGAGAGGGGAGCAGAGGCTGGTGTGGGCACCGTGGCAACGGACCAAGAGCCATCCCCGGGCTCCTGGGTCACTCACTCATTGCTTCTGTCTGCACGTGGACGAAGTTCTCGACGTCCTCCTGCAGGGTCTGATGGGGCTTCAGGGGGATGGGCAGGTAGCCGTAGTGCTCTCTGTTACAGAGATACATCTGGATGCCTGAGGACACAAGAGAGGGACAAAACTGGCCAGTCAGAGAACACATTTCTTAGTCTATAATGACAACCAAGGAAAAAGAGACTGGCCTGGGGCCGAAGCGGAGCTTGGCACAGAAATTGAACAAGTAGTTGTTTCAGGCACTGTCTGTAGACCTCAAAAATGCTCCTTTATTAAGAAAGTATAACACAGCATTGGGGGCAAAGAAAAATCTTGGGCCATTCTTCAGCTTAGAGGAAATTGATTTTTTTCCTCTCTGAAGAAAAAGCATCCTCGTGGCACGAACACTAAAGGCCTGAAAGGATCAAAAAGGAGGCCAGGAATTCCTGCTCCGAGAACAGAATGGAGCACTGCAATCCACCCACAGGAGACAGTGAGGGACAGCGGCCACGCCGGATGCGAAAACAAACAGGAAAATCCTGTAAGGCCGACAGATTATTACTAAAGCTAACTCTAGTCACATGTAGAACAAAAAATAAAAAACAGAGGAAATTTAAAATTTTCCATGATTCCCCATGGCTTTATTTCTTCTGTTAGCAAGTATGGCTTTGGAGTCAACCAACAGACATGAAATTTTGATAATAGAGTCAGAAAGGGACCAAAAAAGAGCCTGCATTTCAAGTTCAGTTAAGAACCCACACGAAAAGACAACCTATGGAATGGGAGAAAATATTTGCAAACAATGTGAATGACCGGAGCTTAATTTCCACAATATACAAACAGCTCATACAACTCAATAACCATAAAACAAACAACCCAATCAAAAAATGGGCAGAAGACCTAAACAAACATTTCTCCAATGAAGACATACAGATGGTCGACAGGCACAGGAAAAAATGCTCAATTTCGTAATTATCAGAGAAATGCAAATCAAAACTACAACGAGGTACCATCTTACACCAGTCAGAATGGCCATCATTCAAAAGTCCACAAATGATAAATGCGGGAGAGGGTGTAGAGAAAAGGGAACCATCCAATGTTGATGGGAATATAAATTGGTTCAGCCTTTATGGAAAATAGTATGGGGATTCCTTAAAAAAGTAAAAACAGAGTTACCATATGATCCAGCAATCCCACTCCTGGGCATATATCTGGAGGAAATTCTAATTCAAAAGGGTACATGCACCCCAGTGTTCATAGCAGCACTATTTACAATAGCCAAGATATGGAAGCAACCTAAATGTCCATCGACAGATGACTAGATAAAGAAAATGTGATATATATACAATGGAATACTACTCAGTCATAAAAAAGAATAAAATAATGTCATTTGCAGCAACATGGATGGATCTAGAGATCATCATATAAAGTGAAGTAAGCCAGAAAGAGAAAGAAAAATACCATATGATATGACTTATATGTGGAATCTTAAAAAAAAACCAATAAAGGATGCAAATGAATTTATTTACAAAACAGAGACAGACTCACAGACATAGAAAATAAACTTACAATTACAAGGGGGGAAAGAGGGTGGGGAGGGATATATTGGCAGTTGGGAATTGCAGATAATAATGACTATATATAAATAAACAAGGTCCTACTGTACAGCCAGGGACGTATTCAATACCTTACAATGACCTACAATGAAAAAGAATATGAAAGGGAGTATTATATATGTATGTATATATAAATGAAGCACTATGCTGCACACCAGAAATTAACACAACATTGTAAATTGACTACACTTCAGTTAAAATAAAAAATTAAAAAGTAAAAAGAATTTGCAGTATGATAATGACAGAGACATATCACAGCCCTCGTTTTCAACGCTTGTCCTCACAGCCCCCGCTGGCTAACTCCATGAGTTCGACAGCATGTGTCTTCAACCAGGTAGCTAGCGATACTGGAATTCAGACGGGCTCAGAGACGTCCAGCAGCTGGTGGTCGTGACTAGGGAAAAGCGTGCTGAGGTAGCAGGAAGAGCCTGCCACGCTCTGGTCCACGTGCCCAAGCTTCTGCTGTGTTAATTTCTATAATCGCCCATGCCTTCCAGACCGAGAATCACCCGCAAGGTGACTTCTCTATTTTGTGTAGATGACATTTCCTCCAGTCAGTTGCATCACCTTCCAAATCGGGTGGAGCTGTCTCATGGCATTAACAGAGAAGAACAAACAAAGAAAAGAGCCTTTGTCCTCCCCTTTACTGAATCTGGCTCCAGTCAGGGCTGGTCCTGCAAACACTGTCACCGCTCTTGCCCACCCCAGGTGAACTCACTAGCTCTCCTGTGTGCCCACACGAATGCTTCTGAGAAACTTCAAACCAAAATGTACCCTCCTGCAAGGTCGTGATGAGTTCAGGAAACAGAAGGAAAGTGATTTAATGTTTAGGTTGCCTCTCTACCCTAATTAGGCAAATCATTTTACCAATCAACTTTCCAAAGCTTCAGTAAAAAAGGGAGATGAGACCTAGCCAAGCTATCCATCAAGTGTGAGGGGACAAGAAAGGCATTTTCAGACACGCAAGATCATAAATATTTACTTCCTATCACACTTCCTCAAACAGTGACTGGATGATGTGAGGGAAGGAGAAGAAAGAGGAGTAAGGGGGAGGAAAGGAGAGGGTGGGGGTTACAAAACAAACAATCAAACAAGGAAGGTGTGGAACACAATGAACAGGAGAGTCACTGCAGAAGGGAAGAGGAGGAGCCCCAGGTCCCCAACGCTGGCACCTCTCAGACAGAGAGATTAGGAAGCTCCCAGAGAGACGCCTTCACACACAGGCACAAAGAACATTTATTTGCTAAATCGGGCCATTCCAAGAGGTGCTTTAGACAACTGGGGATTAGCTTTGGACTGTATTAGTAATAATAAAACTAAGCAAATAAAAAAAGGCAATCACTAAATTAGATATGAAAGGAAAACCAACCATAGTCTATAATTGGAATTGGGGTCACTTGATTACGACAACAAAAACACTGACCATCGATCTGTCTTCAATTACCATATGCAACTCTACCAAGAGGACAGGGTGCCGAGAAGAATGCATCGGTGTGGAGGGGCCAGAGGGCGGAGAGAGAGCCAACTCCTCGTCTTCTGTAGTGGAGTCAAAAGGCGATGCCCAAAGCAAAACCAGGGTATCGAGAAGGAGCGTCGCAAAGCGTGCTGTTTGGAAATGCGGATGTGACTGTTACACCTGTATCGTCATCTGGAGATCAAAGCTCTTGTCTTCCAGACCAGGGAACTGGCACAGGAGGGTGACGTGCAGGGGGTTTTTACAATAAACAGTGGGGGGCTATTTGGACTGTTTCAACTATGTGCCTCAATAATTTGATTAAAAAATTTTAAAGGAAATGCGTTAATAATTAGGTAAAATCTGTGAAGGAATCTAGTACTCTCCGTGAAAGCTACTTCTGGCACAAACAATTTTCTCTTTGAAAAAGAAAGGCCTGAAGGCTTGTACTTCTCTTATGAAGACAGCAAACATTTTCTTGCACACACATGGCACCTTAACACTACAGACTGACACGCCTACATTTATTTCTGGTGATGGAAACTCAGACGCCGAGAGGCTGTGATTTGCCCAAAGTCACCCAGTAAGTCATTAGTGCCAAAGCCCTGTCCCTAAAGGGCCAATGCCAAGAATCCTTCTATCCACCCAGAATCTGGAAGCCATGTCTCAGGACTGGCAGTCACTCTGATCGCCACCCCTGAACACGGAAGTAACTTTTGATTACTCCCAGTGATGTGCAGGAGGCAGGTCTGCCTGCCCGTCACCCACATCTCCAGCCTCTTTTGCCTCACATCTGGAAGACATCTGGAAGATGACTGGCTGGTGCCAGAGATGGTTACTGTGGCCACAATACAAGGCCCAGATCACTGGCCACAGTGGGAAGTGGACTCGACCCTGGCCTCATGACAGCCAGAGACTCGCCCATGTCCCCTGGGCTCGCTTGCCGGGCTAGATGGGCAGCCTTGCCCAGCACACCGGCACCCTCGGATTGCTGCTGTCTCTCATCACTCACATGTGGCAATGCCTGGAGTCAGAGGTGAGCCATTAAGGATCAAGCTTAGATGGTCCTGCCTGGGACATGAGGACACTTTATTTTCTTTTGGACGTAAAAAAAATGATGCTCCAAAGGCTGATACCTAGCTAGGGAGCTTCACAGGAGTGGGACCAAAAGAATATACATCATCCTTCATTAAGACTCTTTTAAAGAGAGAATGGAAGTGCTTTGTTTTGGATCTAAGAGGGGAAGAGCCTGGGAAACACCCCATGGGCTGCCCAGGACTCCCAGGCTCATTTGAGTCTCTTCTCAAAATACTTCAAGGGGGAGAGTGTAGCTCAAGTGGTAGAGCGCATGCTCAGCATGCACAGGGTTCTAGGTTCAATCCCCAGTACCTCCTCTAAAAATAAAGAAATAAATTAACCTCATTACCTACCCCCTTCAAAAAAAAACCTAAAAAATTATACTGCTTAAAGTCAGGAGAATGAATTAAATGTTTTCTTAGGAGCCCAATCATTTTTATATATCCACAGAGAGAAGCAATAAATGTTACAAGAAGAATCTGACCGTGAAGCCTCCAGCAGGTGGGAAGCGGGCAGGACACAGCCACTCATGGAATGCCAGCAGTTAACACCAGGATGGTGGGAGATTTGACCCGCAGGAAGCCTTGAGGCTCAAGATGGCAGGAGATTTGACTTCCGAGAGACCTTGAGCTTCATTATGCGCTCACTGTAACATATCAGCATGACAAATAACATGCCCACAGGCGCCATGGCAGTCCCAAGGCTGACCATGAAAGGTCAAAGGGTGGGCGGTGGCCTGAGTCCTGGGAACCCCAGCCCCTTCCCCAGCGGTGCTGGAATGGTCCTCCCATTTGCTGGCATGTGAAGCTACCAAGCCCGTAAAAACTGGCAACACTGTGCCCGCCAGCTCTGTTGAGGCGGGGGTGTATCCACTTTTACTTTAACCTGAGCATCCAACCCCCACACCTCGTGGCCTTTCTCTCGCCTTCTGAAACAGCCTACGCTCTAGACAGTATGTATCTCTCTAAATAAATCTATCTTCATTCAAAAAGAAAGCAAGCAAGAGAGAAACCTAATTACCTTCCCCCCCCCAAGAAAGGTTAAAAATACTTCAGGATGAGTAAAAGTGCTACCCTAGGACCACCGACTGTCAGCAAAGCGCTGACACCCCCCTAAATGGCAGTCACTCTTTCCTGCCCTGCCTCCTGGCCCGTTCACAGTCTGTACCAGTAATCTGACCCTCAGCTCTCACCTCTTATGTCTGTGGCCTGCGTTCCCACCTGTACACATCTCCTCCTCCGCCATCCCAGAGCTAGCCCAGCGCCAGGCACACAGGGAAGCCTGGAAGGCTGAGCCTCTCTCCTTTCTTTCCTGCCTCTCCCCTCTCTCCCCAGTGGAATCACCAAGCAGCTCGGGGCCTCCGCACCTGCTTTCAACGTCCCGGGAAGGCTACGGGAATGTGACCAACCAAGATGAAGTCCCAGTGAACAGGCGACGCTAGGGGCAGAGCTGAAAAATTTCTATGCAGCCCATGTCACTCTTCCAGCCCCAAATCTAATTTTTGGTTTAAAAAATATATCATAATAATTTAGTGCCTGGGTCACAATAATGCCTTGTGCCATGGCTACCAAGGAGGCCTTTGTTAGGCGAGGATCATTACTGTAATTGTTAATCACTCACTTTCTTGGAACATCCTTACTTAAGCTCTTAAGCAAAAGGACTGGCACAACTTGAAGGGCTGGGAAGGCCCTGAGTCTGCTTCCCATCCTGGAGGAGTCAGAGCCAATCACAGGCCAAGTGGAAACCAGCAGTCACCACTCGTACTGACACAAGGACTGTCATGAGAACTTCCTGCCCACATGAGGATGAAAAGCTCGCTTTTGCCCTGACACAGGCCTAAAAAATGCCTACACTTGGCCAAATGGCTCTAAATGGCTCTAGCAGCCAAGGGAAGATAACCAGCTTTCCACATTTTCACCAAATATCCTCGTTCCTATCAAATCTGCAGCGGATGAGGGGGACCCCCTGTGGCTTCCAGGACGGCCTGATGCATGAGCCGTGGCTCGGGTTTGTATTAACATTCTCAGCTGCCGGCAACCTGCCTCAGCCGCCTGGGGTCCTGACATCATGCCATCCCCCCCGACTTACATGGCCACGTGGGTTTACACACCATCCGCCTGGTTTCTAAACTCACTTTCGCTCGTGGTGAAGTGGCACGTTTCTGGCTCATTGGTCGTGGGACCTGACTTTTGTCAGGGAGGCCTGAACGATCTTGAGAATAAAGCTCTGCGTTAGGAATGTCGTGTACCCGCACGCGGAACTGCTTCAGGGCACTGCATCCTCCCTGACTTTCCCGCCGACTTGTCGTCCTCAAAAAGCCTACAACAGTTCATGAAGGAGTCAAGCCTGGCTTGGCCTTTCTTCCCATGGGGACTGACCGAGACTGCTGGGTGTCTCCCCAGATCTGTCCTCTTCAAGAGAGAGAACTGGGGCTCTGGACTGAGTAGAATACAGACAACATTCGGAGCCTCCCTTTCCACGAGGTGTTGCCCTGTGACTCAGTGTGGCTAATGGGCTATGCACGGAAGTGCTGTGGTCATCCTCAGGACCGTAGCACCTGAAGGGCGGGACAGCGCCGGCCCCTCTCTGGTCTTCACTGGGTGGCTGGAATGCTTCCACGCCGATGAGACATTCTGGGCCACATGATTGAGGGCGACACCTCCTGGAGGGCGGAGAAGCAGCAGAGGTGGGGCCCGACTGTCTGAGACCTCCGTGGAGTGGGGCCACTCTGCTAGCTCCGGTCCTTTTGAGAAGAAATAAACTTCCATTGCTTAAGTCTGGGTCTTTCCCAGGGTTGTTCTGGCCTCTGTCACAGTTTTCTAGTGAATACAAGGACTCCTGTAACGAACAGAGCACTGCAGCAGTGTCACACGTCCAGGGCTCCTGCCACCATCGCCACTGCCCCCCAGCCACTTAGGAAAAAAGAGAGAGTGGGCTCCTGGGTAGGGCTGGTCCTGGCCCTTGGTCGTTGGTGTCGCTGGCCGTCACAGGAACAGCAACCCAGAAAGTGCTGGTGGGATGACCAGACAATTAACTGCCTCTAACACTACCTGAACAGGAAACCTGTTTCCTTACGTAAGAGAGCTTTAAAATAAAATCTACAAAGCAAAGGAGCTGGTTATCTGAAGTGTTTCCACACTGGCAGCACAGCCGAATACGAGCAGTACCTGCTTGCCTGCTGGAGAAGGCGAAGACCATGATGTCGTCGAAGGCCCAGGTGTAGTCCTGGTGCGGGGGGTAGAACGCCAGCTGGTCGGAGGCCTCCTTCCTGAGGTCGATCAGGAACGTGGAGTGGACCATGGGGACGGGGAAGCAGCCCAGCCTCTTCCACTCTCTAATCTGAAGATAGTCTGGGGTCCGTTTATAGAAGCCCTGTGAAGGAGCCAACAGGTGGGTTACGCTCTCTGCTCTGAGGGCTTCCGCCCCCCCAATCTTCTGTTAGGCTGATTCCTAAGTCATCACCAGTTAAGCACAAACCCTCAAGCAAAGTCACCTTCGCTCTTTTTATCTTGGCCTGGGAATTTCCAACTGAGCTCAAGAAATGCTACTTACATTTAAAAGAACCCTAAGAGGGTCTTGTTATCAGAAGCAATTTTGCTTTCAGCGTATCTCTTGCCTTAATAGCTTCATAGAAGCATATTTTACGTTGACTTAGGATTGAATAAGACGTATGAGCAGTCAGAGATGGGGGAGCAGAGCAGTTAGGAGCTCAGATTCTGGGATCTGGGTGCTTGAGTTCAAGGCCCATCTCAGTTACTCATCGTCTGTAGTTACTGGTCAGGTTGCCGCGCCTTGCTGGGCCCACTTCCTCATGTGTAAAACAGGAATCACTATCTACTCCACGGGATTGTCTGTAAAAATTAACTAAGGTAAGACCTGAAAACTGCTGAGAATAGTGCCTAGCACCGAGAAAGCATCGATCAACATTGGCTGTTATTAAAATGACTACATTACATCGGCGAACATTGTTAACAAAACATGCGGTATTTAAATGTATAAATAGGGCCTTGTTTCAATGCAATTCCTTATTCACTGCTCCACACTTTTGGAGGGTTCTCCTTCTGACAGCTCCCTCTGGGCGAGCACACAGGACAACTGACCCTCTTACTTTGTGGTTTTGAACACATTGGTTTGGAACAACCAGCTGGTTTTCCCTCCAAACTCAACTGTTCACTCAACAAACATCTACTGAGTACCACTGTAATCCAGGCTACAGGAGGTGATGGAGCTTTAACAGTAAGTTGGCAATGCCAGTCTCAGCCCCCACGGAGTATAGAAGCCACTGACGCTTATGCTCCAGCGGCACCAGTGGTGGCCTGACTGTTGCCAAAGCCCAGATCCATCCCAGAGAAGACGAAGACGTGTCTCAACAAAACCTACTTCAAAGCGTGTATAAGCTTTGAGAGGCATTTCCAAAAACATTTCAGGCAACGGCGGGCTCGGGGAGTGCGAGGCTTCACAAGGCAGGAAGCGAAGGGCACGGTACCTGGTGGTTCCATACGTTCTTGAATATTCACCCATCAGCCCCATTATTTTCGGGTCACATTTTCTGCAGTGATGCCAGGACTCACACGTTAGGCACTGCCGCCTCTTCCCTGGCATTCCCTTCAGTGTCTGGACTGGTGTTCCAGCCAAGCTAACCCTCACACTGACCACGCATAAGGCAGAAGGACCACAGATCAAGACTTAGAAAATGTGAGTCTTAGCGTCATCTTAACCTTCCAGATGTTTGATCTGAGCCCCTGCTTGACCTCTTTGAGCCTACGTTTCTTCTGAAAAAATGGGGTAAAGGCTGATTATCTCACAGGGTTGTAGAAGGGATGGCACATAGTAAAGGTCTAAAAAGATACTTTGGAAACTGTAATGCATCATATGAAGTATTATTATTCCTACAATTTTTATTAGCCTTTCACTTAAGGATCACTTAACATCCTTCGACTTCTGAGCATTCGTCCAAGGGATAAAGAGAAGACTGGTTCTTTAAAGGACTGCCTCAGAACACCATCAAATATAAAGTTCTAGACTACTTAGGGATGATATTCTCAGAATGAGAAGCTTGGAAAATTCATAATGATGATGAATCACTGGATATCTGGGGGGCAGGGATGAAGGAAGCAAAGAAGAAATAAAGAGAGAAAGAGACTTAATATGCTTCCTGCAGACAGGCGTGGGCAAGAGATGTGTCTCTTTTTCCACATAAACTGAATGTTGTTGGTAATAATTCCCGCTCATTGGTCAGTACAAAACCAAGGTCATTTTGTTTTGAATGTGTTTAAAGGCTCTGGAAACCAGGGGCTGCTCTGAGCTCATGAAGTCATTGGCTGTTTCTGTTCCTAGCGGAAGCCTGCCTGGGAATGACAGAAAGCCAGCAACAAAGATAAATTAGAATTGCCCCTAAATTGCTTAGGTTTTACTTTTGCTGCGCAAAGTAAGTGAGCACATTTCTCCTGCCTGCTTTTAATAGGAAAGCAAAGGAGATAACAGAAACCTGGAGGCTGTGGTTACTAGAATAACCCACACTTATAGCTGGTGCCAATGCATAACTCATTCAAAACACTCCAGAGTGATTCTGACATGTGAAACACTGCCGGTTATTAACTAAGAGTGTATGAACTTAAACGAACTTAATAGACCATCTTCTTCCCAAGGAACTTAGTGGCTCTTATAAATAGGAACTTAATGGGTCTCTTAAAAGAGATGTGGATAATCCGCACCAAAATCTCTCAGATCTGCAGGAAATAACTGTAACAAAAGAGGAATGCCCATCCAGTAGTGTGCTAGAGGCGCCCACTGCCAAAGTTTCAGAAAGTTTATGAGCCAGTTGACATGTTAGCAACTTGAAATCTGTAAAAACAAAAATCACGTTAATCCCCACCGTTCTAAATAGACCATGGACAGCAAGCTTTGCATATTTTTAAAAATTATATCACCAAGTGGATGTACTGCAATTTACTTAACCTTTCCCTTAGCTTAAACAACATTTGCATGGTGGGCGTCCTTATACCATAAAAACTGGCAAAAGCTAGCAATCAGGGCTTTCCCCCTCAGAGAGCCAGTCATCAAACATTTTTCAGTGCATCACTGGCCTCATTCTTCATCTAAAACCAAACCAAATGTAAAAGAGAGACTGAAAATTTAGCTCTTTCAGCACAAGAACACACTTAACATACATTTTTCCCCCTTTATTCTACACTGATACTACATTGATCAGTTTATTTCTCTTACTGACTAACCAAAGAATAAAAAATATAATCAGCCATAAACATTCACTGTAACAGATCTCTAGACTTTGAAGATTTTAAAATGGAAAATACAGATGATGGAAATTTAAAATTTTGCTTTAATTTTGAATTTTGTAAAAACACCTACCATAGCAGTTCTAATTCTTAGTTCTCTTTGGAAATAAATTTGGCAACATATCAAAGATCATTAAAATATTTAAAACTCTTTGACTCACTAATTCCACTTCTAAGAAGCTGTCCTAAGGAAATGATATTAAATGTAGAAAATTTTATATTAACCATGATAATCCTTATAACATTAAAAGTTGCATGGACGTCCCTGGAGAATGTCATTCTAAGTGAAGTAAGCCAGAAAGGGAAAGAAAAACACCATATGATATCACTCATATGTGGAATCTTAAAAAAAAGCGAGAGAGAGAGAGAGACAAATGAACTTACATATAAAACAGAAACAGACTCACAGACACAGAATACAGACTTGTGGTTGCCAGAGGGAAGAGGGGTAGGAAGGGATAAACTGGGAGTTCAAGATTTGCAGATACTGACAGGTATATATAAAACAGATAAACAAGTTTATACTGTATGACACAGGGAAATATATTCAATATCTTATAGTAGCTCATAGTGAAAAAGAATATGAAAGTGAATATATGTATGTTATGTATGACTGAAGCATTGTGCTGTACACCAGAAATTGACACAGCATTGTAAACTGACTATAAGTCAGTAAAAAAAAAAATTAAAAGTTACAAACAACTTAAATGTTTTTAAACTAAGAGAAAATTTAAATAAATTGCAATTATAGCCACTTGATACAGTTAAAAACATGCAAGCTGTTATCTCTGATACTAGAGTAGCAGAGATTAACATGATTTTTTTTTTACTTCTTTTTATTTCCAATTTTTTAGTGTCCTTTTGCTAGTTGTGATGACAAAAAAAAACTATTTAATTTTTAAAAAAATCTCTGAATCAGGGAGAAAAAAAGGACAAATCCCAGCAAGCTTTATTGGTTAATTTAAAGCTTCTAATGCTAAGCTCATCAGACTATTTTATTCATAATTCACTAATACAGAAGAGTGCACTGGGTTGTGGCACTGGACCTGAACTTACCTCCTTTCCGGAGAATGCTTGCTCTAGTAATACACTGACATGCGTATTTCAAGGGAGAAGATGAGAAAAAGCTTAATGGGGATACTGTGGACTTGTGGCTGCCTTATTGAAACTCATAACCTTTAGATGAACAACAGGGACCTACTGTATAGCGCAGGGAACTATATTCAATTTTTTGCAATAACATATAATGGAAAAGAATCTTTAAAAATATATGTGTATATGTAACTGAATTACTTTGCTGTACACCTGAAACTAATATTGTAAATCAACTATACTTCAATAAAAAATTAAAAAATAAAATCAAAACATTTTAAAATCCTCATAACCTTAATTCATCAGCCAAAAGACTTGCCTGAGGGGTGATTCCGCACCAGAAGTTCGAATACAGGCCCCGAGACTCCAGCATGGGGGCCACGATGGTTTTGTTCTCTGCCATCATTAGATTGAGGGTCTGTGGGTTAGTCAGGAAGTTGTCAACATCTATGAACTAGGAAAAGAAAGGGAAAACATCAGGTGAAAAGGCACTTTTCAGTAGTGGGCACGAGAAGAGACCAGCCCTCCCAAAGGATCACAGGAACTCGCCCATGAGACGTGGAACCAACGATCCCCGTTTTCCTCATGGAAACCGACAGCGGCCAAGGGGCTTTCATTCAGGAGCAGTACATCTAGTCTAATTTCCACATGTTTATCTCTGCAGAAGCCACCAAGCAGTCATCTGGTGTTAGCATACCGGGCACACGCTCAGCCAGGGCTCGACCCACACCTCACTCGACCCACACCATGGTTAGTGGTTGAAGGACAAGAAATCAATGGCTCCAAGCCCTTAAAGATTCACTCCCACAAACAGAGGTCCCCACCGTAGGTAAAAATGAAAAGACAGATTTAGATTGTCTATCGTAATGCCCAAATGACTCAAAACAGATCCACTGATACCATTTTAATGTTACAATTAGGATTTTTGCTTGCATTATACCAACCCAGGCTAGCCAATGAGTCTATTTCCCATTCTTGCCAAAAGTCCACGTTAACACTAATCCATTTACAGGGACAGTGTAACGACGGTTTCTATCTATAAAATAAATAATCACACTAAGCTGTATACTTAAAAATGACTAAAATGGCAGGTTTTATGTTATATATATTTTACCACGCACACAAGTCAATAAATAATCAGCTTTCATTCTTATGATAGTCAATCTGTTTATTTACCAAAAATTTTGTGGTTCAGCACTTGTACACAATGCCATTTAAACAGCTGTACAATGTTAGATATCAGCACAATTTGAGAACTTCTACGAAGTTATTTATACTGAAAGTGTGTGTGTGGTGAACTACTGGGTTGGTTTTTGCTGTGGTTGAGGAGCTGGGGGTGTGTATAGGTTAAAGGTATTCCCTTTGGGAATCAGCGTCTAGTGACAGAGAGCAGACACCTGCAAATTTAATTAAATGACATTGGCTTTGCCTTCTTGGTGTTATTTCTAGTTTTGTACTGGGAAACGTTTGCCAAAAGAATTAAATGGGGGTTCAGGGGCCACAGATGAAGAACCTGGAGCCCATAAACTTGTGAGGGGAAAAAGCCTCTGTCAATTTTCAAAAGGGAACTGGGACCGCAGCTCGTTGCTGCTTAGGAAGCTGTCCTTTACCGTTGAGACAGGTTCCAGGGGGACAAGGACGGAAAGTAATGTTGATTCTTAATCGTCAAGTCCAGTATCTTTCAGGACCACTCTCAAAGTTCCAAGGGAAGTAATGGAACCCCGTCACGGAGAGAAATTCTCCAGGGGAGTCCAGCATAGTTAGGAGCAACCAGGAAGCCAAGCAGGCAGTGCCATCCCCCAAACACTCGGGAGCAAAAGGGAGCAGAGGTTCAGAGCTGTTCATCTGAATCTCTCTCTCTCTCTTTTTTTAATATATATATATTTTTACTATTAGTTTTTAAAGTTTTTCAAATTTAAGTTTTTAATTTTTTTTAATGGAAGTACTGGGGATTGAGACCAGGACCTCATGCACGGTAGGCATGTAGTTTACCACTGAGCTATATTCCCCACTGCCCCAAATCTCTTTTTATGTAATTAATTTCCCGTATCTCCCAAATTTTTCCAAAAAGTTATTTCTTTTTCTATTTTATTAGGTAGAATTATTACAGTTCAACTGCACATACACATTATATTGCATGTAAATACATATTTATTTTATTTATTTATTTTATTTTAATTTAATATTTTATTGTTATTAAGACATTGTACATTGCTTTACCTGCTGCGTTCCCTACGAACTAAAAAGATTCAGAGTTTGCCTACTATAGTTCAGGAGCTTATCTGCTCACTCACTGAAAATGCATTTAAAGAACAGGTCTGAGATGAAGTCTGGGTGTCATGATACTAAGTTCTCCAAATTTTTTTCCTGTGCTTTTATTAAAAAGTTGAGGAGATAATGCCTAAATAAATGTTGTTTTGATTGCTTCCACAGTCCTAGGTTGTCAACAACTGATTTGGACACATTCTAGATAACGGTTGTCAAGAAATCAAACATCCGTTTTTACCAGAATGTAGTCTGACCATTTTTCCCTCGCAGTTCGAAGGGCTGCTTGACGTAGTTTCATCACATGAGCAAAACGGGAGCCAGCCCAGTGCTTTGGTCCAATTTCATCAGGGTAAGACCTAAAAAGAAAAAAAATATATATAATATTAATAACAGCCAATTATAACCACTGAGTACCTGTAGATTCTAGGCACTATGTACTAATTCATTTAATCCTCCAGTAGAACCGTAGGAAGTTGATAGTATTATGACTTTCATCATCCCATTATCACAGATAAGAAGCTGAAGCAAGGCAGGAGTAAGTAATTTGCTGTTTACCATACACATGAATCGTTATGTGAAATATTTCAGTGGGTTCTTAATAGAACTCAGTCCTTACGATGGAAGTGCCAGCACTCTCCCGATTTCACAGATGAGGTAATCAGTTAGCTGGTTAAGTCATCTGCTTAACATTACGTAGTTAATAAGGGGCACACTTAGGATTTGAATCCAGCCATAATCCCAACGTTCATGTTCCTAGACACTTTCTTCTACATTCTGCCATCACATAAATTTGGAAAATGTTACAGCATCAAAATACAAGTTTTCCAGGAAAAACAAAAGTTTACTTTCCATAGTCACGTCTCAGGAAAGGATTCCACAGGGCCTAATGCATGGATCTACACAGATCGAATGAGGTCATGGAGCAAATGCATAATGCTGCTGGGATCTCTATCAACGTCCGGAAAACAGCCAGGCCAGGACTTCACGGCCACGGAGGCAGGCAGGTTGGCGCACCCTCGAGAACCTTTCTGAAAGCTCCCAACTGGTGTGGAAGTCGATAAAGTGACAGTGGCCCCAAACTGGCTGCCACGTTCAGTTCCTGTAGCTGCACTGGCAGGCACTGGCTTCAGTGAATGAGAAACCACAAAAACAAGGCTGTACTCATACACATAAGATGAATAAAGCTATTTATTGCACAAGAATTTTCTGGAGTGACTTCCCTGAGTACTATTGTTTCTACAAAAATCAGTGGAATTTCTGGGTTTTTTTTAATACATTGCCCCAAAAAACGCCTTCCCTGATATTTCTCACAATGACCTTGGCATACAATATACTTGGTCAAAATCTGGCTATGGAGAAAATGGGCAGTTACAGGTACATAGATTGTTCTGGGCCATTCTAATTAGGCCAAATTCCATTATAAGGACCTCCAAAAGAGTGTGCAAAATCTTTTATAAGCGGTCAAGTTTGGTTGTTAAATTTCGCTCCATATAAGAACCATATGCTGAGATCTGAGACATATACATAGATACGTGTATACATATGTATATACATATAATAAAAGTATGATAAAAAGAGAGACTAGAAGAACAAAAAATTTGTTTTGGAAAAGTATTTATTATTATAATACAAATTTGGCTTTCAATAAATGACTTATCCTGGGCAAATTTCAACAGCTCAATCCATCCTGCTTCTACAATTCTACAATTCTAGCAGCCTTGGGAATGTTCAGAATAGTAAGTTTTAAATATATTTATTTATTTTCTCATTTATTCATTTGTTCACCCAACAAGCATGAATTTAGTGCCCACCAAGAACATAGCATTGGGTTTAAAATGAAATGTTTTTATATCTTGGCCCCTGTCAAAGAAATTTTAAAAAATACTTAGAAAAAAATGCACAAATTAGTAAAAATTAGTTAAGTTTATGGTTGCGCCTCACTGGGTGATACAGGAAATAAGCAATGCAAGTGTTGAGAGGAAGGTAGATCTTTATAAATGGAATGATTGGCAACAGCTTTTGGTAGTGGCTGGGATTTGGGGTAAGAGTTGGTTACAAAGAAAGAAAGGAAAGCTTGGGGTTGACAATAAAAGGAACATCTAGCTAGAGCACTTTTAGGAAATACTGGTGCACAGGTATGAAGGCTAAATTTATGGAATCTTTTAAAAATATAATCAGGTATTTGAACTTAGTTCTGTAGGTCCTAGAGAGTCACTGGAATCTTTTCAACAGAGAAATGAAAGCACATTATAAATGTTTTACGTAGACTGATTTGACTGTATAGTATGTAGGATGATTTAAAGATAGAAACAACTAAGAGACTGTTATGGCAAAGACTGGAAATAACCTAAATGTCCATCAGTAGGAGGTTGATTAAATAACCACAGTACATCCATACAATGGATATTCACTCTGCAGTCATAAAAATAGTGAAGGTGCCTCTTCACTATTACTATGGAATGATTACCAAACTATGATAAGTGAAAAAGCGAGGTGTATGTAAAAATTACACAAACTTTTTGCTACGATCCCTCAAGTATAAAAGGTTTACACTCAAAGTATGAATAAATGATATCAAAATTTTAAAATACATACTGCTGTTGGTAATGTACTTGAGAACTAACGAGAACTTGAACTTGGCTGGTAGCTGCAGGAGTTCAGGGCGAGAGAGATCTCTCAAAGCAAGGAACGGCAGGTCTTTGTAACTTGCTAGATACAAAGACGAAAGACAAGGGAAGTCACATGCACCTCCAAGACTGGGAGCCCGGATGGTGGGAAGCCTGGCTGAGCAGGGCACAGGTATACAGTGAGTTTACAGAATGTTCTCTTGCTACTCACTCAGGTTCATCCATAGGCCTCCACTCCACATAGTGGTAGACTCTCTGCACATTTTTCAACCACTCCCTGAGTATTTCTGTTGTATTATCCACATTGTGGTCTGTGGCTGCCCTGTGTGAGAGAAAGCACAGCACAATTGAGTTATTATGTCATCCAGAGAAAGAGGGAAAAATCCAAAAGACCCCAGATGAATTGAACAGCGAAGGCCAGTTCTAGAAATTGCATATATGAAAATGATCCCCTCAAGGTCCAAACTAGACAATGAATTTCCAAAGGGAGAGATGTTGCTTAAATCCATCTCTGTGTCATTAGCTCTTCAAGCAGGACTTGGCCAATAGCAGAATCAATAAATGGTTGTACTAAAATAGTATATGCAGAAAGTGAATTAAAGCCAGTTAATTAATATTCTTGGAAAGTTTCTCATTTAAATTTTTAGTTATCTAAGATGTAAACTCTGCCTTTTAACTTCAATAACCATGACCCTCAACTTTAGCAATAATTCAGCTGCATTTTCATTTCAAGTCCAACAGATTTTTTTCAGCAGCGCTGTTTTAATCACATGAAATAGAAGGGAAAGTCACAATAACAGTTCCCAGCATAAAATTAAAAATCCAAGGTATCGTCTCTTCTCTGTTTTGGATTAATTCTACTGCCACTTACACAAATTAGAGTACCTTCAAAAGTCTTCCAACAATGTACACAAAACTTGCTTCTGTTCTCCCTTGAAAGTTTAGCAAACTGACCCACCTACAAAGGAGCTTAATCACTTATTAAAACAAAGATATTTTCAAATTATATCACAGAGCTAACTCATGCTGTGTGTACGATACACATCTAAAACAAAGCCATTCGGGATACCTAAAAACCAACCGATGTTCCTGTCAACTGGAAAAGAAGGAAAGCAGGGGTTGTAATCTTGACATCAAATAAGGCAGAATTCAGGCCAAAAGAAATTAAACATGACAAAGCAAGATTATAATTATAACAATAAAGCTAGAGGATGTAATTCACATCAAAGATATTAACAAATGTGAATATCCGTGTACCTTCATGCAGCAGAGGGGAGAGGTTGGCAAACTTTCCTTTGAGTCAGCTAATGACCGCTTTAGGCTTGCAGGCCATACACTCTCTGCCGCAACCACTCAGCATGGCCACTGTAGCAGTAAAGCAGCCATGCACAACATATAAAGGAATGAACACTGCTCTGCTCTAATAAAGCTTTATTTACAAAAGGTCTGCAGGCTGTGGTTTGTCAACCCCCGGTACAGCAGAAAGTAGAGAGACTGCAAACAAAACAGAAACACAAAGAAAAAGAGGTGTTAACTTACTACTTTCAGTTGAAGCTGACATAGTGTAAATGGAAAACAAGTAAATACACAGAAGACCTATACAACACAGTACACACAGAGATTGTATCTTCTTGTCGAACACACATGGAACAGTCACAAAGATGCACCAACAGTTACACGACAAAGCAAGTCTCTATTAAACTGGAATAACTTAAACAGCATTCTCTGATCACAATGTCATAAAACTAGAAATTAGTAATAAAATAAAACCCCAAAATTCCATTAAAAACTCTCTATTAAACAATTATTGAGTGAAAGAAGAAATACAAATCAACTTTAAAATTTCTAAAAATAAACAATGAGGAGTCAAGACGGCAGAACAGAGAGACTCACAGCTCGCCCTCTCCCACAAATACACCAAGAGCTACATCCACAAACCCACTGCCTCACACAGAACACCTGCACTCTGGCAGAGTGTCCCTCATTTCAAAATACAGGAGGATTCTCACAAAATCCGGTAGGAGAAAAAAGGAAAAAGAAAAACTTGGTGCAGGACCAGTCCTGCAGGGAGGGAGTGGCACAGGAAGAAAGGCACCCTCACTCTGGGACACCCTCTCCAGCCGGGAGGTCAACGGGGACAGAAGCAGAGCTTCTGAGGCTCAGAGCAGGAAGTGGCAACTGACTGGCAGACAGAACTAAGGGAAACTGCCACAGAGGGTCCCTGCAACCTCCAGCCCGAGCCCCGAGCCAGCAGGGACAAGCCGGGACTGGCTGCTGGAGATGGGTGAGGAGGCCAGGCAGGGGACTGGGGCCCACTGCACAGAGGCAGCCTCAAGGGGCTGGGGGGCAGTGTGAGCTGGGCTAGGGGTGTGCATGGAGCAGAATAGCCAGGGGCGCCTATAAAAAAGCACCACTGTTGGTGTGTGTAGGAGGGAGGGGTGCACACAGCCGCTTTCTCCTCTTGGCTCCATTGCTGCTGTGTTTTCCTGAGAAGAGAGGTGGGGCTTGGTCATAGCCATCACTGCCGCGTGGAGGCGGGGCAGAAAGCTGAATCCACACCCAGCAGCCCTGCAACTTCACAAGCAGGACTGAGTCTGTTTACAGCCCCAGGCAGAGAGGGCGGATTTGCTCTCTCGGGACCCTTTCTGGATCCAAGCCTCCAGGATGAACAGGCAGTGAGTGAAGTTCTGATTCACTGCGGGGTGAGTACCAGTATTTACTACAGGCTGGCATACCATACCCATATGCAGAGGCGGGGCTGGGGTCTGTGCGGACCCTGTGATGGACCACAAATTCAGGTGTGTGACTGCACGCTTGCTACGGCAGGTCCTAGGGTCTGATGTTGGTAGATCTGCACTGGTGGCCCCTGGGGCCCAGAACCTGGGGGACTCCAGGGCAGGTGGCCGACATTTTCGCAGCTAAGGTGAGGACAAAAGAAGCGTCAACAAAGAGTACTCTGTAAGCCCGCATAACAAGTGACAGACAACACCACAGAGGACACTTCCCAAAGGCCATCTCCTGCCCACTTTTCTTCCCAGCTGAAGCGCTTCAACCCTGCCAATGACACACCACAGATCAGAAACAGGTGTAGAAGCCACTATTGCAACAACAGGGGAGCAGGCCAGGCCCCTGTCAAGGCTGTGACAACCACAGAACAAAAAAGGAGGCCCCGCTGGACAACAACAATCAAGGCAGGCTCTGATCACAAACCAAGCACCCCCCAATTAAAGGGATAACAGCCAACATTCATGGAGGAAAGAGGGGGCAACTATCCATACTAAGAACAGCCCTCACAACAAAACCGTTAATGCACACAGTCTACACAGGAATGCTCCCGCTTTAAATAAAAACAAACAAATAAAAATATAAAACAGCCCTTCAAGACCACAGTAGATAACTGACACTGCTAAATTATCCACAGAGCCAGAGAAATCTAAGTGAAATGAAGAAGCAGAGGAACCACTCCCAATTAAAAGAACAAGAGAAATCCCCTGAAAGCACAATCAAGGAAATAGACCTCAACAGTCTATTAGATCATGACTTCAAAAAGGGGGTGATCAAAGCACTGACAGAACTAAAAGAGACTATGAATAGAGACAGAGAATACTTTTAAAAAGGAAACTGAAACCATAAAGAGGAGCCAATTAAAAATGGAAAGCTCAACTGCTGAGATAAGACTGGAGGTAAAGGTAGTCAAAAACAGACTTGGTAATGCACAGGAACAAGTAAGTGACGTAGAAGACAGGGTAACAGAAGTCACCCAATCAGAACAGCAGGCAGAAAAGCAAATAAAAACCAGTGAAAGCAATATAAGGGACCTCTGGGATGATATAAAGCGTGCCAAACTATGCATAATAGGGGTCCCAGCAGGAGAAGAAAGAGAAAAGGGAATTGAAAAGGTATTTAAAGAAATCATGACTAAAAACTTCCCAAACCTGAACAAGGAAACAGATATTCATGTACAAGAGGCACAAAGGGTCCCAAACAGACCTACACCAAGACATGTTATAATTAAGATGGCCAAAGTTAAAGGTAGAAAAAGGATCCTAAAGGCAGCAAGAGAAAAACAAAGAGTCGGTTACAAGGGAACCCCCAAAAGGCTTTCGGCTGATTTCTCTATGCAAACACTGCAGGCCAGAAGGGAGTGATACATTCAAAGTCCTGAATGGGAAAAAGTTGCAACCTAGGATGCCTTCTCTGGCAGGACTACCCTTTGGAGTAGAAGGAGAGAGAAAGAATCTCACAGACAAGCAAAAACTAAAAGAATTCAGCAACACTAAACCGATACCAAGGAGTTCCTACTGGGAGGGAAAGTTATTGGCATTGTCAGCAACAGCGGGTCCCTGGGAGCAAGGCCTTGGTAAGAGCAAATGAAAACATATGGACAGTGGTCACATTTTCCATTTATGGCAACTTTAGCCAATAGGATTTTATTAAACTCAACTTATAATGGTTTTTGGTCTTCCTACCTGAGCTTTTGGTAGTCACTGCTGCTCCAAAAGTAACAAATGAAATCTTTAAGGGACAGAATATTTGGGAACGTTCAAGAGAAAAAAAAAAATCATTATGCCAAGCATGGCAGAACTCCATGTTACACAGGGAATGAATTTCTGTAAAACACAGAGTAACTAAAGTGAAGGTATGTAACTTAAGTCATAAGGTATTAAAAAATGGGGACTAGAGGTATATGAGTAATGTTTGAAAATTTTATTTCATAAAATGGGTGTCTGAATGAAAACTAGCCTTAAACATTATTCAAAAAATAGAGCATCAGGAGGTGATGTCACTGGTCACCTTGATATACTTTCATATCTTTCCTGGAAATCAGATTAGAACCAGCTCCTTTCTTCAGAACAAGGTTTAGGAGGGAGAGGGACCCACAGAGCCACCCGGACATCCCGCTGTCTGGAGGGCCGAGAGGTGCGGCGTGCAGCCGACAGTGCCAGGGGACACCAGGTGTGCAAGCTGGGACAAAGACGGGGCAGTGCGAGGAGGTGGGAGCGTGGACCAGGAGGCGGCGTGGAACAGAGCCACGGGCTCCACCCAGCTTGCAGCTGTGCCGACATCCACTGCCACACACACACAGCCACCAGCTGCCCGTGTCCAGCACTACGTCCATCATCAGAGCCAGGACGGGCCCCCAGGAGAGTCAAGCCACTCTCCCCCGGTACAAGGCATGCACAGAACAACTCCGCTCTGATGCACATTACTCTCCATGCAAAGAATTACGGGTAAGAATGAGCTGAAACAAAACAAAGCAAAATCTTGACTACAGTGTTCGCCGGGAGTTTCAGGGAATCTGTTATCCCCAAATTACTTACA